CATCAGAATCGGGACCACGATGAAGAAAGGCAACTACCGCTTCAATAATCACCCCAATGTAATGGTAGTGATGATGAAGGACAGTAACAGGATCCGAACGGTAAAGGCAATGAGCAAAAGTGGCAATGCAATGAAGGTCCTCATGAGCCTTGTTAAGATCTCCTTCGAGTTGCGAGAGAGGGGGCAGAATGACCTCGTAATAACCCTCATCAGGGTACTCCTTGATCATTTGGTCCACAAACACTGCACGATCACGGGCACGATGAACCTCCTCTTGTAACTGCTCCACAAGACGATGTTGACATGTTGCCAGAGCATTAGACTCGTCAACCAGACCTTGTTGATGCAGCAGGGTGGTTGTCAAATGCGAATTTTTGCGAATAGAGGTGGAGCGAAATTGTCCTGGAGCTCTTTTACAAGGGCTTTGAAGGAGGACGTCCAGGCCGGCAGTGAGTCGAGATCCGGATCAAGGATATCAGGGACAAACCATTCTTTGGCTGACCCACTGAGATAGGAAAGAGTATAATTCACCTTCCATTGGTCAGTGAAATACTTTGGACGGTCATTGAAGACCAGGGCGAGATTGACGAAGAACATCTTGAGCTTTTGGGGGTCCGAACTGTCGAATACCTCTAGCTCCTTGACTTTGCTCTTAGATTCAGAGCTGTCAGAGGGTCAACCAAGAGCGGCGAGAACGGTACCAAGGGTTTCAATGGAACCCTTGAATCCTGAGAGAAGTTCCAACATAACACGTTGCTCATTGGGGATGTCAGGAGAGATTGGGGAATGGGGTCCACCAGGTCCACCAGGACCGCCGGGAGCACCAGGCTCACCACGCGGTAAACTGCCGGAGTCGTCATCCAGTTCGTCATTGTCAGGATTGTTGTTATCAGCACCCGGATCGTCGGGGTCAACAGGAGGGTCTTGATCGTTGTGATCACCAGCATCCAGATCGAAGTGAGGAGGCGGGTCATAAGGAGATTGTGAATTAGCACGATGTTGTGGTTGTTTCCCAGTACGACAAGCTATGGCTTGGAGGATGGGAGAATCAATTCGAGTAATAGACCGGCCCCAAGCCGGAGCGACCACGGGGGGTTGTCCACGGCGAGGGGTCAAAACTTGGACAGGTTGTCCATCACCGGTATACAGAGTACTGTACTCAAATTGTTCTTCTTCTTCCATGGCCTCAGGAAGAGTTGACGTAGTAGGAACTGTAGCTGGACCTGTTAAGATCATGTACACCGTGTAACCGTGCCAGAGCCACAAGGTGTCTAAGTGCAGAAGACGAGTGGGACAGTAGTGAAGTTATTAACAACACCGCCGTTACGCCGTTAGTCCCCGGAGAGCGAGAGTAGAGAGAGAGAAGCTAAGTAGCAGCCAGGTCGGAGCGGCGGTATCGCCGGTGACGAGGAGCGAACCAGAGGACGTCTAAGTCCTAAGGTTATAATGGGGAATACTCCAAGGCATTGAGCCTGAAGACTTAGAGAAGAGTTAAGTTGAGAAGGGAGATCTAAGTTGATCTAAGTTGATAATTAAACTGAGGAACTACAGTAGCGTACAGGCAGTATTTATATCTACGGAACGGCGCATCGGTGCGGAGCGCCAGACTAACTACTAGGAGCTATACGGGTAGTACCTGCAGGGTAGAGTAAAAGACAATAAGGAGAGACTAGAACGAAAGAGTAAAAGACAATAATGAGAGACTAGAAAGAAAGGATATGTGTAGCGAGAAAGAACAATAGGAGTGAGATTACAATAAGGAGCAGATCTTCGGAGTACCGAGCGGCATAATGGAGGCCCGCGGCATGGACTTGACAGGACCAAAACCGCGATTACGGCGACGTGGTGAGAAAGGGGCAAATAATTGGGCTGTAGTGAAGAAAGTATTTTCTTCAGAGTTAGCTCTAGATTGAGCTCGAGTCTTTGGAGGCATAAAAAATGATATGTCAGTACGACATTAACAGATTGAGTTTAATTATACTGTTAAGATCATGTACACTGTGTAACCGTGCCAGGGCCACAAGGTGTCTAAGGGCAGAAGGTCAAATGGGACAGTAGTGAAGTTATTGATAATACCGCCGTTACGCCACTAGTCCCCAGAGATTGAGAGTATAGAAGAGAGGAGCCAGTAGCAGCCAAGTCGGAGCAGCGGTATTGCCGACAACGAGGAGCAAACCAAAGAACTTATGAGTCCTAAGGTTAGAGTAGAGAGTACTTCAAGGCAATGAGCCTGAAGACTTAGAGGAGAACTAAGTTGAGGAGGGAATCTAAGTCAATAATTAAACTGAGGAACTACAGTAGCATACAGGCAGTATTTATATCTACGGATTGGCGCATCGGTGCGGAGCGCTAGACTAGCTACTAGGAGCTATACGGGTAGTACCTGCAGGGTAGAGTAAAAGACAATAAGGAGAGACTAGGATGAAAGGGTATGTGTAGTGAGAAAGAACTATAAGAAGGAGATTACAATAAAGGGTAGATCTTCAGAATACCGAGCGGCGGAATGGGGCCCCGAGGCATGGACTTGACAGGACTGTTTAGGACTGCCACTGGTTTTACACTTGATGCAATTAGTCAGGCCCAGTGAAAACTCACATGTCCCCAGATGAGCCAAAACAAGCGTGGATGATCTTTGACAGCTCCGCACAAATGTCATGATGATGCTAAGGCAAGCTTGTTAATGCTCGAAAATCCGGACTGTTTTTAAGCACAGATGAGCAAAACTGAGCAGAACCTGGCCTTGCCATTTTTGCTAGATGGCCCATTGTGTTCTTACTTTTAGTATCATCCATTTTCACTTGTTTTTGCTAGCTCATATAAAACTTGAAATATAGAAAATTCTTGATATTAGGCGAGCCTCGTTTCAGCAGATACAATCTATGTAGTAAAATATAGGTAACTGGGCTATGGCATTCATTGGACTTGGTACTACATAGAGATCAGCACAAGTTCGAACGTAAGCTATAGAAGGGTACTCACATATGCATCAGAGTCATGGATTGGTGAATGTAGATGTGTTGTTCGTACTTCCACTGAGGAGATTATACATAGATGAACAGTTCCGGTCAATTGAAGAAACCATAGTGTAATTCTACTCACTCGAGATCCTGCAGTTAGGTCATACTAGCACAGCAGCAAGAGTGGAGTCATTGAAAACTCCGGTGCTGTTGAAGTTATTGAGTACAAGTTATATATGGGGGAGTAATGATGTACAACTTAGATGGCATGTTCTAGAATCACAAATGGAAAATTAGTGTTGTGTACCATGAAGTATATAGATACCTACCAACCAGGTTGAATTTGCTGTATTAGCCTGGACCATCTTGACATCTAGAAGGTGGTAACATAGTAGCAGTGGGGGGAGGTGAGGGCAATGACGAAGCAGCATTTGGAGTTGAAAGAGCAGTGATGATGAAGGTGCAGGTGGTGGTGAAAGAGGGCCGAGAAGGGACAGTGAAGCTTACTGTAAAGACAAAAGCATAGCAACAAACAATAACGGAGCTACAGGCAAAGGTATCACCAATGCAGCTGAAGGTAAGCCTGTTCTTTAGAGACAAAGCAGAAATTGGTAACAAAACACTCAACTAGAGGTGTTTAGAGCTGCAGCAAGTGGCGTTGAAGCAGTAGATAAATACAACACATTCCTGAAGAACTATTGTGAGTGAGATTCTAGACATTGGAAGAATCGGTCAACGAGCCTAGTTCACTAAATCAACGTCGATAACCCCCTCTCTGCCTCTATTACCCTGATACCGCACTTATGATGGTTCCATCTGCCATAGAAACATAATGATTTTTCGAAAAAGATAGAAGGATACATGATGCAAGGTTTTTTACAGTATATGCAGAGATGAATGGGGTCGAGGGCAAAGACATTGTCTGCCCTTGTTTGTCTCAAGTCGTTACTTTCAGATTGGCACAGCATTCTCACTTGAATTGGCTTGACTTTAGTTAAATAGTGGTGTGAGAACTAATGAGATTGGCATAACTAAGGTAAAAGGGAACAAAATATGTACAAGTAAAGTAGAGAAGAAAATGGCTCATTCTGGCAATGGATCATCCAGATTTGGCTCGTTCCGGCTCATCCATGGACGTGTGACACGGGACGCAAAAGCCATGGCAGTTCAAATGAACTGCCATGAAGGCATCACAGTTGGCATCCGGTCGTGACCGGTTATGTTGCAAGCGCAGCGGTCCATTCGATCATGAACCTTGATAAATAACAGAAAACAACAATGTAAATTCCAAGCTGAATATATAAGCTACAGTGATCTTGGAGTCCTTGATACACTTTCCGCAATGAGCACACGAAGGAGCTCATCTTAGGATAAGATAAGGCAAGCAAATGAGAGATGCCTAGCGTGCATTAGGCGCCTAAACTTCTTCTGCCTCCGTCTCTCATCGCCCCACGCATAGCAAGCTATAACTTGGTAAATTCAACACGATGAAAGGATTCCAAACCTATCCTTCCCTGACTCGCAAAAACAGAGCTCGGAAAATGCATAGAACCGACGAAATCTCAGCCTTATTCAAAAAAATGGACATCGGCTTGAAACTGAAACTGAATTTTAAGATCGACAAAGAAAACCGCAAGCAACGGGAAAAAAGCCTCGAATTCCAACTAGGAAATTCCACGGACGACGCATTGGACATAGCCTCCTTCGTAACCATTGACACAATATCCCTTGATAATGTCAGAAAGGACCCGACGACATTCGAAAGGCTGAAAGACTTTCTCACTACAGACACCTTAGATTTCTTCAGGCAAAGAAATGAAGAGGAGGAGGGAGACAGAAGAAGTAGGACGAGAGGTAAAGAAGAAGAGGCAGAAGAAGGTGCGAGAAAGAAATGGAAGTCGGGAAAGGTCACCCTAATACCTCGATCTGCTGGTCCATGAGTTACAACCTTCGACACCCTCCTTTTCGACACTATCGACGTGTTCCCCATATTCCCCCTTTTCCTATTTACCAACAAAAAACCTTGACCTGATCAACACGCATATGCCCGAGCTGAAACGAGTGAAAATCTCCCATATCGAGGGCAAACCTCATGTTCTCGATCTTAAAGAGATAGCTAAGTGGGTTAAAGAGGCAGGGGGTATATTCCGCGATGAAGACCTTGACTTCATTCAGTGGAGCCAAGCAGCAAAGAACTTCTATCAGTTCAAATGCCTGAGAGACAAGGACCTGGGAAAGGAGGCTCCTCGACCCCTCTTCTACGTCGAACACTTTGCGTTCTTCCTGAACCAACAAGATTCTGAAGACTTCTTCACATATTGGCTCAAGGTAGAAGTCAAACTTCGAAAGGAGCACCAATCGAAACTCTACGCCTTCGACAGCAACACATACGAACGCGAATGGACACTCGTCCACGTGCCCGCATCTCAGATGCCAAGTACACAACATCTTCCTCTGCCCCTCCTCCCACCCAGCCCCTGCCTTCCAAAACGACGTCATCTTCAACGAGTCAAAAGCCCTTTCCAACAGGCAGCAAGGAGAGAACCGCGGCCCCTTGCTGCCTCGGATGTGCCGCCCGCGGTCACAAGCTCGACGGACATGACGATACGAAGAACGGACCATTCCGCTGGGCTCGAAACGTCAAAGGACTCATTAGCACGCCTGCAGGTAAGAACATCTGCTGGTACTGGAACCTCCGAGGACAATGCAGAGGCTGTGACAAGGAACACTGCTGCACGTTCTGTGGCAGCACCTGTCATATGCATGCAATTCACCCCATATGCTTCCCGGCCCGGCCCGGAGCGGCCGGACTTTGGATTAATAACCTTGTGACCATCATTGTATTTATTTATTGTTCCGAGCTTTCATCGAGGTCTTCTGACTGTATTTGGAATGTATATAAGCTAGAATACTTTGTACGTTGTAGTCAAGCTTGAAATCAAGTGTACCATCTTATCCCAGTCTTTAATATCTTCTTTACCCTTTGCTTCCGGACTCCCGGATCATCAGGAACCCCATTTAGGCTGCTCATCCCAATCTTGCACTCTTGCCATTATATTCCCGGGGACACCAACAGTGTGTGAAGGGTGTTGCTAATAGCTTCACCGATGTCCTACTCCCAGTGTGTACTACAGGCCAGTACTCGGCTCCGGACCTCGGAGTTATCCCGGGCCATTCCCGGGCCAGATCTGGCCTCAGAACCTCTATAGCTATTGACCTGTAGGCATGGTCTTGTCAGCACCTCCCACTACGCATTCAAATGGGAATGCACTGCCCAGCTCCCCATTGTCTAGAGAAGACCTTAAGGACTTCCTCGCCGCACCTCCTCTCAGATTCCATGACTTCGAAGACTCTATCATCACACGCCGAGCATTACCGGATGCCTCAACAGAACACGTTGAACTCTATGAATGAATTGTAACCCCATACAACGCTAACGCTAACGCCTTCGAACAAGAACTCAAAACACACAATCTCCTTGATCGACACCCACTCCTTGTAAATATCCTCCAAAACGGCGCTCCACTGGGAGAAATGCCCCAGCTCACGAAATCAATCATCATCCCAAATCACGCATCGGTCGCCAAATTCCCTCAGGTGGTCAAAGACTACCTCGCAGAGGAGAAACTCAAAGGCCGAATGTCAGGTCCTTTCTTGCGAAAGGAAATTGAATCTATTATGCGCGGCCCTATCATGTCATCTCCTCTAATCGTCGCCAAGCAGATCCAGGCACCTGGAATACCAACGAAATATCGAGTCTGCCGTCACCTTTCCAAGGATGGTCAAGACGAAAACGGGAATAGATTCCCGCCTGTTAATTCTTTTATTGTGAAAGACCTATTTCCAACATCCTTTGATACTGCCTCCAAAGTTGCAGAACTGGTAAGTCCGATTCTCCTCTATACCTCTCATCTAACACTTCCCAATTCCATCCCGATATTCCAATATTCATTCCACATATTCCACGAATGATTCAAAATATTCCCTCATATACATTATTCCACATAAATGCACAATCGACATCGCGAAATTCCATAGGACAATACCACTCATTCCCCACCACAAACCGTTCCTGGTAGCGCAAGATCCCGATGGTGGCTTCTGGATAGACCACTGCTACTGCTTCAGGGCAGCATCAGCAAGTAGCAGTGCAGGTATGATATCAGGTGCAGTAATCAATATATGGCGTAAAAAAGAAATCGGCCCAATACCAAAATATGAAGACGACCTTCTCACTATCCGCTCACCGAACTCATTAGGCAACTATGACTATGATTGCGCCAGCATGCTGAAGTCTATCGCTTCGCTCAATGTCCCTTTCCACCCAGCCGATATCAAAGGAGATCCGGAGTTCACGTTCGAAACCACTTACACCGGCTTCCGCTGGAACCTTCCTCTAAAACGGGTCAGTCTACCTGATGAAAAGTGCTTCAAATATCTCAATTGGGTGCGCCAATTCTCGGACGAATTTCATGGACGCAAAGCCCCTCTCATCAGAGTTGAATCAATCCACGGAACACTCTGTCACATCGCATTCATATACGCCGAGGGTGACAAGACCGTGCCTACAGGTCAATAGCTATAGAGGTTCTGAGGCCGGATCTGGCCCGGGAATGGCCCGGGATAATTCCGAGGTCCTGTCAAGCCCATGCCTCGGGCCTCCACCTCGCCGCTCGGTACTCCGAAGATCTACTTTTATTGTAATCTCTCCTTATTGTTCTTTCTTGCTACACATACCCTTTCATTCTAGTCTCTCCTTATTGTCTTCTACTTTACCCTGCAGGACTACACGTATAACTCCTAGTAGTTAGTCTGGCGCTCCGCACCGATGCGCCGCTCCGTAGATATAAATATGCTACCGTAGTTCCTCAGTTTAATTATCAACTTAGATCGACTTAGATTCCCTCCTTTACTCTGTGCTCCTCTAAGTCTTCAGGCTCACTGCCTTGAAGTATGTTCTACTCTACCTTAGGACTTATACGTTCTGTGGTTCGCTCCTTGTCACCGGCGTTACCGCCGCTCCGACTTGGCTGCTTCTCAGCTCCTCCCTACTATACTCTTGATCTCCGGGGACTAATGGCGTAACGGCGGTGTTGTTAATAACTTCACTACTGTCCCACTCGTCTTCCGCACTTAGACACTCTGTGACCTCTGGCACGGTTACACGGTGTACATGATCTTAACAGGTCCGGAACTGAGTATTGGCCTGTAGTACACACTGGGAGTGGGACGTCGGTGAAGCTATTAGCAACACCCTTCACACACTGTTGGTGTCCCCGGGAATATAATGGCAAGGATATAGTGTCAAGATAAGTAGCCTAGGTGGTGTTCCTGTGATCCGGGAGTCCGGAGCAGCTCGGAAGCAAAGGTAAAAGAGATATTAAAGAGTGGGATAAGGTGGTACACTTGATTTCAAGCTTGACTACAATGTACAAAGTATTCTAGCTTATATACATCCCAAATACAGTCAGAAGACCTCGATGAAAGCTCGGAACAATAAATAAATACAATGATGGTCACAAGGTTATTATTCCGAAGTCCGGCCGCTCCGGGCCGGGCCGGGAAGCATATTGGGTGAATTGCATGCATATGACAGAGGGAAAATCCCACCTCCCTCCAATATCAAATTTCATGGCCTCATATCGGACAGAATGGGAGGAATACGAGGGTCGATACCCTCCCAGCAGCGTCCTCACCGAAATAAGCTGGTGGCACAATATCCTCCTCATACCGGACTTCTACCGCGAACTACGACCAAAAGGACCACTTCTAGACCTTGGCATCTTTGTCAATGCATCCACAGATTGGGGGATCGGTATACTATTCGGAGAACTCTGGATGGCATTCCACTTAGCAAACGACTGGAAAATACCAGGTCGAGACATTTGCTGGCTGGAAACAGCCGCTATCGAATTACTCATATACGTCCTTGAAGCCAAAGGATTCCACGATATATACATTCTCATCCACTCAGACAACCAAGGCACTATCGGCGCCATGAAAAAGGCACGCAGCCCCAACTACTGGATCAACATGTCCGTGCGCCGTACATGCGGTATTTTAGGTCCACTCTTTATACAAACTGAACTCGAATACATCGAATCCGCTTTGAACCCGGCTGATCCAATTTCGCGCGGAATATTGGGACCAGAGGATAAGAAACTTCCTCTTTTATTCCAGCTCCCAGATGAGCTCAGCAGTGTTATTACTTATGTTTAGGTGATTCGCTTTCCAGACGCAGACAAAATGAATACTCATTAACCCACATCACACAGCCCTTTTCACAGAATACCAGTGCCAGTCAGCTTTGGCACGAGAACCGTTGCTCCGCGTGCTTCGAGTTCTCGAATTATTTCTCATACCTTTCTTGATGACCCGTTTGCTACACAATTGATACCGACCCCACGTAAATACAATAATAATAATAAACCATCAATTCACAATCCTCTCTCTGACCCTTTCGTAACACCCACCACCTCGAGTCCACAACAATCGCAACAACCGAAACAACTCCCTTCCAAACTCACTGACCAAAAACCCAAGAAAGAATGTGAAATCACCCCAAACCCACTACGACCGAACGTATGAGCCACAGATCGGATTCACGCCTGGAACACCCCGTATTCAATACAGAAAAGACTAGAGGAATCGGACTCCCTGCCAGCAAAAGTCATCGAATTAGGTGAACAGGTCATGGCAAAAGGTACAGTAAAGTCCACCAAAGAAGTGTATGCAGCTGGACTACTTCGTTACAACCAATTTGGAGACCTGATGGGTATCAGCGAGGATGACCGCATGCCAGCATCAGACAGACTCATCATCAGCTTCATCGGACACTATGCAGGGAAAGTATCGGGAAAATCTATCTCAAATTGGTTATCTGGCCTCAGACTTTGGCATGAGACAATGGGAGCTCCTTGGCCAGCAGACTCACGCAGAATCCAACAAGCCCGACATTCCAACAAGCCCGACATGGAGCAAATATCGAAGGATCACATCACAAACGACCTCCACGACACCCCATTACCATCGAACATATGAGAGCCTTACACAAAGCACTTGACTTCTCAATCCACTTCCACTGCGCCGTCTGGGCTCTTGCCTGCACCACATTCCTTGCATGTTGATGACTGGGAGAACTAACCATCCCATCGCAGAACACTTTTGATCCAAAATTCCACGTCACCCGAGACGCCAACAATATTACTTTCAATTCCAACCCCACTTCAATCCACTTCCGCATCCCATGGACAAAGACTACAAAAGAAGAAGGTGCCTCCGTAGTCGCCACCAGCCCCCTGGGTGACAACATGGAGTTCATGTGCCCATCCAAAGCTCTCCAAAGACACCAAGCAAAGAACGCAGATGTACCAGGGGATTTCTCGCTATTTGGCTATATTGACGAGAATGGAAAACCACATCACATGGTGAAGAAAGTATTCCTCAACTTCTGTTTTGACATCTGGAACCGCGCCGAGCTCAAAATCGTCTTTGGTCACAGCTTCAGAATTGGAGGTGCAGTATGGCTCCTTCTGGCAGGGGTCCCACCAGAAATTGTAGCAGCTACTGGGGGATGGACTTCACTAGCCTTCCTACTCTACTGGAGAAGACTAGAGAGCATAATCCCACAGCACATAACAAAAGCCTATGAAAAGTCACAGTGGAATACACTTTGCGATAAAGTTGACTCATTCCGCAAAGTAAATAAGATATCAAATAAGTTCATCGAAGCATGTATAGCAGGTACCGATACAGAGATAGACTTTTGATACACTACGAGCCTCCACTCTATTTGGGTGATTCAGCCCCTCCATAAATGTCGAGACCCGAGAAGGAGCTACGGCTCTGTCTGGGATGCTCAGGCCTCTCCATCTATGGGTGGGAGTGCGGGGCCAAGCCCCAGCCAAACCTCAACCCAGAATTACTAAAACAGGAGACTTACTTCATATTACCGGAAGTAAGTCCGACTTAGTATAGTCTCTTAGCTACTTATCTTATACCGTAAATTTGTTTTATGGGGAAATTTATTTCTTTATTGAGTATCTCAAAACAATGCAATATATATGGTGCATGCTTGGCTAAAATTTCTAAGTGTCAGCTATCAGTACTGCAGACATATGAACAGATATGTCAGATTTTAGAGCTGATTTTGAGTGAAAAACATCCAATTTGATTGTAAGTAATGTAAGCAATTGCATTATGAGTGGAAGAAGTACTGGTACATGTACAAGACCTGGTCCTCTATCACCTCTGATAATAAACTTGGCAGTAAAATTCGAAGTACAGTAAGAATGCCCAAGATAGTTTGGTGTGACAAAATTCGAGGACATGGACCACTAGCGCGGATCCCGGGTAGCTTTTATCCGGGTGATACATAACACCGTCACAGGTGTATCAAGGACTCCAAAATGGTGACATTCGCCCTTAATACAATTTAATTCCTAATTAATCGAAATTTGTCCTTGAGCATTGAGTACAATGAGCTTAAATGATCTCAACATACTATGCTTTGATTCTAGATACTTAAATTTGAAACATTGTAACATAAGAAAGAGTTGCAAACAAAACTTGATGTTTTGTATCAAGGACTCCAAGATCACTGTATGTCCCAAAATTCTGCAAGTCATTTGTTTACTCCAACAATCCTCTTTATGTATGCAGTATAAAAAGACCACCATAAGGTTGAGGTTAGAATTGTTTTACAACTAAGCCACAAAACCAGTTTATACAGGCTGGTAGACATATCCCACATACATGAACATTATCTCACACTACATGCTTCAAATAATAGAGTTGATTGTAAGATGAACCTATCAAATATGATTTTTTCTGTTAGCTGGAATATTTGTAGAAGTTGTTTGTAAGGCATAATTTATCTGTTCAGGTATGCATATTTTTCTGTTACTCAGAGGTGGTTTGCTGACAATGTGCAAATGTTACATAAGCTGAGCAACTGTATAAACGGTTTTACACTTATCAACTATTTCTGCAATATTTTGAAAGGTCTCAAAGCAATGGCAAAATGTACATTATCTGTAAGTAGGGGCTGGTAAGCAACAATCTCATGCAATAAATGCACTTCTTGATGGACTATTTGAATACTTGCTCAGCTGGACAGCACTATCATTGACTCTAAAGTAATTATAGAGTCCTGGATTGGCAAAATTTCCAATCATTTGCAAAACATTTCTTTTTTTTCTGCATCTCCTTTTTGCAGTTTTGTTTGAAGCTAAAAACACCATTAATTTACTTAACTTACTAAGGCTGCTACAGTTAGACATCAATAAATAATGAAATTGCTGCACAACAAAATGTAATCATAGTATGTGACTCAATATATTCCATACAATGAATGAGTTTGGTGCAGCTGGAGTGTGCAGGTGAGTTTTTGTTCTTTTAGCACTCATGGATTCAATTCCTTATCTCATTATAATTAACAGTCCTTATTACTGATCCAAATGAAGCATGAACAGTCCTTATTACTGATCCAAATGAAGCATGAACTGTTGTTATTACAACTGCATAATTATTAAGAGCACTTCTTATAACAAGTCATTTATATACTATCTATTACTTGTTATCAACAGTCTTCTTTGTACAATATCATTGACTGGGGCCCAACAATGCTCTCTAGCAGCCAAAGTAAGGAGAGTAAAAATATTAGGTGCTTCAAGCTGCACTAGCCAACAATACAGGTCTTGGAGATGAAAAGTTGAAGTTCTTTGAAATGAAGAGATAATATTTATGATTTGTAAGAATATTACTCTACTAAATCACATAGGGAATGTGTACTTACATGCAATATTGAGAAAGAGTCAACAAAAATAAAAATATGGTGAAACACCACATGTCATGCCGAAGTCATGGCTGACGCTGATCCCTGCCAGTCCGTGACAGTCACTGGTCACAACTAGATGCCACAGTGGATGCCTTAATGAACTGCCATCACTGTGGGGAAGAGGGTGTTTTGGCGCCTCCAAAATCCGTCCATTATCCGTAGATTTTTACCAAATATTGACCGATTTTGGGACGTCGAAAAGTTTGTATAATTCTCAGATAGCCGGATATAGAATATAAAGCTCATATTATGCGGTTATTCTAAGTAATCTACCAATAAAAGTGAGGATATAATAATGAAGAGTCAGGCCTGACCTCGGCTATCTTTCGGTGATGAATCCGGTAATCTTCAGCGAAATTACCGGGTGTTCACTTTAATGCATGTAATGTCCTCGTCTCAGCTTGCAAATACACCGCCATGGCTGCGCCTAGACGGCTAGCACAAATCTTGGATTCACTCAACCCCTCGACAGGGGCACCGATTGGACAATTGAAGTTGGGAAATATCACCTATGAAGTGACAAACGCGCTAACGCCGTCGCGATTACCTTCAAACACCAGTTGGGCGTGGGCCGGGAAGTCTCTGGAAGGCAGTATGGAAACCCGAGGCTCGTATTTGCTGGATCCAACGGATGAAATGAATGCGGAGAATCTGCACTTTATGTTGCAAAAATATCTACTGGGTCAGGATATCTTTCTGGTGTCACAACCCGGACCATATGCACGACGTCTAGCATTGACTTTTGCGAGTCTGATGAATTTAGAGTATGAGTATGTTGCGTTGCATAGGGATGTGGGCGAGACGGAGCTAAAGCAAGTGCGTTATTATCTGCCGCAAGGTGATATCTGATTTATATACTATATCTGATGTACAGGGAAGAGAAATTCGAGACGGAGGCAGTCTCGCATATGTGGATAGTCCTGCAGTTAATGCGGTTAAGCACGGTCGGTTGTTGATTTTGGAAGGCATTGAGAAAGCCGAACGAGGTATCATGCCGATACTAAACAACTTGCTTGAGAATAGAGAAATGAATTTAGACGACGGGACGCATATAATTCATCCACACCGGTATGATCTACTCGAAGAACGTCAGGATAATCTCATTCCGGCTCACAAGAATTTCCGGGTCATTGCAATTGCTGCCCCAGTGCCACCGTATCCCGGATATCCTCTCGATCCTCCCTTTCGAAGTCGGTTCCAAGCGCGTTTCATCGACCCACTTGGTGCACTGTTAGTGTTGTCCGGCTCTCCTTCCGTTGGCTCCGACACGGCAGTGTATTCAGCCCTCCGGTCCGTCATCCTTGCGACACAATATTCGTCCGAATCTCGACATGCGCTTGATTTTGTTCCTTCAGCAAAATCAGTGCTCCCTGCATTCCCGCAAACAGCGTTGTTGAAGCTTCGCGCCATTTTCGCGAAATTCCCGCCTGACGAAATCAAAATTGAGCCTTCCGTTCTCGCACAGATACTTTTGACCATCCATCCGGGGTTGATACACGCGCAATTCCAAGCTTGGGCACTACTTGCAAAACAGATTGAAGAAACTGGAACCGGACTCGACCTTGGCAGCCCATCTGATGTCGATTTCGGTCTCTGTGGGTACATCGCTACATCGATCGAGCGTATCAGTGAGACGACAGCAAGAGTATCTTTCTGTGGTTCCAGTTCAAAATCCACAGTCTCCCATATTGTTCCTTGTGGCCCTCAGCCTTTCCGCTGGTTTCCGCTGCAGGAACAAACCATTTTAGATCATTCGGACGAGATAATTTTGGTGACACCCCGCTTTCTCGGCCTTCTCACTACTTTTCTACAGGCTCATGTTCTTGGCTGGGATATTTCTTACCTCCCACCCCTGCTATCTTCTACTGCGAGTACCTCGACCTCGACGTTAGTTCGAATTTTTGCAGAGGTTCGTGCTTGTTTTCGGAATACCGATTAAGAACAAACCTTATTCTTCGAATACACAGATATTAGGCTATGAACTCGAAACAATTCACCTATATAAAGAACTAGGAGGACGGGAGATCATCATGCGGCGGCGGGTACTATCTGACCGTAATAACACTACGAACTCTAGCTCTACTAGGACCACATGGGAGCCTTCTCCTCTCATCCGTGGCGCTTGGAGTGGAAAGCTCGTCTGGCTGGAAGGTATAGACGTTATTACGGGTACCGGCGCCGCAGGGAGCCTATCTCGATTTGTCCAGGATAGAGAGATAGAGTTGTGGGAGGGACGGAGAATTGTGGCCAAGAAGGAAGAAGAAGAGGCTGCTGACCTTCTCACCACTGCTCACCCTTCTTTCCGCCTCTTCGTCACCGCTTCGAAGTCTCTTCAATTGAGAGACTGGCTTTCAGACGAGCACGCAAACATGTTTTTTACGATCCCCTCTAGACCTATGTCTTCTTCGGAAGAACGCACGGTACTGGTGAACACCGGGTGCGACCCGGCCGTCGTTGACCTCTTGTTGACATTTGCGGAAAAGTATCGTCAAAGGATGGACATTGGAGTTTCATCTGCAAACGTAGGAAACGGACACAACAGTAGCAGCGCAGTTCAAAGGAACCGTAAACTAGGCACTCGCACTCTCATCCGTATATCCAAACGTCTGGCACTGTTCCCACAAGAGGCCTCACAGGAAACATTAAGGAAGATATTTGACCACGCGTTGCTGTCAGAGTTTCTACCGACAACGGAGCGGATGGTTTTGAATGGCTTATTGGAGGAGGTCGGACTAGGTAGTGCTAATTTCGAAGAAGACAATTCTTACTCTCGTCCGCCGTTCATCGACTCTGATGCACAACCTGCGGCATTGATATTCCCCTCGCCCAGTCGTACTGTCCCAAGCAATTCCTCCCTCTCTGTACCAGCCCCTTCTGCCACCGCAATACCTCTTTTTGATCCTGCTAGAGATCCTACTGGATCCGTGTCACTAGTCCCCTACATGGATCATTTCCATGATAATTCCCTCCAAACAGGATTAATGAGGGATCTTGCAGTCGACATGGAGATTATGGGCGAGAATTTGGTATTGTTGGGCAATCAGGGTGTGGGGAAAAACAAGATTGTTGATAGGTGAGTTATCCATTTTCAGGCGCTTCTTGGATCTTATTCCTTTTTCATCTGACTTTAAGGCTTTGTCAACTTCTTCGTCGTCCAAGAGAATACATTCAACTTCACCGGGATTCGACCGTGTCCCAGTTGATGTTCACAACATCCCTCGTCGACGGTGTTCTCACCTACTCCGACTCTCCGCTCCTCCGCGCAATTAGGTTCGGGAGGGTAATGGTCGTCGATGAAGCGGACAAGGCTCCAGAGCATGTTGTCGCTGTGTTTAGAAGTCTCGCTGGGCGCGGAGAGCTGACATTGAGCGATGGAAGGAGGGTAAGGAAGAAGGGCAAACCGGGTGAAAAGGAGCAAAATGAAGACGGGAGGGACGATATCATTGTTCATAAAGACTTTAGACTAGTACTGTTGGCCAATAGACCTGGGTATCGTAAGTTATTGTTCTCTACTTCTATTTCCTTTGCTAACATCATGAATGTTTAGCTTTCCTCGGAAATCACTTCCTCCAAGTCCTCGGTGAATCATTCTCTCCTTACGCCGTCTCGAATCCGGATCAAGCATCTGAACGAAAGCTTCTACAACAGCTTGCGCCTGACATGGATGAGGACGTGATTCTACGGTTCGTTGGTGCTTTTGCCGATTTGCGGAAAGAATATGAGATGGGAAAAGTGGGTTATCCGTATTCATTAAGAGGTAAGCCTTTCTTCTACATGATGTTCTTGTGTGATACTTACTGGATGCGCCAGAGCTCATCAATCTCGTTCGGCACATACGCGCGTATCCAAGTGATTCATTGGATGATGTGTTCCGGAACGTATTTGATTTTGATGTATACAAACCAGAGACGATTGAGAAGCTGAGAGAGATATTAGACCACCATGGGTATGTTGAGCCACACTTGTTACTATCATCTCGCAAAAAAATCGTACACAATGTCACGTCTCACGACTTCGATAGGTTGCGCGTTAAACACCTTGGTATTGACGCTGCCCGTGAAGCATCCTCTTCCAAAGCAGTCAAAGACGTGCAATACATTCCCAAATCACCTACGGGTCCCTTGAAAAATCCCAAAGAAGGTGAACATGATGATAAACAACATGTAGGTGGGAATAGATATGCTGGTGGGGTAAGTTTTGTTTCTTGTCTTTCTCTTGCCTTCAATTGAGAATTTTAGGTTGGAGGAAGAGAAACTGCGGGATTAGGAGGAAGAGGTGGTTATAAACGGTTGTACAAAGGCGGTGATATCAAACAAGTATATTTTCTCTCATATCTTTTTCTCGCAGAATCGGCTTACCAGTTCATACCATCTCCAGCTCCCGGAAACGGTAAAACGGGAGGTGCCCGAGGAAATACGAGAGAAAGCGCGAGAAATGGCACGTCAAGAGCTTCTTCGCCGACTTGAGGAATTGGATATGAGCGAGATGGAGGCTAAAGGATACGGACAACTACTCCAAGCGACGCAATCACATATGTTATCGCTTTTTGATTTACTTGAAAGTGCGTTTTCAGGCTCCAAATGTGATTATGCGCTGAACCCATAATCGTGCATATATTACTAGACCTCGCTGCGAAAGAAGAAGAGCGCATATGGGTGAAGAGGCAGACTGACGGTGAATTGGATGACAGTCGTCTAACGGAGGGTATCACAGGGGAGCCGACAGTTTATAAACGACGTACGATGGAAAAACCTGAGACTGGAAAACCTCAAATCAAGTGATTCTTCTTCTCATTTCGTTTTCTGACCGACTTCTCTGACGGATTACGTGTCCTATGTATATATAGGCCAAAGCGTATTAGATTCATCTTCGACTTGAGCGCGTCGATGTACAGATTCCAATACGATGGGCGTTTGCAAAGAAGTATGGAAACTGGTTGGTGATCTTTTATATATGCAGTGGATTCGGCTGATTGAATTACAGCTGTAATGTTAATGGAGACCTTTGACCGCCTCTCGAGAAAGGACAAATATGTTTGGGATGTGAGTTAAACCTTCTTTCACCCTCATAGTACATATATGTCCTGAGTTGACAAATACAGATGTGTGGCCATGTAAGCTACAATGTTGCTTCTGACTTGTTGTGACTCTGACAATACTATCACCAACCCCTTAAGTCAGGGGATGAACCGCTCATATCACTAGTCACCGCTGAACAGCCACCCACGAAAATCAAGGAACGCTGGAAGGTGACGGAGAAGATGTATATGATACCGCAATATGCTTTTGCGGGCGATAACACAGGTAAGGAAATGAGATTTTGCACCGCGACAACTATCGATCCTATTTTATTTTCCACACAGTTGAAGCGATTCAGAAAGGCGTAGATGACGTTGCTAAATTTGATGCAGGTACGCATGTTGGGCCTACCTTTACATGTGTACAGTACTCAGTGTGCAGTAGACGATTGGTTCGTTATAATTATCACCGTAAGCTCAAAGTCGAATTTCCGCTGTCTTTGAATAATGCTTTGTCGCAGGACGCAAATTTTGGGCGTTATCAAATTACACCGGAAGAAGTTTTACGAGCGATGAAGAGAAATTCTAGAGTTCATACTGCTTTAATATGTATAGGGGAAGGAGCAGATGCGCAATGGTATGTTTTCTTTGTTACAATTTATTTACTAAATTGACCGGGCCATTCAAGGATTGAAAAGGTTCTGCCTGGATCAGTCTTCCGAGTGAAAAATACAAATGACATACCAATGGTTTTGAAAAGCATCTTGTCTTCAATGGTTAACGAATAGGTTGTTTGAAGTAGAATGCGTGATTGCAGCGTACAGATGCAGTGTACAGATGAAACAACAGATTGGTAGAAGTCAGGTGTTTACATTCTTTGGAATTAGATCAATATGGGATACAATGTTATTTCTGCCTATAGATTGATAGTAATACATTTGGACGTCGGGGGGGCTTATTAGGGTTGATTTGCCTCTTGCTGAACCCGTCCTTTATCGTGACGGACATTTCCTGAATTTGTATTCAGTACAATAATTGACTGCGAAGAGTGGACATCCTTACCAGCCATTTGCTGTTGCTTGTCTCCAGTAACAGCACCCATAACGGAATCTATCTTTCCTCCTGCACGGTCGATAGTACCATTGGCGTACTCTTTAGCCTGAGCGGCATTATATTCGGCTTCGCCCTGAACATGTTGCTCTTTGCCTGCTTGTGTCCAAGAGTCACCACCAATGGCGTTTCCGAAAGCCTCTTTGGCGGTTCCCATCATCGAGTTATATTGGCCATTGGCTTTACTATAGCAGTCTGTATAAGGCGTACTGATCATGGAAGATTGGGTCGAACAAAGCTTACCTGGGCTCTGAAGAAGTCTGGTTGGAAGACATGTTTGTTGATTGTGAAGTTTAGAAGGTGAATGATTGTTTGTTTTTTTGCCGAACCTTTAGGTAAGGCTCCTTACAAGAATGTTTCGTCTGTTTTAGTAGGGGGGAAGTTGGCCTTATCCACCAGATCTCGACCGATATAGACAAGTATGACTAAGCAAACTCATCAAGCCAAAGAAGGATAAACCGAGTCGGCATCTGCCCAATCAAACTCAAATTTGAATCAACGCATTAGTAGAAACAGGCTGCAGAAATAGGCTGCAGAGCAGCCAGAGCAGTATTGCTTATACAATCAATCAGAGGAAATTTGAGAAATAGATAACTTGTACAATGTAAGAGTTATTTGCCCTTCATGGTTGTATTCATGTAATATCTTCCAAACAGGCAGTGCCAATTGATGGCCATTGATAGCTGCTGTTCTGCAAGTATTGAACATGGTCACTCAACATACTCAACAGTCAACCATTGGGCCATTGCCTTGCCATTGCCTTACAGGGCACTACAAAGTGAGTATACTGTTTGTGTATAAGTACATCTCAATATTCAGCAGATTGGTAGTGGCCTGTTATATAAGTGTATATTGGATATAGTAGTACTTAGATGTTCGGCCCTTGCCGCTTGCGGCCTTACCCCCAGTCATGAGTAGTGTTTTCCATGTTATATATTGTTTTGGACTCCATTTCGTCATAGCACAGATGAACGCTGGGAGTACTCGTCATTACATCGTCATACGGACCTTTGGAGCGTTGAGAAATTACGTAGTTGCACAACTTGCAAGGTCATGTGAAAATCACAGGTGCGTTCTACCGGCCCGCGGGCTTTCCCTTCAATTAAGTTCACTCATCCACGACCCGATAGAGAAAGGCAGCGCAACATGCGCCCAATTCCGAGACTGGAATTTGATCATGACGCGAGACTCGGGCTTCATCTTACTCTATTTTCATTCAGTTCGTGAACAGATTCACTAATGATCACCAGTATCCTTATATACGGGCTTGCGAAGGCTTGTGACCATCGAACCATCGTGATGAATGAATTCCTCCAAGTAGCCAGGCAATCAAGGACCAAACTTACCTGAAACTATGCAGTACCAGTTCGCACGAACGCAAGGAATGCCCTACACGTACAACTAGGCAGTACCCCGCATTTCCCCGCATCCCGCAAGTTACAAAGTGAGCTGTGTTCCGTTGTTCTTACGGCTACTCTGCAGCTTCGCTTCTTGCTAATCTGTGATTTCTACTCTGTATATGTAACATTCGAATCCCAGCGACACAAGAATGGCGAGTAAAAGATCCCCTCCTCCATTCAAGTTCTCATGCTGACACCTTTATATTACTCTACCAATAATCCCAGGCGCCCAAAAAAACCGGAAAAAAGCCTGCTGCTGCTCCTCTGTCGAAGGGGAAGGCGGGTAAAACGAAGAATCCGATGTTCGAGGCTTCTGCGAAGAATTTTGCTATTGGTGCTTACAGTTCCATTCGTTTTCGTTGGTGCTACACCTCACTGTATCCTGATTACAGGGCAGGACATCCGGCCTCCAACTGATCTTACCCGCTTCGTCAAGTGGCCTGAATACGTTCGCTTCCAGAGACAGAAAGTGATTCTTAATCAGCGACTTAAGGTCAATTGTTTTTTTTCTCCTGTTATTAAATATCCCTATAAGGCTGATCCTGACTTTCCCTCGAAGGTCCCTCCCGGCATAGCTCAATTTAGTCACACACTCGACAAGAATACTGCTACCCAATTATTCAAGCTGTTTAACAAGTATCGCCCTGAGACAAAGGTAGAAAAAAGAGAGAGATTGACCAAAAGAGCTGCAGAGATCAAGGATGGGAAGGAGCCCACCAAAGATGTATGTATAACATTGAATGTCCTGCTATTTCGTTGACGTAGATACTCACCCCTCTTTATAGGAGACTAAGAAACCTCATTTGGTCAAATATGGCCTCAATCACGTCGTTGCCCTTGTAGAGGCCAAAAAAGCGTCCCTCGTTGCCATCGCGCACGACGTTGACCCGATTGAACTGGTCGTCTACCTGCCCGCCCTTTGTCGCAAGATGGGTGTACCATATGTTATAGTCAAGGGCAAAGCGCGTTTGGGGACGCTGGTGCATAAGAAAACAGCGGCAGTTGTAGCGATTAACGAGGTCAAGAGTGAAGATCAAAGGGAGCTGGCCACACTCATCAGCGCTGCAAAAGCAAACTTGTGAGTGCCTCAAGATTCTATGATATGATATGTTGAAATGAAGTGGATTACCTTTTACTAGCACGGACAAATACGAAGAACAGCGTCGTGTTTGGGGAGGTGGTATTCGTGGTCCCAAGTCTGCGAATATGCTTCGCAAACGGGCTAAAGCGATGGGGAAGACTATCAGTGATGTAAATGCTAAGAAGCTTTGAGCTGCAGTCAGTTGAAGCGCGAGTTGGATTCTCGTTATCAATCTAACATCATATGGTATACAAATGAAAGCATGAATGTTGTACATTTGCCGATTCCAAAAAAACAAATTTATTACGTGTCGTCGGTTTTTGCTTCCACATTTTTATTTTTTTTTATACTCTTTATTAACCGCAAGCAAGTAAGACTATGGTACTAAGGCGCGGGGAGCCGCGGCGACCCAATGAATACAGTTTGTCGCCTGCCTCCGTTACTTGGTTCTGGGTCATGGTGATGAGTCTGCAAGTGTGGGTGTAGCTATGGGTCATATTGTAGTGTATTGTGTAGGTGTCGCGGTAGAGTGTGCTGTGCTCGACTGCACATTTGTGCACATCTTGTAGAATGAAAATAAAAATGAAGTCGCAGTTTGGCTCAGGGTCACGTCTCGGCTTCCGAATCGCTGGAGTCAACTATCTCGTCTCTCCAATCTGCTTCCTGAGTTATGTCTTCCTCTTCCATCCCTCGAGACATGGCGTTTAAATCCTCCCAAATCCCTAGTGGCATGTAGTTGATCTCCGTACACTTGGACCGCGGTTTGCCTGTCACAGTGAAGGCACCGCTTTCTTTCAGAAACTCAGTCAGGGCTTCGATGCCTTCACTGGTCCCGAGTTTTTGCTTCCACATATTTACTAGGCTTCACTATTTCTATCATTCTCATAGCTTCCTCTTACATCTTAGCCACTTTCTCATTCCCTTTTTGTACACATTCCTTTAACCATAGCACTCTTGTTTACCTTTTTCCTGCTATGTCTTCAAGAAATGTATCTAGATGCAAATTTATGGGCTGAAATTCATGCAAGCAAGGTGGATCTCCCTGGAGGGGGACAGTCAATGTTTGCATTTGGATACATAATGTGTACAAAAAATACTTGGAAATCAAATGTCATTTGTACAAATAATTATTTGCCACAATCCTGAGTCCATGCTCTTTTCAATTCAACGCCAACCGCTCAGAATTTCTTTTGATGCCAAGTCAATGATCAGACACATCAGCACTATCCCCAGTACTAACACTGCTTCCTGTACCGCCGCCACTACGACTAGTGCTCCTTGCATATGAATTCACATACATATACATATCCCCACGCTCCAGCCAATCCAGCGCTGTTCGCGCTGTCTCCAGATCTTCACGATCCTCTCTTCCGGCGTTACCAACAATACCATTTCCTACAATCAGACTCCCGACACTCACCCCACCTGCACGAGCGCCTGCGCCTATACCAGGACTATCCAACAAGACGGAATTGGGGGAGGATAAACCGAAGTTTCCGTGGGCATGGGCATGAGGGTGACTATGAGCCCCGATTCCAGAACCAGTGTGTCCAAGCCCGCTGGACGCAGCAGCAACAGACGCATGAGGATGAGGAGGATGTCCGTGTGAATGAGGATGCGTCAATGAAGGATGATAATGATGCTGATCAACTATTCGACGTAGAGTACCAACGAAACCGGCGTCACTTAGAATTTTACGTGCGCCTGTGAGACCTTGGTTGCGACTGTGACCACGCGTTCGCCCTGCTCCGGCCGAGGATGGGTTTAATGAAATATCTGTTATTACACTCGAACCGAAAGGAGTTGTCCCGTATCCAATTTCCATGGTATCTGCGCCGCTGGCTTCCTCGTCATTTCCCTCTTGAATTGCACTTGTATTTGTTCCTGATTCTTCCCCATCTTTGAGAGGACCAAGCTCTTCCGCGATGGCGGCTGCACTTGTCACCGAAGCACTCAAGTCAACCTTTACCATCTCTAGTACAATTCTAATTACTGGTCTCCTGACTTCTGGCCCTTGTTCGGCTAGTACTCGGCGTAAGGCATGCGCCATCCCAGGACAGGTAAGAATCATACGATGATGGTTAACGTCTGAAGAGTTGACGAGATTTGCAAGCAAGGATGTGGATTGAATAAGAACATCCTGGGATGAAGAGTAGGGAGAATGCGATAGAGAACCGGGATGAGATGAGTGAGAGGGGGAGGAAGTTTGATTGAGGATTGAGGTAAGGCGGGAAAGAAGGAGAAAGCCCGTAGATGATGTTGGTGAAGGTGATGTAGGAAAATTGAACGGATTCCGAATATCCAGCTCATTAAAAACAATGGAAATCCCGTCTTCGTCCTCGGCTAGATTGCGAAGAATGTTGAGGACTTGTTCGAGAATCTTTGCCGAATGTGAACTCAAAAGACTAGCAATAAGTTAGTACAAATTCAGAGGAAAGAAGGTTTTGCCTTCTTACTCGTCAAGCTTGCTCCTTTTCGACGCTGTCTCAGGATATGCAGTAGATTTTTGCCGATGCCAGCCTAGAACACTGATTACTTGCCGCTTAGTGGCGGGCCCTGATTTCCTGACAAGATTCTTTACCGCCCAAAGTGAATTGAACCGAAGACTATCCTCTGTATCAACATCAGATTCGGCGTCAGGATAATCAAAGTCTGCATCCAGATGATCAGAGTGTATGAATTCAGCCAGCCTAGGGAGCAACCCATGCTCAATGTAGATTGATTTGAGTGGACTGAATTCACAAACAGCATTACAGACCGCGCGAAGAGCAGAGGCTACAACACGGATATCCTCCTCTTCCGAACCGCTTGTACCTAAAGCCGTCCTAGGGCGAGCCTGCGGCCAACCCATGAAAGCGGCGAAAACGATCCAGCCCAAGCCAGAGTCGACAAAGTTCGTGCGAATTACGGCAACGCTGCGGGTCAGAGCACGAACAACATGGCAGGCGGCACATCGCAGAGATGTATGTGGGGACAGAAGGGCAGCAAGAATGAGTGAGAGAGACGATTGAGATTGGTGTGAAGAGGAAGGAGAGCTATGGAGCTGAGACGTATCATTACTATCAATTGATTGGGTTTCGTCCTCGTCCTCGGCCAGTGCTCTTCGAATATCATTTGAGAACAGAGATATACTAGCCAAAGACAATAGAGTTGCTTCTCGCAGACGAATATCAGCTTTGGGCTGATCAAGGTCGTGTTCGAGCCACGATTCCCATTCAGGACCTGCGAACAATGCAGATGTAGGGGGATTTAAGGGAGGAAGCGGTGGAAGGGATGTACACGGGGGGGTCAGCCTCCGCAAAGTAGTAAGCAGGATGCGCAAAGCTCCGCGGTCGAAAGCAAGTTGGGCATACACTGGAGAATCTGTCAAAAGTTGAGATAGAATGAAGGCAGCTTTGGCTGAGTGAGTTGTTCCGTTTACAATAATGGCCATAAGGACGCTTAGAATTGCATCAACTGCTGGTGACGGGCTCGACGACGTTCTAAGAATGTAGGTCGCACAGAGACACGCAGACAGCTGAATCTCGCCAACACAGGATTTCGCGTGATTGACGATATCCTGCAGAGGCAGCTCGTTCGCTACTGCAGGATTATCCTTTGCCAGGGCAGCCAGAGCAAACAATGCATTTCCAAGCGTCTCCTTCCTACCAGTAAGCTCTAGGAGGATGCGAAGGACATGACCGCTAGATGCGGATGGTCTCGTTGCCTCCCAACCTCGCCGCTCCTTCTTCTCCCTTTCACCAGCGTTCCGCCAAGCACAAAGTCGTTCTCTCACTGGCTGCGTCCGGACCACATTTCCAATCATGCCGGCAACAACACCTGCCTCCACACCAGACAGCATTGGGATCCAGATGTCCATTGCTTCTGAGCCAAAGAACCATTCCAGTGTCTGTACTGCTGCTCCAGTGAGCGATTGCGCTTCAAGTGTACCAAAACCCCATTGCGGAGGCCCTACAAGTTCGGCCAAGTCACCAGATATCCCGCTCAATGCACGGGCCAGTGCCACCCTCAATTTCACTTGTGTAGTTATCGTGGTTGACAATGCAGACAAACAGCACCTCAATGCATCTTCTTCGATCAACGCGGCCAATACTGTCGCATCAGCTGTGTGTCCTCCAAGAGATGCAAGTGACCCCAGAATTTGAGCCGCTTCTGTCCGCACGTCGTCTGCAGCCATTACATCCATCGTAGTCTCAACAAGCATCCTCATCATTGCATGGTCTTTTGCGAGTCGATGTTTTGCTGAAGGGGTTCCAATAATTCGATTTTTTAATTGCTTGAGTTCGCTGAGCGTTGGGGAAGTTGGATGAGAAGACGACGAAGAGGCAATGATTGCCATCGCAAGCGACGGTGACGAGACGGTAATATAACAGATGGTAACTTGGAAAACACATTGGGTTTACGTGGTCAAGGATCTCGGTCCGAACCGCTTTCGCGTGCCGGCCCCCGGGAGTATTTCTTCGATTTGCATTGCAACGTTCCTTTCAAAGAGTTGGGGGCTGATAATGCATATTCACAGTGCACACTACATAGTCTCTCTCCATGGTCTCTCGAGACCTACATAGCGCCAAATTAATGTGACCTGTAACTATTGTGATTGCTCCGAGAATTCTGCTCCTTTCTGCTCCAAAGTTACCAGAGAAGCACTACTACGCAGCATAAACAACAAAGTGCACGAAGGGAATACTTACACTACATAACTGAAGAGATCCTTCAAAACTCGTTTGACTCGTCAGCATTCAAAATGAGGGTCACAAAAAACCGAATGGTCTCCAGGAGAGAGTCCACACTGAAAGCTGATTTCGAGTCAAATGAGAATATGCTGAAGAAGAAAAAGGCTATCACACATTCATTCACGGTATGAGCCCCTGACAGAGGGTTGTTTGAGCTTCCTCCATTGTGGTGTTTGTATCGGAAAATGTGCTCGGACAATGACCAATAATACTTCGTATCTAAGTATTGTCTGGTCATTATAATACACTAACTTAAACGCAGATTAGAAATTTACCTGTGTTTCCCGTAGGCATGCCCGGACCTACGACAATATTATTGCCTTGCAAAGCACGATGCGCATTGTACGTAGCTTTGATGGTTCCAGATAACAATTGATACTGGGCAGAATTAATCGGTGTAATAGGTGCAGGTTCCAGCCCAACGGAGGTCGTAAATTTCAGATTTCCTTTCATTTCAGCATCCGGAACATATAATATTTCTCCAAAAACCGAAAACTCCAGGCCAAACTCTATGGCAAGTGGCAAGAAGAGATCAATGTCGTGCTTTGTTGTGGCATTCACTGAGCTGCAAATTTTAATGAGTATTAGTTGTTTCCCCAAGAGAGCGCATAACAATGACAACTGCAGCCAACCTAGTTGTAGCAATGCGATGATTCACGATAGCCCAAGCTTGTTCAGGCAGTGCATTAGACTTGACTCCCCCACGAATTACGTCGACAGCTTGTGTGGTTCCGATCAAGCTTTTGAACCACGGATCTTTGAAAAGGATATTTTCAACTTGCTGCAGGGCGTCATCAGAATTCGCCGAATCCTTTATGGCATCACGTAGAGTAGAAGGAATTGTGGCGCCATGCTCAGCGAAGCATTGCAACAACTCATAGCTGGATGTTCCGCGTTCCTAAAAATGAGCTTCAGAGATCGCTGGTAGCCTCTTGAGATAATCGATTAGTGTACAATATGAACTTCGAACGGATGATTCTCGAGTTGAACCAATAGTGCGGAAAGAATGCCAATACTCTGTGTAACGTGTAAATCAAGATAGATGTATTTATAATAAGCTTGTACTTACAGTGTGTTCTGGAGGGGTACTTGAATGCCCACCCGGTGCAGCTAAGTATATATTTGCATTCATAGAGCCCTTTTCGGCAATTCCTGGTGTCGCAATAACAGTGCCAAATTGCTCCGAGAACCCCCCTGCACATTTGGATCAGGCCATTGGCTTCTTTAGCCTCAGTTTCTCAAGTGTAGGAAGAAAAATCTCCGTACCACCCTCATCAATGATAAAGGCAAAAGAATTTTGGCCATACCGATTTAACATCGCGTCAGCCAGTTCTTTTGCACCCTGTGATCACGGTCATTAGCATACAAAGCAAAAATGAAGCATTCACAAACATGGAGCCCTCCGCATCAGGAAACACGGAATTTTCTATGTATCACTATATAGACTCGATCATGATTATAGTCTCATATACAAGTCCCCTAACCTGTATCACTATAGTAGCAATAGTAGTTACCACCAAGTGCTACATAGCTCACATAGCACAAATAGTCTAATGCTTGCCTACTTAGCCTACAAATCTATTTATGCAACATAGGGTATAGGTACTACATAGTTCAAGCTACAACTACACAAAAAAAACAAAAATTATTCACACCGAAATCAATTACTCCAAGAAAGAAGGAATGCAATAGTATATTTTCACAGCATACATATGTTACTATTTTCGTACAAGCAGCGTAAATAAGCAGAAACCAAGATAGATATTAGACAAGTCTGATTTGTGATAGCTAGTCTAGCTAGTATATGAGATAAATAATTTGCCCTGGTTGGAGCGCAAGTAAGCAGAGCCTAAACAAAAATAATAATCAGAGGAATTCTGACATGAACACAACATACACGTACCAGTATCAGTTGCACCATGATTGCCCTGTTCACACAATTCCTGTCAAATAAAGTGGGTAAGAATTGGTTGGCAGATAAGATAAAATTGCTTACCTGTTTCCGAATGCAACTGCTACCATTCCACTGCTCATTGCCACGTAGTTGCTGCCTAGTAACCAGTCGCTGAAGGCAGGTGTAAAGGGAAAGATAACGAAACATAACACGAATATGACAAAAGGAGTATGTGGACAGTGGACAAGGCCAACGCCAATGGACCACAAAATGGAGGAGAAAGGAAGAGAGAAGGGGAGAACGACGGATTTTGTATTTTCTTCGCGCGTTGATCACTTGGAAAACCGCGGGAAAATATTTCTCAGCACCTGTATAGTGCCACGTGAATATGCCGGGCCTTGGTTTTTTCTTCTTTTTCTTTTAAGTCCGATCATACAGTATGCGTTGTCTTCAATTTTGTGTTGACCATGAATTATTTTACAGTGATTTCAAGTTGATGTCTACATACATACTGTCAGTACCGTAGTTAAAGTCATTGAATATAGTTTATTCTTCTTGAATTGGTTCAACATTGTTAAATCATAACTAAATAATATATATAATGCAGTCTACACATGCTATGGAATATTAGGCAAAAGCAACGGAGAAGATCATCAAAATTACTGAAGCTATGTAAGTCTACTTGATCACCTTAGTGAAGTACGTAGTGATACAATATCATACATAGTAGTTGCAGGGTTGCTACGTGAACTATATAGTGCTACCAATACTATGGAGCTTGGCAGGGGGACAATATTGGCTATTGTACTCTTGCCCAGGGCAATATAGCCGGTTCAGTGTTTCCTGATGCGCCTTCTTCGTCAAATCCAAACGCAATCACGAAAGTGCGGGTTGGCTGAAACCCATGACGTAGGAGAACCTCGATGGCACCACTATCACTAGAGTGAAAATATGTATCTGTAGGTTTTCAGAACACGCACTCACATCGTACTAATCAATCCACTCTTGTCGTCATTCGAGCCTCGACCCCATATGAGTTTACCTGAGTATGAATGAGAATATTAGGAGTTGAATTTCAACATTTGCAATCAATCATCACCATCGAAGTGTCCCGAATAAGGGGGATACGCCCACTCTGAGAGGGTATCAGAATTAACAGGAACGACATCTTACGAGCGTGGTTAAAATCATAAGGAATGGGTAGACGTGACACCGCACCAAAATGCGCCATGAGAAGTGAAGGCTTTAATGAGACGTTGGATCCTTGCCAAGTATATAACAGGCCATACGTGTTGATCCGTTCGAGCTTGAGAGCAGAATGGCTAACCAGAAATGATCTAAGTGCACAATCGTAATTGGCATAGATTCACTCACACAAGCGGGAAGGTATTCTCCAAATATTCATGGAATAGTAACCGATTTTCCCAACGAGGATCTTCACCCACCGGTCCCAAATCATCGTACGTTTCGGTTCTATAGCTCAATGAAAGGCAAAGGTTTTATGAAACACAAGGATCACTCACTCAATCTGAACTGCTCCAGAAAGCCAGTCAATCGCAATAATTTTGAAGTCGTTCGTGCTCATCCCTTCTCCAACTGCAGACCATAACTCATGATTGATGTGGGGAACCAGGACTTCTGCTTGTGGGCAAAGGCTAGAGATCAAGTCTTGAGATTTCAGTGTATTATCCGAATCGACCTTGACGGTGATGAACAGAAGAGTGATTGTAGAAAGCAATCCTGCACATGCGACAGCGATGGGTTTCAGAAGTCGCGCAGCCATCGACCGACGACGGGAAGGCCATGCAGAAACAGATAAATTTGTAGGAAGCAGTGAGCCCTTCTCTGGAAATGTCCTATTTGCAGATATTCGGGCCATGCGAAAGGTTGAGACTCAAAGACTGAAATAAACGACAAATGAAGATCCCAAAGTCCATACTAGGAGAAATAGATGGAGTAGGATTGCAATGGCATAAAATGCAATGATAATGGTGTGACATTGGCGATTGAGAGCGATAAGCTTCGATAAGCTTTAGGCGCCGAGTGAGGTCAAACTGACGAGTCAACAACATAGGGAATTATATTGTTATAGACATTCAAAGCCCAAGTATTTTAACATATTTATGTAGGGCCGAGGAAAACCTTCAAGGAGTATGAGGCTGATAGCAACTGTAGTACTATAAAGGAGCAAGAAGAAAAATCTGTTAAACAAACGAATAATCCAGGCAATTACAGATGAAATATAACTAGGAATGTCCATCTTCCATCTGCTCCATGGCCATCCGCTTCGGCGTTGAAGGGCCCAGAGAAGCGTCAGTTGTTCGATTACTGATACTCGGGTTCGGAGGCGAAATGAACAGCGGTGATGTAACAGTAGCGTTTATATTTTTCACAAAGGCACTGTTTTTGTCGATGTTCGAGGGTCCAAAACTCGAAGCACTTGCTGAGGTCGATGTAGGTAGAGGGCTAGGAGGAAGTAATGTTCCAATATTCGTCGGGAGCACATGGGATACCAATGTATTAGTAGGTGGAGGTGATGAACTTGGTGGGACCTTTGTAATGGCATTATGACTAGGATTGGTCTGAATTTGTGACGTCGGAAGTGGGGAACGCTCTCGGTATGGTGGTGGGGAATGTATTCGCGACTCCGCTGGACCTAAAGGGCCGGTATCATTTGCCGCAGCCACGGCTGGGCTGGCGGCACGAGGCGGTAAAGCCCTTGTTCGGGGTGGAGATATCGTCGATGATGTTGCAGTTAATGATGGTCCGGGAAGGATTGACCCGTGTGTATGAATGGGACTTGATGAAGATGCATTGGAGGAGGACGGGCGGCGACTCGAAGAAGGATGCATTGAATCTGTGAAAATAATTAATGATCGATTACAAGATTGGTATGAGAGATTGACGAACTAGGCCTGTAGGGATCATCACGATCTATTGTATTCCATGAAGGGGGACGAGAAGACGATGCAGACGAGGAGATCGCAATACCGTTGGTTTGTGCTTGGAAGTTGAGACCTGATACGAATGGCATGGTGCTAGCTTGATTCCTGTCACGATCCCTGTCTCTGTTATCCCTGTCTCTTTCTCTTTCTCGTTCATCTAGGAGCCTCTGTCCAGATCCAGAAGAAGGCCGGCCACCGTTCATTCTTCTACCATCACGTTGTCGTTCATGATATTCGAGAGGCGAATCATCTGGGATACGGTTAGAAGAGAACTGAGATGTTGAGTGTCCGACGGGGGTTAATTTAGAAGAGGTGAGGTTGACGACTTCCGTTGGAGGATGACGATGAACGATTGTACGTGGAGGCCTATTCCCATTCTCCCGTTCTCGCTCTAAAAGCATCTCCCCTCTTCTCATTCGCGGGCTGACTGACGGACCACGGACGACAGTAAGAGAAGTATTGTTACCTACGGAAGAAGGACCATGATGGTGGACGATGTGATGGTGATGCGGACGGACGTGATGGTGATGATGCGGAGCTTGATCAGGATATGAATGTACATGAGAGGGAGTATTGAGAGCACCAGCTGATTGCGGTCGAGCATGTTGCTGTTCTTGCTGAATGTGTCGATGTTGGTGAGCAATATGTTGGTCTCTCTCCCTGTCCCGGTCTCTATCACGTTCACGGTCTCTATCCCGTTCTTGACCCCTGATATCTCCGGCATCTGTGTGCTCCGTTCTCTCTAGTTCGCGCTCATGTTCTTCTGCTTCCCACCGATGACCAGTCCCAAAACCACCCATGCCCATACCTGGACCCATCCATTGCCCATTGCCTTTGATACTGTTTAGTCCGATGCCAACACTGGGTCCGATGGGTGATATTGATCTTTTCTGTGGACTCGATGCAGGAGGGGGGCCTCCGCCTCCGATTCCAGGCCCAGGAGGGCCAAAATGGGTTGAGGAAGAAACTTGTCTACCGTGAATGCCATGAACAGAAGAAGAGGCGGAAGAAGGAACGACGACATCCCCGTCCCGCTGATGCTCAGATTCAGGGAAAGCGCCGTTAGTGGTGGTAGAAGGATCAGAGAATAAGTGTTGAGATTGACCATTGTGAAAAGAAGATCGTCCGCCACTTCCTCCGCTTCCGCTCGGCACAGAACGGATTTCCCTCTCCCTATCTACTCCGCCGCCAGCCGACCCCGACCTCAGCCCTGCAGTAGATCCTGACCGGGGGCCCACACCTCCCATAGATCTGCTGGGACCAAACGAAGGGAGAAGCGACTCACTACCACCTCCACTTCCCATCGGGGGCGGAAGACCACCCACAACGAATGGAGGTTCGTGCACATGACCCATCCCCACAGTGGACTGGGAAGATAAAGAAGAACCGGACAATGTCCCGGGGCCTGAGACAATCCGCCTGGCTGGTCCGGGGACATGGCTTAAGGAGGACGATCCTGGACCTAATCGCTCTCGCATGGGATTAGACACATTATAAGTTCCCGATCCCGGCGTGTAGACATGTCCAAGACCAACAGGAGGACCGTGTACCCCTTGCTCGTAGATCGGCAGGTTGATATTCATATCCATGTTCAGGCCATTGTTGCCAACGCTCATGTTCATTCCCATACCCATTGTATTCGTCTGTGTGGAACCTGGCCCTGATCTCCTAGCTCCTGTCATACTAAGCAAGTTCTCTAGATCCCCCTGCGATTCCGATGAGGAAAGAGTGGAAAGCTCAGGATATGCCACAGTCAACCCGGGGGTAGCGTGTGTGTTGATTCCATGCAAGATCCTATGAAAGTGGTTTTGTTGGATCTGCGACTTGCTGCTTTGGGTTTTGCGCAGCGATTTATGCCGATGATTGCGTATGATCCGATCAGAGTTGGCGAAAGGGAACGAGTCAACGATCTGGCGAAGGGTAGGCGCGGGCGGAAGGAAGTCGAAACTTGGAGGAAAAGGTATTCTACGAGCTGCATTGCGGTTATCAATATTCAATGAAAAGATGAGAAGAAGCAAACAATGGCATTCACCGGTTTGAGGCCTATCAACAGCCCGTCGTTCTCGTTCCAATTTTCGGCGTTTACGATTATTTTCTGCAATCATATCTGTTTGTAGTTCGTCTCTTTGATGCTATAAGGGGATGAGTGACAGTAAAAAAAATGTAGGGAAGGCATGTATACCTTCCACGAACTCCAAGTCGCGTCTTCATCAATCTTCCTGCGTTTGGTTATGTTTGCTATTTCAAATGTACACTTGCGTTCCGATAGTTCTAAGCGCTTGTTTTTACGCGACAAAAGCTCGCTTTGTATAAAGATTAGTTCCGGATGTTCACCTAAAGTATGTGAGATCTCAAGACGGGGACGGAAAGTAATCGCATACCACTTGCTACCAAGGATTCTTCCCAAGCTAATTCTTCCATCTTCTCTATATACAATTTCTCTCTTAGCAAAGCAAACTTGAGCTCAACGATGGCAAGCATGTCAAGAGCTTCAACTCGATGTGCAGGTTGAAGATCGGATTCCTCCTCTTCATCCTCGAGGTTTATTTCTGAACGATCGTCATCGTCAATATCCTTCTCCACATCCTCTTTGTCCGAGACTTCTTTGTCTTCATCGTCTTTGTCTTCGTCGTCTTTATCATCATCTTCCTTATCATCATCCTGAACCTCGTCTACCTCCAACTCGTCCGCATCATCTTTCTCATCTTCACCCTCGCCCTCATCATCATCATCTTCCTTTTCGTCTTCGCCGTCAGAGACATCAGAGGGAGCATCGACGTCCGGCTCGACGTCGACTTCGACATCAGGTTCAGGTTCCGCATCGGATTTATCTGAAGGGTCAGGGTCGGGATCTAACATGACCTTGCTTACATCTGCGAGGGATGTGCCCTCTTCTGGCTCTAAGGTCTCGTCCTTGAAGGCGGCCACCTTGGTAAGTTTGGATTTGAAATTCCGCGCGGGAGCATCATCAACGTTAACCTCAATGTCCATAGCGTCCTCTTTGCTGGGAGGAATCTCGATATTGACGCCGAGTGTGCCCACTTCGTCGATGCCCAAAGCGGGAGGCCTGTCGGCCTCTAGAGGAACAGCAACCCTCATACCTCGAGTACGAGCACGCCCTCGACCTCGCCCTCTACCTCGACCACCACGAGAAGCCTTCGCCTTCGAATTCGTCGCTGTAGCAGTAGTGGTTGATGGTGTAATCGGAGATTTATCAGATACAGTGGTGTTAGGAGGAAATGAAGAGGGAGGGGTATCAACAGAGTTAAACGGGATATGAGAAGGTAGCTGAGCGGACGCGTCGATTCGGAGGTTTGGCTTAGACCGTGATTTAGCAGTGAGGATGGACTTATGCTGCTCGTCGGGTTCTATCTCATTTTCTTCGATGTCTGTATTGTCATCTTCGTCTTCTGTTGTTGAAGCTCCAGTTGGTATCCTCGAAGTCGAAGCGTATGCAACCTGGGGAACATTGTTCGGAGGCGAAGGTCGTGAGGAGGCGATAGAGTCCGGAGTTGAAGCACGCGGGGAAGCGATTCCATTAGCAACAACCGTTGAGCGATTGATAGTCACTAAGTCTGCCATATCGATGTCACCATCGGCAGGAACAGTGACACCCTTCACCTCGGATACATCAATCAGTTTTTCTTCCTCTTCTTCAGTCTCTTGACTGTCCGATTTGAGCCGAGCAAAGGCTTGTTCAGGGTTTTCTGCGCTCAGTGCAGCAGATGTGAGAACATCAAGGGGATTTGGAGCGGATATGTGGTTGTGTGGTATGTGTACGGCTTCTTTCCCGTCGTTTCCTTCAATTTCCTCACCACCAACATTATGATTCTCCGTATCCTGCTCGGAGCCGTACATAGCCCAGCCCCACATCGGGGCAGGTACAAGTGTGCTTCGTTTCTTTCTTCCTCCTCGACGCGGGCCGCCTCTCATAGTAGACGCTGTGCCTCTTCGATTACTGGAAGAAGAACGAGCAGCACCTGGACTGAGAGAACTGACTTCAGACTTTTTCTGCTTCTGTTTGTGTTTTTGTTTTTCGTCCTGTTCTTCTTCTGTTAGCTCAGAGAGCTCAGAGTCAGAATCGAGACCTGCGGCTGGCTCTGCAGACTTTGGCTTCGTAGACGCTGATACCAAGACAGAGCCTTCAGCTCTGCTTAAAGATGGAGGAGGAGAAGGCGATGGTGAAGAGAGGGAGTCAAGGGAATTTGTCGAACCGCCCATTCCGCCGTCGTCGACAACAACAAAAGGCTTCTGTTCTGGTAATGGGTACGTGCGCGAGAACTTCCAAACTATCTTATCTTATCATTTTCCCACATGTTATCGCTCACGTCACCGTCACATGTTTAGTCCCAAGCACATTATTGCCGAACCTTTAGGTAAGGCTCTTTACAAAAATGTCTCGTAGAATGTATGTTGGCCCTTGTCCCACCTCCCACGCCCATATATAGGCAACAGTTACTATATATATCAATTCGGGATACACCGTATGAATGAGGTCATTGCCGAACCTTTAGGTAATTCCAAATTCCAGCTATGTACTTCAAATCATGATCCTCAGAAAAATGACATGGAGCACAGTAGTCTGGAAGTCTCTTGTCTACTATACTAATCTAGATTACAGCAAATTGCAAAACCAGAGGCGGGTCGGAAAAAAAGCTGAACTGATGGCCAGCTGATGGCCGACAGCGGCAGACCTGCCAACTCAAGTTCCGCCCGCCTTGATCATCATATGAGCAATGGAGTAGAGATGACTGGAAGAGTGGGCACATTGCATAGATTGTGTACCTATGACAATTGATACAAATTCAACATAAGGTAGCAATTTATCTGTAGAATGAATGGAAGGCAGAGAGACTGACTGCTATCTCAACACCTCTCAACACTGTTCGTGGGGTATGGACAGCCGACAGGATTTTTCAGACTTCTCACTATGTATGTATGCGCTGAATTGTTTGTATTCCCATTCCCGCTTGCCTAGCAAGATCTGACTCAGGGCAGCAAATGCTGACAACAAGGCCTTCTCGGTATGGATGTACCAATACTGTCAAGTCCATGCCTCGGGCCTCCATTCCGCCGCTCGGTATTCCGAAGATCTACCTTTATTGTAATCTCTCCTTATTGTTCTTTCTCGCTACACATACCCTTTCGTTCTAGTCCCTCCTTATTGTCTTTTACTTTACCCTGCAGGTACTACTCGTATAGCTCCTAGTAGTTAGTCTGGCGTTCCGCACCGATGCGCCGCTCCGTAGATATAAATACTGCCTATATGCTACTGTAATTCCTCAGTTTAATTATCAACTTAGATTCCCTCCTTAACTCTGTGCTCCTCTAAGGCTTCAGGCTCAACGCCTTGAAGTATGTTCATTCTACTCTACCTTAGGACTTAGATGTCCTCTGGTTCGCTCTTTGTCACCAGCGCTACCGCCGCTCTGACTTGGCTGCTCCTCAGCTCCTCCTTTCTATACTCTCGATCTCCGGGGACTGAAGGCATAACGGCAGTGTTGTTAATAACTTCACTACTGTCCCATTCGACCTCCCGCACTTAGACACCTTGTGACCTCTGGCACAGTTACACGGTGTACATGATCTTAACAAATACTTAATTTGAGCACATTGTAGAGTCTTTTCATGGTCGAAACATTGTGTATTTAGTGTGTATTGTAGGTGTATTGTACAGCTGTCGGTGGCAGTGACCTTGCTGCATCCCGGCCAAGGTCGGCCATCAGTTCTGCAAATATTTGGACCCGCCTCCGGTTTTGCAATTTGCTGTAAGTAGAATGCCAAAAAAACCCACAATTTAGGGAATATTCTGAAAAAAATTTACTGATTCCTGAGTCTTGCACAAAATAAAGCAAATCAGTCAGCCTTGTTAGGGGAGATACTCCATATGTACACTTACACTCACTCTGCCGTTTCTTTCCAACACTATGTTGTAAATAGCACTATTAGCTTATACTGTACAGTACTACCTAGATCATGCAGAAGGACATTTTTGGGTCCCTCAATTGCTTTATACACAACTGAGGTGAGCTCAAAGTACCTTTACAATATAGACAACATACTAACTCAGCATAAATAGATCCTAACAGGTACCTACAGCAATTTAGTTGCTTTGTACACAACTGAGATAGATCCTAACAAGCCTGAGCTTGAGCATCTGCAAGACATGGATATTTGGCTAAGGGCCAAGAATCCCAGCAAATCCCAGAACCAAAAGCACTGAGAGCAGGCTACTCTGAGTGCTCTCACTGCTGGGAAATGCTCTTGACTGCTTTTGGACCCTTAGCCAAAAAATCCAGGATTTGCAGATAAGTGGTGGATGGATTATCCAGCTAATTATCCTGTAAGTAGACTTGGCATAATGTTCAAACTTATAGATATTTGTTAGTATATGTTTAATCTACATGTTTAATCAGTATGTGTATGATGGGATATACTCTTGAGCTCACCTCAGTTGGTAATGGAACAACTGAGGGAGCTTGGGAGTCTCTGTTGTGTGTGATCTACTTGGAACTGTATAGTTTATGGTAAGCACAACCATATACGTGTAAGGTGTTTTGTGTAGTCAAAGCAGTGGTATTGGGCTATACATATGCATACGGAGTTGGTCCAACATTATTCCCTTCAATCTTATTTGTTTGGTGGTTGGCCACCACTTTCATAAAGTGTTCGGCACCTGCCGCTTGCGGCCTTTCCCCCAGTCATATAATTAATATTCCCATTACATGACTTGTTTGCTAGCTGGCTCCATGAGCCGGCTAATACGAGTTCAGTTCCAAGGCAATCCTCCCAAGGATTTGCAAGCGCATAAATTGCAGTTGTTGCGCAGAGGCAGAGTGCCTGTAAAAAAAACAAAGCATGAACAATGCAAGTGTTTTTCTACATAAACACCCAATACTTGATATAAGCAAATTGGAGAGAGTAAATTAAATGTAGATGGACCAAAGGTGCACTTTGTACCCAAGCAGACAGAGCATGGTAGTATTGAAGTGGGTCCATTGGCATCCAATCAAAAAAGGACCTTAAATTTATAGGAAAGCATGGTATAGGGGAAGCAGTTTTTTGGTTCAGGTATATAGAAGTGGAAGAAGCCCAGAGGGCAGGGAGATGACTGTCAACTGAAACAGAGTCACACTGTCAAGTCAAGTGGTAGTTAGTTGACTTCAAGGGAAAATAATGAAATAATTTAGGATTAATAAAAAGACTGTAAAAACCATAAGAATCAGGAAGAAAGACCCTTGTATAATAGGTTAATATAGAAAAGAAAAAGGAGAAGACAAATTATCAGGTAAACATATGAAGGAGAAATAGGAAGTAAGTTCAATGAGAAGAGCACTTGTCATCAAGAGGCAAAATCAACTCTCTTACCCTGCCATCAATCAAAAGGAAAGGTCGGTGGTGGCCCGTGGAGTGCAAGAGCAAGTTTCTACAAATCGTAGGATAGGAAGGTGAAACATGGCTCAGGCTAGTAAATTTTAAAAGGGAAAAAGTTCTCACCCTTAAGTGGTCACAGTGGCTGTGCAATTTTTTTTTGAGCATATAGAACGAATTCCATAAATGGAACTCGTAATTGCTCAACCCTCTGCCCTCCTCCGGCTTGCAATTGTCCTATTGATTTGGATAAACTACATGAGACAGTCTCATCACTAACAACTGACGTTTCCTGCATACAGTACCATTGAGACTGACCATTGTCTTGCAGCATTGGGAACAGGTTAGGACAGAATGTTACGAGGCTGAATATAATGAAGACTCGTCTTTATGTACGTCGCTTCACGCCAATTATAAGCACCGTACTTCCTTTTTAGGACACTTTTTTTGCCTATATATGGTCATCGTGTAACAAATAGTTTTGTCAATTCAGTTAATGTGACAACTTATGTGATTTGATCACGAGTAAAGTGACATTTGTCATTCTAACTGGCACTAACTTCATGCCCTTCCTGTGCCCTTCTGCCACGTATCCTGTTTTACTTCTGGCTGTTTTATGCTGCAGCGGGTTTAGTCTTGTGCGTATGTCCATGAAAGGATCTATTTCTCCTTCCTCTTGCAACTATACAACTACTTGACTAAGTATTCGTGTCCATTGCCATGTCCTTTTGCTTTTTTCCTATCTCTTCGTCGTCATCATCGACATCTTCAAATGTTAATTGCCTCTTCAGTGTACCTGGCTTCGTGACACTCAAGAACTAGTTCTTGACCTTTTGTTTCAACCATTTCTGCATTCCGTGAGTCTTTATTGAACTGGACGTTCAAACTATATGTGATTATTACTCACTTGCGTATGCGTGGCATCCAATAGTGTGATGTTCCGAAGCAAAAGTATAGCCTTCTGTTCATTTGGCTTGCCCACTGCAACCATATTGAATGCTACATCGACGATATCTCCTACGTGGAGTTTCTGGGGTGGGATACGAATGGTCCTTGATATTTGCAGTGAGTTATATACGCCAGTCTGCTGAACTCTGTTCACTTACTTCTTTCCCCCTTCTTGATCTAGTTTTTCTTCACTGTAAAGCACAATATTCTCCTCGCCATACACGTACATTGTATCCGTTGCATTAACCCTTTCTATAAATCCATTTTCATCCACGTCCTTCCTTACCTTTACTGGGTTCATTGATGGTGCGTCTGACTTTGGCGTGAATATCTGGTTTGATACTTCGATCATTGGTTGCTCTTTTGTTCCTTGTGCTGCTAATACCTTCAATCCTGGTACATGTCTGGCAAACAATGCATATACGTCGTAGACCGCGTCAATGTCTGCAGCAAAGTTTTTGCTTCCGAGCCCACTCAATGTGATTGATTGGCGTAAAGACCCCATTCTTTTTCTGTTTCTGCAATCTGTCTGTCAGTCCTGCCCTTTTGTCATTGCATTCTTGACTCATGGTTCTCCTCTGATAGGTGGTAGTTTCTTGTCCTCTATAATACCCTGTATGTGCATAATCACTTCGAATAAACCGTTCTCGTCCTTCTGAACCATTCTCCAGCAACTAGGCTCCTCGTATTTCTTCAATTTGACACTGCTCTCCCAGTCGTTGCCCACCAGACTGTTGTTAAAGGTAATCTATCATTACTGAAACCACTTACTTTGACGAGTGCAGTAATATGTGGTCGGTTCACATTATCCAAGCACGCTTCTCTTGCCACTTCCAGTGCTATGACTACATAACATCTATCATTCACTGTTCTCTGATTCTGTTGTTTGTGTCCAAAACTCACCTGCCTCTTTTTCATTGTAGTCCTTGTCCATATTGTCGTACTGGTCTGTTTGGGATCACCTTCCAACACTCCTCATCGTATAAGAATATATCTGAGTCTTTTCTCTATGGCTTTTCTATTTCCTTTTCTGTGCAATCGGTTCCTCGACATCCCCGGACTACCCGTTCGTTTCGAATTCTTTTTTTTTTGACGCAGCTTCTCCATCTGCTTTTCCTTGGCTGCTTCGCAACCTTGTGGTTTTTTTCCTCTCATTTTTTTCCTGGGTGGCTCTTGTGCCTGTTGTCCTTCGAACAGATTTATTATAAGTGTTCTCTCTGACGCAGCACTGTTTTCACCCCAATACCCCTACTTATACCTACCTGCACCTTGCTTTCATTCAATTTCCCTGATATGCCGTTCGTTGTCTCTACATTTCCAGTGCTGCCGTGTTTTTGACATCATGTGCAGTACTCATCGCTCAAACCGTTCTCGAAAAATGACTGATTGTCTCTTAAAATCAGAGCTCCTGCACGTTTTTTCTCTATTTTCATTTACTATTTGTTGATATCTTCTGTTTATAGGCCCTCGCTATCACGCACGGCAGGTAACTCTGTTCATCCTCGCTCTGTTAAAAAGCCTTCCCTGTCTTCATATAAATTTGTAGACACTGAAGCTGCTGCTTCTGAGGGTAACAGAAATGTCTCTAGTGCTGACAGTGAATCTTCGTTTGATAAGCCAGATGTCCATGAGGTGGGATCTTTCGTGGCCTCTAATGATGTTGGAGGCGGCTCTGCTTCGCCAATTGATTGGCCTGCTACACCTGCCCGCCCTCAAAACAAGATTGAACTACCACTCATGTTCGTTATTCCCTGTCTTTCTTTTTTTTTCACTCACTACTGCGGCCAGTCCTGATAATGCCCACCATATTGGATGTGGTGTAACTGATGAACATCACCCGATATCCACAAAGGAGTACTCGTGAGCTTCATTGATGCAATCAGTTTGACATTTTTGAAAAATCATGATTAGGCCCATCGACATTAGTGACAAAGATTACCCACCCCTTCCTTCCCCGACAAAAATGCCTAAAACGTTCAAAAAGCCTTTCATATTGCGGTCTGCCCAGAAGAAGCGCGTTGCGTACATACTTAATCTTCTAGTTGATGCTGGTCTCATATTTTTAATATTAGTCCTGCGGATGGTTCGGACTCAGACCATTCTGAAACCTGTTCTCCTAGTAAACGCTCTGCCCAGAAGAAGCGCGCTGCGTATGTACTTAATCTTCTGGTTGATGCTGGTCTCATAGTTGTAATATTAGTCCTCTGGATGGTTCGGACTCAAACCATTCTGAAACCCGTTCTCCTAGTAAACGCCCACGCAAATTTATTTTGCCCCCTGCTGCAGCTCGCGATCTTCTCCAACCTGTCGATGATGAAGCTCCTCTGCCTACTGCTGAAGAATATCCAGCTTCTGTCGTTATCCATGGTCGCGTTTATTACGCATTTGGATCATTGCCCTTGCAGCCTGGAGCTGGTGCACCTCTTACCAGATCTGCTCTTCCCCGCTCATTTGCAGTTGGTGGTAATGGTAACCTGGAGTCTCTCCCTGGTGGTCCCAAGGCTGGTAATCATTCTGAGCCTGCTTCTGATCACGAGAGCAGTGATTCTTTCCATTCTAGAGAGCTGGAATATCCTGCCAATTCTTCTTCTCCACTTCACCATCGCTCTCCTATCGATACGGGTTCTAGTGTTCTCACACGTGATCCCCCGGTTTTATCGTCGCCGTCTCCCCCTTTGCCTTCAAATCCCCTTGATGGATGGACTCCTTCTCGTCACTCAACTTCCCTTGCGAAGGACAGTTCTTTGTCTTCTCGCAAGGGAAGCAGATCCAGCAGCAGTGTTGCACTCAAGATGCACTCTCACGCTGCCTTTCCATTGCAACCTGATACTACTGCATCATCCCCATCTCCACCCCAGTCTCTACTTTCATCACCTGCGCATCTCAAGGCCGGGTTGTCTCCTGCTAATACTTCTCCCATGGGATCATCTTCTCTTTGCCCTTCTTCCAGCGTCCAAGAAAAGAAGCGCTTAAGAGCACCAAAACTACCTGTCGCATTGTCAGGCCGACCACTCCATGATCAACTGATTTCTCAGGCACTTAGCCATTCACCCACCGTTGTAGGCAGCAGTGCAGTCTCCGGTCCCACTATCAACATTGGCAATCTTGAATTTGTTCCTGCAACGGGCACTGTCTTGCGCCGCACAGGTCCTAGTCAACCCTTCATTAGTAATGATCTGGGTTCAACAGGTTGCCTAAATGTCGATTGGATTGATGCCCATTTGCGCGCTTCATACAGATCTGTTACTAATCTTGCGTGCGTGTTTGTTTATATATCAGTGTCTCTCTATGAACCTTTTATTTGAAGTTCCATTCTCATATGGCCCAGTTCTGATGAAACTCCCACTGACGATGAAGATTATCTGCTCTATGATAAGATGGTATCTGCATTATCAGCAAGCCTTGAATTGTGAGCTCTTCCTATCTTCTATCTCATAATTTCTGACAGTACAAAGATCCATCCGCGGTGTCGTCAATTTCACCCATTTTGGCAATTTTTTTGACCCTGCACGTTTCAATCCTGCTGCTATTCCTCCTGCTATCACCCATGCTCGTTCATCCAACAAAAAACATCTTGTGCTTGAAAATGATCGTTTTTTCAATGCTGTATTCCTTGCAGTTGGGCGCCAGGAAGAATCGTACATTTGCAAACCAAAGACTTTCCTTCTCCACAATAAGCCACCTCGCCACATTCGCGGTGTCCGCATACACAGTCTGCAGCAAGAGTCGCAAACTATGTTTGCTTTCTTTGGTAGTCTTTTTGGCTGCTCTAGTTTTGGCTGCACAGTTTCTGAGGAAATCGTTGATTTCCGATCATGCCAGCAGTTCGAGTCTGAGGTTTCGAAAAACAACCGGAATGATCTCAGTCCTCTCAAACCTGGTAAGTGTCATTTCATATTTGTTTTTATTTTATGCTAATATATGCCTTTGCATAGTTTCTCCAACAAAGCGTAACCCCTCCAAAATATCTGATCGACTCAAAAACCACTTTTTCAAGGACCCTTTACCATTCTCTAATGCAGGTAAGCCATTTTCCATTTTTGTCATATGCATGCAATCCACCCCATACGCTTCCCGGCCCGGCCCGGAGCGGCCGGACTTCGGAATAATTACCTTGTGACTTATTTATTATTCCGAGCTTTTATCGAGGTCTTCTGACTGTATTTGGGATGTATATAAGCTAGAATACTTTGTACGTTGTAGTCAAGCTTGAAATCAAGTGTACCATCTTATCCCAGTCTTTAATATCTTCTTTACCCTTTGCTTCCGGACTCCCGGATCATCAGGAACCCCATTTAGGCTGCTCATCCCAATCTTGCACTCTTGCCATAATTCCCGGGGACACCAACAGTGTGTGAAGGGTGTTGCTAATAGCTTCACCGACGTCCCACTCCCAGTGTGTACTACAGGCCAATACTCAGTTCCGGACCTCGGAATTATCCCGGGCCATTCCCGGGCCAGATCCGGCCTCAGAACCTCTATAGCTATTGACCTGTAGGCACGGTCTTGTCAATTTTACTGATTCCTATGTTATCTCATATGTACTCCATACACAGTACCAATCTTTGACGGTCGAAATCCTGCCTTCTCAGCTTCACCAGCTGAACTTAATCAAATTGGAACCCGGTCTTATCCCTTGTACATGGACGGCCAAAGTGATCTTCCTGATGGTTCTGTTGTTTGCATTGGCTTCACCGTTCACACATACGAATCACCTCCCAGTTACAAAGGTCCTTCCACTTCTTTATCTCTTGGTCTCCAATTCTTGGTCCTTCTTGCACTTCCACCGCATCTTGAAACCCATTCTCCCATCCGTCCTCGACCTATCCCGCGATCTGTTTCGCACCTCAGTACTTCATTGGGCCACGGTGCTACTAATTCTCACGCAGTACACGGCCCGTCCCGCTCCAATCCAATGGTGGGCCAATCTGGTTATACAAATGCTGAGCCTGGCCCATCTCACTCTCATTCTACCCGAAGCAATGACTATATTCCTTATCGTTCTGAGGGAGAGTTGGAGAGTGGTTATGCATTCCACGAAGACCTTTAGACTTTTGATTGACATTTGATCTAGTTGCTAACACCTATTCTATTACTGCCCTGCTCCTAGTCTGCCTGATGGGTGCAACTACGTATCATGTCATTTGCCAATCAGGCCTTGTAGGCCGATTACTTGTGTACATAGTAGTGCAAAATTGCAAGCGCCTAAATTTTCGAATTTGCTGCTAGAAGATTTTGAGATGGAAGAGGCGAAGGATTGCCTGATTCATTTGCAAACATGCTCTAGTTCCAACTGAAACAATTTTTGCTCCACCATGCAATGCTTAATCTATTACTTGATTTGGTGGGCCCTGCAGCATGATTCGCCTGCGTCGCTCCCTTCCTGCCTTTCATCTTTGCAAAATCTATTATTCTATTATTGCCTAGCACTTTACTTACTCGGGTGCCTCTGCCTTCTTGTCTTCCACCGGCGCTGCTCTGTTCCGAGCAATTACCTTATAACTTTGATCCAATATTCCTGAGTTATTTAAACTGCTTTATTTTTTGCAAACCTGTTCAACAATGAACACTTTGCGCGCCTTGAGAATACTAAGAAACAACCTCCCTAATATCGAGGTTTGTGTCATTTGCCACACTATTGTGCACTTGTACTTGACGTTTTGTTTGGCAGCTCAACCAGCATCTTCTTCACTTCTTTTACTTGCACCCGTCATCTGCGCAACCCCTTTTGCAACCACTGGTGATCTGGAACACCCCTCCAAATCTGGTTTCAAATGAGAATGTTCTCGTCATTGCACTGTGGAATCTGGAGCAGATCTTTTCTGCTATCTATCTGCCCACTGGTTGCCATGTCTTCTTCAGGCATTTCCTTGCAGGTGTCAATAGCGATGATCCTGATCACCAGCTTCTCCTTCTGTTCTTCAAATCTGCAACTCCCCCTCGCGTTAGCCTTCGAGAAACTTTCCACCCTGTCTCTGCCAATGAATCTATCTGCATTTTCCACGTTGCTGTTTTTGGCTTCTCATCATCTGGTTCAATTCGATCTGTTACCGATGCAGACCGGGCTGCTATGCTTGATCTGTTTTCTCTGTATGTTTCAAACTTGCATAACCATTGTATTCTTACTTACTCTCTTTAGACTTCGCCCTCATCTGCATTAAATAATAGTATAGACTGTTTACATTTCATAACTTTCCAAGGCAGAAAAACCACGCGAATGTCTACTGCATCCACATTTCAATAGATTGTAAAACTGCTGCTACCAAACTTCCATGGGGGAATAAGCATCGAGCCTAGAACAAGAAATTCCAATTCAAATTAGTTGTTCCATTATTGCTGATCTGCCGCTTATCAGATCTCATTCACTTGGCAGCAATTATGCCCTTGCTTCTTGTTCCTACATTTTGCATCAGCATTAAAGCCTTGGCTTACATTTGAAGCCACCACCCAACTTTCCTTTTACTTCCACATGACTGCTTTTCCGTCTCTCCAGGACTTGCATGTGCTGCACTCCACTAGTGCCCCTCCTGATACTGTGAACTTATTTGTTTATCTCTTCAATACCCTGCTTTTAACCACTCCTTAGGCTACTCGAAAGACTGTGCAGTTCATCTACGTGCATCCTGATTCACCGGCGCCTCTTCACCAGCCCTTTACGTTCTCTTTTCACCCCCAATTTGCCCATGATCCTGCGCCTTGGGCCAGCTCTTTCTTTCACGCTATTCAATCAACAGTTTATCATCCTACTGCGGCTCCTACTCTTGCCTGCCTCACGGTTGATGAAGTTGGTCGGACCCAGGAAGCAATTATGTTGCTTATTTTTCAAGGACCTCCTTACACTATTCCTCAGTGTAGCAACGCCAACACTTGCATTCAATCTGCACAAACTTGCTATGCTTCTGCTCATGCAATTGCAGTTGTTCTCAATAGCAGTGGCGAGATTCGCAATGCTAATGCTGGTGATAAATGGGTAACATGGAATTGGTTTAGATTGTAAGTTTGTTCGAGATCCTCATTAACGAGCCACTAACATTTTGGAATATCAGGAAAGCTTGTGCCCACGCTATCACTCATTTGCAAAATTACGACGCTAGTGTTTAGTGCAGGAGGAGGTCTTGTCTAGCAAGCATTTGCATTGTGCATATTGAATCAGTTAATGTTGTACTGCAATTTCATTATTATATTCGCCTTGGCCTAGCTTTAAATTTCTATTCATCATGTCCTTCGAGGTAACATTTTTTCACCATCCCCTCTTCAGAAATTGTGCCCTCCAAATACTGCTTGAAAATACTGGGCAGTCGCAACGATGTCACAATAGATAGTCCACTTTGCACATGTGGCCCTGCCTTCTCCGATGGGTCTATATCCTGCAAGCTGGTTGCATGATAATCTCTTGGTTTCCAGAACACCACCGTATTTGCAGCTGATCGAATCCGAATACCGTATTCTGAAATGTAAAAATTTCCGCCTTTCACGCTTTGATCGCAATAGGTTGTCCATGCTGCTGACCAATTATGTGGTTGGTTCTCGCGATGTACAGGTCTGCATTTCGCATATTTAGTTTACTTCTTTGCGATTTATCAAATCCTCTTACCTTGCATAGTTCCTTGCAAATACTCCTGCAGGTGGTGCCATGTCTGCTCCGTCAAATGTGATCTCTACTCCATCTACAGGCACTGTGTACCTGTTCTCTCCACCTCCACCGTGTACATGTTTGTCCATCCGATACAATCCACTGTCTTTAATGAAGTGCTCAAGATCGGTGATTACTTCCGGTGGACCGTGTGTTCGCACAAGGTTCCAGAACACTGCAAATACTGATGCTGCTTCATATCGTATGCTCCTTTTCTCCTCTTCGGATACCTTTTTTGTGAAATTTTTTACCCAATTAAATGCAGGCCTTGACAATGCCCCTCCCGACCATCCCGTTATCACAATGCTCCCTGCATCTTCCTTCTGCACTCAGTTCAGTCAAAGTATACCCACAATCTAGCTTCACTCACCCGGATGTTCTTTTCTATCTCCACATTCTTCAGCACAACGGAATCTGCCCACCGCACCATTTTTGGATCACTGCACAGATCACGCATTGCAACACATACTAACTCTCCCTGCTCATCTCGAAATACTGCACTATCCTCTTCCAGTATGTCATATTTTAGTTGTTCTTCATCCAGCATGAATAAATCTTTCCTAGTTTTCCTCACGTCCGACTGTTTTCCTCGCAGAAGATGATCTTCCCACCATCCTAATATCGACTGGTCTTCAATTATCCAATGGTCTCGAGGGGGATACTTCGCTGCCAGTGCTGCAACAGAATATGTTGGTATATCTTTCGAGCGCTTTTCCACCCACTCGCAGCAGCGTGGACTATTCGGATTGAGAGCTAATCTCGTCACGAATTCCCGCTTGGCTACTGCCCATTCCTGCGCAGCCCGTTTTGAATCATCCAGGGCTTGGAGTATTTGCGGAAATGGTTGTGCCTGGCGACGATGTTAAGATCATGTACACCGTGTAACCGTGCCAAAGTCACCAGGTGCCTAAGTGCGGAAGACGAATGGGACAGTAGTGAAGTTATTAACAACACCGCCGTTACGCCGTTAGTCCCCGGAGATCGAGAGTAGAGAAGGGAGGAACTGAGGAGCAGCCAAGTTGGAGCGGCGGTATCGCCGGTGACGAGGAGCGAGCCAGAGGACGTCTAAGTCCTAAGGTAGAGTAGAACGTACTTCAAGGCGTTGAGCCTGAAGACTTAGAGAGCACAGAGTGAAAGAGGGAATCTAAGTCGATCTAAGTTGATAATTAAACTGAGGAACTACAGTAGCGTACAGGCAGTATTTATATCTACGGAGCGGCGCATCGGTGCGGAGCGCCAGACTAACTACTAGGAGCTATACGAGTAGTACCTGCAGGGTAGAGTAAAAGACAATAAGGAGAGACTAGAACGAAAGAGTAAAAGACAATAATGAGAGACTAGGACGAAAGGATATGTGTAGCGAGAAAGAACAATAGGAAGAGATTACAATAAGAGCAGATCTTCGGACTACCGAGCGGTGGAATGGAGGCCCGCGGCATGGACTTGACAGATGAATCCATCCCTTGAATTGATCCAGTCCATCTTTGTTAAGATCATGTACACCGTGTAACCGTGCCAGAGCCACAGGGTGTCTAAGTGCGGAAGACGAGTGGGACAGTAGTGAAGTTATTAACAACACCGCCGTTACGCCGTTAGTCCCCGGAGATCAAGAGTAGAGAAGGGAGGAACTGAGAAGCAGCCAAGTCGGAGCGGCGGTGTCGCCGGTGACGAGGAGCGAGCCAGAGGACGTCTAGTCCTAAGGTAGCGCAGAGAGTACTTCAAGGCGTTGAGCCTGAAGACTTAGAGAGCACAGAGTGGAAGAGGGAATCTAAGTCGATAATTAAACTGAGGAACTACAGTAGCGTACAAGCAGTATTTATATCTACGGAGCGGCGCAACGGTGCGGAGCGCCAGACTAACTACTAGGAGTTATACGTGTAGTCCTGCAGGGTAAAGTAAAAGACAATAAGAAGGAACTAGAGTGAATGGGTATGTGTAGCGAGAAAGAACAATAAGGAAGAGATTACAATAAAAGGTAGATCTTCGGGATACCGAACGGCGACATGGAGGCCCGAGGCATGGGCTTGACAATCTTTTGGTAATAATGACATATTCTTGAACAGAAACGTCGCTATGTGAGAGTCCTTTACCTGCTCATATTTCAGATCAGGATTTCTGAGTTCTTGCAACCAAGTTTCGTTCTTTTCAGCAATTTTCGCTAGTTGCAGGAATAGGCGACGTTTGCGCTGATCCATTGATGAGAGTTAGTTACAGCGAAATGCTGTGCACTGCAAATTCCAGCTCCCTGCCTTTCCATGCTAGTTTTTTTTGACATGTCAATGTGTGCAAATACGACTATTACATATGCCAGTAGTATAAAAATGTCTACTACTGCTCTAGTTTAGACTTGTCCTGGGTTCAACAATAGATTTTGCCTCCCTCTCATCGTCTGATGACTTCTTTTTTTCTCCAGCTACTGTCCGCCGCGGCTGACATTCCCAAATTCGGCGAGAGGACAACTGCAGCTTTGCCCAATGACAAGAGATGGCTGCCAACTGCCGCAATGTGAACGTGCCGGTGAAGAAACACGTGAACACGCAGGTGAAAGGACAGGCGAATGCACGGGGGAAGGTGCGGGTGAAAGGATAGGAGTGGGTGTAGGAGAAGGGATTGCAGGAGGATGTTTTGAGTTGGGGGTGGGTTAATTCCAGGAGGTGGGAATCGGTGCAGCGGAGGCGTAAATGGAAGCAGCTGCGATCCTAGAAGATCCTAGAAGATCCGGTGGATTTGATGTAAAATTCGGAAGTGCCGCGGTGGGGAGGGTAGGTGATCTCGAAGGAGCACCGCAGACTACTTAGCACTCATAACGGGATCACGCTAGAACTCGACCCCCGGTGCCTGACATACGATGAGCTGAAAGGACGTTCCGCCTAGGGTGTCGAAGAGGTTGCGCGCGAGGTCGTTTGAAGCATCCTGATATGCTTGAGCCGGGAACTACCCCGCCTGACATACCATGAGCTGAAAGGTCGTTCTGCCTAGGGTGTCGAAGAGGTTGCGCGCGAGGTCGTTTGAAGCGCCCTGATATGCTTGAGCTGGGAACTACCCCGCCTGAGCAGCCTGTTCCGCGCTTGCATCAAGAATGGGTGCCAGAGGTGAAGCTCACTTAGCACTCCAAATGATATCGCGCTAGAACTTGACCCCCGGAGCCTGGCATGCGATGAGTAGGATGGACGTTCCGCCTAGGGTGTCGGAGAGGATACGCTCGAGGTCGTTGGAAGCTTTGGGAAATGCGCAAATACCCCGCCTGCGCAGCCTGTTGTGCACTTGCATCGAGAGCAGGTGCCAGAGGTGATAACGAGACGATGCGGATCAAGAGAGAGTCAAGGTGGGAAACGACTCGCTAAGTAGACAGGGCATTAGTATTATTTCGCATTCAATGATACTTGCTGCGCACCGCATGTGGCGTGTTCTCAACTTCGCACTCCCTTCTACTACGAGCGGCATCCACCGCCCATTTTGAAGAAGTTCCCATTTCTGCCCAGGCTTAATGAGACCACAATTTGTCGACACGACAAACATTCACAAGGACAATGTGCACCTAGAAAGAAGCCAAGTAGTTATAACTTGTCCGCCTCGCGCTGCTGCTGCAGGCTATCGAGGTCCCACCTTTCTTCGGCAACTAGAACCAGCAGGATCCGCATCTTCAAAACCAGGACAATGCAGCTGCAGAGCTGGGAGGTAGCGGGTCGCACTCTGCACGATACAAGCCGCTACTTACACACCTGATGCAGGTGAGCCAGTCAACATAGTATTGTTTGGTTGAAGAACCGATCCTGCTGCTCTGGGCCGCGATCTTGATATCCCCTGTTGACGTCTATCCGCTTGGTTCCACTGCGCAGTTTTTCTCGCCGCTATTTCAAGCTGCTCTTGTATTTTGCGGTTCGTTTCGGCGGCGGTGATATGCTGCTGATGGCGGTTCGGTGGCAGATTGGTAGCTGCTCAAGTGCCCACACACCGGCCTTCAGCTAGAAAAAACCGGATTACATAATAGTCACGCGCTACGTGTTTTTTCTCTGCTGCCGCCTCCTGCTAGCTTCTGCGCTGCATCTTTGACGTGCACTCTATTCCTCCTTATTATACTAGTATTTGTGCTTACTTGCGAGCCCAACTGTGAAGCTTTTTTTGTTACCTCTGCACCGACACTTGGTGGTAAGTCTGCCTTGGCCTTGCAAATTGATAATATTGTAAATCTTTCATGCCCAGGATATGCATCGCGTTGTTGCAGTTCAGTTGGCTGCTGCTATTCAAGTCTGTTCTTTCATGCAGGCTCCCTGTGCCCCTGTTGACTTCACCTTTCATTTCTATGTGCCGTGTTCATCAACGTGAGTTTTTTTCTTCTTGCTACTGAAATCGTCATTCTGATTTTTGTTCTCCCGTGCATTGGCTGCGTACTCATTTTTCGCTTCCGCTATATCCATCCACTAATCACCCTCAATCTGTTTTATCTATTTCTGTCTGCCCCTGGACTCAATTGGACACTTTGCACACCTCGATCTTGTTCATACAATCCACGTGCATCTGCACAAATGTGCTTTTGTACCCTGACCCTGTTCTGCACATATCTTCCACTCACTCTACTGACACCAGATCTCCTCCCATTCTTAGCTTTGTGTTGCTCAACACCAATGCTCTGTTCTCATGTTTTACTTATTGAGTGAATTGACACAAGTTTGTCATTTTTCTTCGACCTTTTTACCTGTTGTAATGCTCATTTGCTTTTAGAAAGCTGTTCTTCCTGCTCTTCCACTACTGCAGATTCTATTTGCGGTACGTTTTACTCACTTTTGCATCATACCTGATTGCTCAGTTTCATCCTGTCCTGTTATAGGTGGTTAATTTATTTCTTTTTGCAGAAATAACTATTGCCCAATCAGTTCTTACATTTTGGTGTTTCTTTTTTTTCAAGTATACCTTTTCTGCCAGTTCTGGTGCTCAGTGCTTTGTGACTGCAACTGTTGAGGTTCAGTGCTTCTTTACTGCAACCTTTGAGGTGCAGTGCTTCCTTACTGCAACCTTTGAGGTGCAGTGCTTCCTTACTGCAACCTTTGAGTTTCAGTGCTTCCTTACTGCAATAAGCTATCTTTGTGGCCCTTCTGATATCAATTTTAGTAATATTTTCTGCAGATACTTAGGTGGTGGTCAGCACCCTAAAGTTAAACCAGAAGACAAGTTTATATCTGTATTCAAAAACAAAAATCCCCCAATCAATGCTATCAATCAAAATACTACTTTTACTTTCAGTTTTCCTGTTCAGAAGTGCAGACAATCTTTTCATGAACCTGACTTGTTTCCTCCTCCACCATTATCTGATTCTCAAAAGGCTACTGTTATTAGAAACTGGTGCAATGCAAGTCATGCTGCTAATTTTGAGGAAGCAGGTTGTGCTGTGTGTGGCCAACTCACCCTTCGGACAGAACTTTCTCCTCTAAAGCATATTAAGAATTATTTGCATATTCTGGAAGCTGATGGTGTTACCCGCACATCCCGGTTGAACATTGTTGATCCTGTTCAGGAAGTTAAAGGCCCTGTTCTAGACTTATCTGCTGGTGATAATGTATGTAATTCATGTCACTTTTCTCTGCGCATTGGTAAAATTCCAAAATTTGCATTATGCAATGGTCTTTGGTTAGGAGAAGTACCTGATGTACTCAAGGACTTAACATTTTATGAAAAGATGCTGATATCAAGAGTTTGTTATACAAAATGTTTTGTGCGTGTTCAAAAAGGTGGAGGTATTCATTCGAAAATGGTTTCAAATGTTATAGCTTTTGAAAATCCTACAGCTTTAATCTATGACATCCTACCTCCTCCTAAAAAAGATATTGAGGAAGTATTGGCTATCATGTTCTCAGGTTCCACAAAACCCACTCAAGATGATTATACTCGCGCACTTTTACTTGTGAGACGCAATGTTGTGGCTGATGCACTGCACCATCTAATACTCAATCATTGTGACTATATGGATGTGAACTTTTCATCTGCCAACCTTGAAAGTTACGCAGAAGATGCTCCAGTTGTTGCTGTTGAGTATTTTCAAAAAGGCTCCAATCGCAATGCTGAAGGCGTGAGCATTCATGACAATTTTGAAGATGATGGGAATGAGTGTGGTGACTGCGTTTTTACTGTACATGGAATTGTTGGTGACTCTATAAAAAATTTCACTAGGGACCAGATGATTGGTATAGCTGCCTTGCACCTTGACAATGAAGGTAAATTTTTGCGCACCTCTCATGCTGATACTCCAGAAAGTCTGTGGCAAAATCCTCAACTGTATCCTAAAATGTTTCCCTGGCTATTTCCCTTTGGGCTTGGTGGTTTGGGCAGTGCTAAAATTACTTTGAAATCATTTTCTGAATCTTCTCATATCAAATTTTTACTCCTATATCATGACAAGAGATTCCAACTTGATCATAGCTTTCCATTTGTGGCCTTTAGTCATCAACAAGTTAAAGCCAGTACTTCACAATCATTCCTCCTTGCTGAGTCTCAAAAATTTGGTGATATCAGTGCCCGCTTTATGTCCATTGATAAATTGGTCTTGCAAAATATTGCTAGCCGGATGGCAGGTGGGGAACACATCAAGCCCTCCACTGATGCAGAAATACAATGCTTCAAGTTGCTGGGTGATCTTACTCATGCAAGTACCAAAACACAGGGATCAATTAGCTCTAAAAAGACTATGCAATCTGAAATATGGTCTCTTATTAATCATATTGGTGGACCTTCCTGGTATGTGACAGTTACTCCATGTGACTTTAAGCATCCAATTTGCATCTATTATGCTGACACAAAGGAGATGTTTGATGTTCCATTAAGAATATCATCTGAGTGCTGGCTTTTACTTAGCAATAATCCAGTGGCTGGTGCATGATTTTTCCATTTCCTTGTGACCCTTTTCCTCAAACATGTTGTTGACATTGAAGGTCCTAATGGGGGTCTTTTTGGTCCAACAAGTGGATACTATTGTACAGTGGAACAGCAAGGGCGCCTTGCTTTGCATATGCATGGTCTTATTTTCAATAGAAAAACACTATCCCCTCAAGAAATACGCAACAAGATTCTTGATCCCTCTGCTACATTTTAGAAAGATCTAAGAAAATTCTTAGAAAGTGTATGGGTTGGTGAATTTCTTACTGGACCCCATGCTCAAGTGAAAGACACTGTAGCTGATCAAGTTAAATTCAATCCTTCTTATATATCTCCTGAGAGAACTTTGCCTACTTCTCCCCCTCCTTTCTGTAATTGTAGTCAAGCTTTTTGTAATGATTGCTCTGTATTCCATGAATGGTATACACAGTACAAGAATACTGTTGATGACTTGTTGCTGAAGTCAAATGTACATGACTGTTTTCGAGGCATTTCTCCTGATGGTTCTGTGTTGAATAAAGATAAATTTGAGACTTCCTGTCTCAATAACCGTTATAAAAAATGCAAAGCTAGGTTCCCAAGGGAATACTGTGAACAAACAGTTGTTGATCCTGAAACTGGCCATATTATGTTGAAGAAACATGAACAATGGATGAACGATGTTTCACCTGCTTTGACATATTTAATCCGTGGCAATACAGATGTTACATCCATTTTGTCTGGGACTGCAATAAAATCTGCAGTTATATATATTGCTGATTATATCACTAAGACGGGCTTGAAAACACATGTGGTATTTGACAGCATTAACACAATTTTTGACAGAAGTACTGAAATCCTCAATGGTTCTCTCAGTACAAAAGAAAAATCGCGCCGTCTCATTGCCCGAATTGTGAATTTACTGTCAACAAAGCTTGAGTTAGGTAGTCCAATGATAAGTTTATACCTTTTGCAGAACCCGGATCACTATACAAGTCATTATTATGTACCCTTTTACTGGAGAACATATGTATCAGCAGCACGCTCTGTCTTTCAGGAGAATGATGAGAATTCTCAGCCCAAAGTTGTGCTTACTAAACGCTGGGATAAATTGATAGGTTTATCTTCTTCATTTGACTACACGCACCGCCCTACTGAACATGAAGGCTATTATTTGTATGATTGGATCAGGACCTTCTATAGAATAACCAAGCGCAATAAATCCCAATCTGAAGCTTCAAATCATTTGTCATTCATCAAAGGCCACCCATTATATGTTACTCATACTGTAGGAATGCGCCGGGATGCTTCTATGACCATCCCCAACTTTATTGGTAATTTACCCTGCCCAGATAAAGATGATAGAGAATATTACTGTTGCACAATGTTGGTATTGTTTCACCCATGGCGCACTGGTGAGGATCTGAAAAGCAAGGAGCAATCTTGGCATGAAGCATTTGAAAACTACGACTTTAATCCACAATGCCTATTATATATGAAAAATATGAATGTGCGCTTTGAATGTCTAGATGCTCAGGATGATTACCGCGCTCAGTTAAAATCTGGCAAGCTTGATGTTACCTGCCTGCCTGCCTCAATCCCTATTCATTCAGATGAAGATCTAGTTGGAAAATTGGGTGACACTGACAGAGCAAACACTGACGGCCAATTATCAGATGGTGAGGCTTCTGCCAATCCTTTTGAGTCCTTTACACATGTGGAAAAGGGTAAATTATTTCAACGGCGTGAAAATGCAATGCATTCAATGAAAAATATTCTGTTCAATATTGGTTGGGTGACACCCATGAGGGCTACAAGGTCTCATGATCACATATCTCCCCATTGTCCCCTACCTTTGCAGAAAGAAAATCCATATGATTGGAGTTTGTTGTTAAAGAATATGCGAGATGAAGTATTATCTATCCGCCAAAAAGAAAAAGATGCGTCGACAGGTGATTCTAATAAGAGTAAATTACCTGGAAAATATCAACCAAATGCTGTACAGATATGTAACAAATCATACTTTGAAAAACTGGGACTTGACTATGGTAGCATAAAAAATCTGGCCTTGAAAGTAATTCAAGAAAATCAACTCACAGATGAACAAGAAAGAGCTTTCAGAATTGTAGCCCAACATTCTATTGGTTTAGTTCCTGATCCTCTTCAACTGTACATTGGAGGAATGGGTGGAACAGGAAAGTCTCAAGTTATTAAATCACTCCTCAGCTTCTTTGCAGCACACAATAATTCCTTTGCAATTGTGACTTCTGCTCCAACCGGAAATGCTGCTGCTTTGTTAGGAGGCTCTACATATCATTTTCTTCTTGGTTTTAGTAATAAAGTTGAGGAAGTTGGCCAGGCTACAATGGCTCAAGTTTGTGCCCGCCTGAATGGTGTCCAGTACATGATACTAGATGAACTATCTATGCTAAGTTGTTTTGACTTATATAGAATATCTGCACAACTCTGCAAAGTAAAAAATAAACCTGATATTGCATTTGGTGGAATGAATATGGTTTTTGCTGGTGATTTTGCTCAGCTTCCACCTGTTGGTGGTGAGTCTGTCTCCTTATACTCATATCGGAAACCATCTGATGCTGGAAAATATAATGGACAATGTGCCACTATAGGGAAAGCTCTTTGGCATAACATTACTCATGTCGTAATTTTGCGCAAAAATATGAGGAACACAGGCATGACTGATTCAGATCTAAAATTTCGCAAAGCATTAGAAAATATGAGATACAAAGCTTGCACCAAGGATGATATATCTTTCTTGAATACCTTGATATCTTCCAAAGCTCCTGGGCGTCCTTTCATAGGGGTGCAACCTTGGCGCAATGCTCCAATTATAGTGGGTGAAAATAAGTACAAGGATGAAATCAATAGATTAGGATGCTTGAGATTTTCAGCAGACACTGGTCAAAAACTCACCAATTTTTATAGTGATGACACGACTTCAAGTAACATAAATATTGGACAAAGACCTGCTACCAAAAAAACAAACATTCACAAACATTCTACTATTACAAGAGAGCTTCAAGAGCATTTATGGGAGTTGCCTACATGTTCACATGAGTTTCATTCACCTCCTGTATTAGCACTCAGTATTGGCCTCCCAATTATAATTAGACATAATGTGGCTACTGAACTGTCAATTACAAAAGGTCAACGGGGTGCTGTTTATGGTTGGCATGAGGGTGTTGGGGCCCTTGGTCAGCGGGTATTAGAAGTGCTATTTGTACTTCTTGACAATCCACCCACTCCAATTCATGTTCCGGAACTACCTCCCAATGTTGTTCCTTTAACAAGGCGCAAAACTAAAGGATTTGTAACACTGAAAAATGATGTGAAAATTTCTATTACTAGAAGTCAAGTTGATATACTGCCTGGCTTTTCCATGACAGCCCATGCCTCTCAAGGGCAGGGTTTCAAAACTAATGCTGCAGACCTTAACAGTTTGAGTGACCATCATGCTATATACACTGCTTTGTCAAGAAGTTGCACAGCAGGTACAACTATCATTTTGCAAGGTTTTGATTCAAGGAAAATTACAGGAGGTGCCAGTGGTCAATTGCGCCGGGAGTATAGGGAGCTTGAAATACTAGATGAAATCACCCACTTGCGCTATGAAGGAAAGCTAAATCCTTCTGTTATAGGAAATACAAGGAACTTACTTATTGAATCCTTCTTAGCTTGGAAAGGAGCAAATTATGTACCATCCCTAGTACACCCTGCTATAAAATGGTCTACTAGTGATCCCTATGTACTGCAAGAAAATTCACTAACTACCTGGTCACTCATTGACAAAAAAAATTTTGCAAAATTGATAAAACAAAAGCGGGATGCGTTATTGAATACAAAATCACATGCTCATAACATTGACACTCAAAAAATTAAACCTGCATCACATATTAGTGAGGAACCTGTGGCTGCTGTAACTCTTGCCTCTCATGAACCTGAACTTGCAACTGATGATCCTAAAAAAACTGCAACTGCTCATGATAAAAAACATAAACTTGGTGATATGTATAACTTATCTACTATTCCTTTGCATCCTGCTACAAAGTGCATCAAAATAGGCTTGCAATTGGGTCATTCTGCAATTGGTGTGAGAAAATCATCATCTGCAAGGAAAATTTCAGAAAGGCGGGTATCCAGGAACAAATATAATTCAACTTCTATGACGATGTCAATGAATGACCCAGATCAGGATGCACCACTTGGTATGGTATGGTCTAACAATAGTTGTGCTTTTGATGCCGTGTTAACAATCTTGAGGCTTATTTGGGTGGAATCCAAATATAATGGAGATGATTTTACCTTGTTACCAAAGGTAATGGAAGGATTCCAGGAACATCAATTGGGTTTACAATCACTTGAATCTGTGCGAGACAATCTGAGGCTGTTATTACAAAGGCTGAATCCAAGAGAATTTACTTTTGGGGCCTTTTGTTCAGTGGGTGCTCTCCTTGAAGAATTATTAAAGTTGAAGTCACACTTGCCTTTCATGTCATCTAAACTCAAGTGTGATTTGGGTCATCTTGCGAGGCGGCATCCTTATGATATGAAACATAGTTTTTTGGAAGAAGAAGAACATCGCATTGTTTTGTCCACCTCAACCAGGGAATGGATTAGTGTCAACGGACCTGCACAATCTCATCGAGTTTGCACCACTTGCAAGGGTCAACTCAAAAAATATTTTCATATTGAAAATGTCCCGAAATTGCTGGCTTTTTCCTGTGAAGGGAGGACTAATTTTGCTATAAATCATCTTATTCATATGAAGTGCAACAATGAAACTATTTACTATAAACTGAAGGGTGTGGTATATTATAAATCATTGGAAGGCCATTTTGTTTGCCGTATGATAGATAAAGATGGCAATATTTATGTACATGATGGGATGCACAATAATGGTTGCACTACTCCTGAGGTTTTAGACTTTCATAACATAGACTGGAGTCTTTGCCTAACAGGCATTGCTTCAGCAGCAATATACTTTAAATCAGATGCTGCGCTGTGTGAGATGTGTGCTTTGAATTTGCCTTGTCACTGTACTTAGTGTTTCGATGTCCAAAAAAAAAAACCAGCCGAGTTATTGCCATGCACAAAGTGCAGTGGCCCACAATCGCATGTGTCAACAATCATAAATTGTAAAATCGGCTCTTCAGAAATGGTATTCCGACAGCATATCATCAGTACAGAGACAGGAGAGATCGAATTAAGTTCAACGTCGTTCAGAGTGCATTAGCTTCCCTCCCCAAATCCTTGATTGCATTGAGCATGCTACCCAGTGCGATCATTGCAAAACTCTGGGCACCAAACTTATCGTAGCCCACCTCGCTCGCTGCTATCCACGCCGCTCGAGCATAGTTGAATTTGTTGCACAGACGACCTATATCGGGATCTTCTTCATAATCTATGGGATCAAAGTATCCGTCCATTTCAAAGTCATCCAGGTCATTGTCTTGGCGATAAAATTCGAGACGAATTTTCCGCGTCAGCTCTTGCGTCTGACAGTTCTATTGTGAGCTATCGTCAAGGTGAAAAGGAAAAATGATTACCTGAAGATTCATAGCAGTCGTAACTTCTCGTCGTCGTTTAGGGTCCGGGTATCGCTCCATAATAGCTCCGCTGATTAACTCTTCCTCGCTCAACCAAGTGTTTGCTTTTTTGGAAGCAGTATGAGTTTTAGCAATTACAATAAGCTGTTCCCGATAATCTTCAAAGACGTGGTGCATCTCATCAATCAAGTCTTCATCTGGGTTCATTTCCAATGTCGCAGAGAATGCTCCAAACCGACCCATTTGAAGCTTCCTCAAGCATCGCCTCGCTGCCAGGCCCATAGCATTATCAATCTTCATAAATTCGATAGGGTCATCATAGTCCTCCATCTCAACCTCATACTCGTCCGTTGGAACACGCCGAAATAGTTGCCCTAGTACCTTCACACTTGGATAGTATCGATTATCTCCAGGTTTTGGTCGATAGCCTTCTCCCGATAAGTAATCTGGTCTCGGACCCTCTGGAGCCTTTGGTAAAGTCTTGAAGTCTACAGCCGTTCCCACTTTTGGGAAGTCAACTGCATGGGAGGCGGCCTTCGCAAGTCTGAGGCAATCAGGACAATCTAACCCATTCACATCTGATATCCGCAGATGAGTAGTGGAAATGTAACCAACAAGGTCTGATTTGATCTTAAGGTGACGGTCAATAATAATTGTGTACATTGCAGTAGATGTTCGAGACTTACGTAGTTAATCACAAAATCTACAACGTCGCGGACACCGCAAATATGTGGTGTAAGAGTAGGAGGTAAGGGTTCATAGGCACCTGCGTCGGCCGTGAATCTTTTCGGCGGGTGAAATTTATCCTTGGTGAATGAAGTACAATTCAGATCACACACACGCAGGCGGGTGGCTCAGAACACTTACATCTAAAATAAGATTATAGATATCGCCTAAGACGAGTAATTATGATCCGCATTTCTCTCTCCATTCTCCATTGATTCATTCGAGTGCTTACCATCAAGATCGCCACCACCAAGCATAGACGGTAGACTTCGGGCACCTCTGCGATGAGAGGGAGTTAGTTTTAGGCGGTCGGCTTATTGATTATTTTGACCCACTTGCAAGAAAAAACAACCACATTCTTCAAATGATCCAGCTCTTTTCGACGTACAGCCTCCACAAATTGACAATCGCCCGGATGTATTTGAGGGCTTCTCGTGATTAAAACTCTACCTTCGATTGGGGTAAGTTTTTGTGTGCGCGGATCATATACTTGCGCAAAGATCTCTCCCTCTTCTAAACAATCCCACTCGTCGGATACCCCAAGAAGAGTATAAGAGCCAGGAACCCTGATACGACCACGGTGTTTGATTTCACGCAGAATATGAGTAATTCCGTGAGCTACAGCAATTTTGAGAATTACGAGCTGAGCAGTAGAGCTATTCCTTTCTGAGGCATGTTGTGCAATTTCCAAGTGAAGTATTTGGGCTATATTTTTGAACAATGATTCCAACTGGAACGATGATCCAAGCCCATGCTGTGCAAAGGTGGTAGCTGCTTCAGTAAGCGACGATCTGATCCTTTGGGTGTCTCTGATGGCCAGATCCTGGAGTTTGATAAAATTCTGTTCTGGGACTCCATGATGCTCCAGAAGAGCAATGAGGGGTCTATTCAAGAACAGGGCCAATGGATGGGCAGAAGTCAAAGTGATATCAAGGTTCAGGTCAGTGGATTCAAACTTTGTTTGGGAAGGCCTAATACACAGCACCTCGTCATTGAGGAATGGATCCTGGAAAACGACGCCTTTTGCTCCTCCGAGACGGAATTGGAAGCATGAAGGTATAATTTTGGATGCACTTCGAAGGACTAGGCGGGCAACTTTTCGCGCCAGGGCAGGAGATATAGTGGAACATCCATCGGTAAATACAGCATTTTGTCCGTTTGAGTTTGATGAAATCCGGTCAGGTATCTTGTGAAGCTGGGATAGAGAAAGAGCGACAGAAGGCGTAGATGCGGAGAACATCTGTCCCCACCGGGCACCGAGAAGTGCAGGTCTATGAGAAGCTTTTGGAATATTTCCCTAGAGAATTTACTATGAATTTTCATATATTGATGGAGATGGAATGACCTACGAATCGTTTCCGTATTGTTTCAGCATCCATGAGCTCTCCTTGCCGAGAAAACGCAGTTACAAAGATAAAAGTGTAATCCTTCAGGCTACTCATTGAATAGCCCAAGAATTTAAAGTGTCTACCAGCAACTGTCACTCCATTGAGCAAAGCAGGTTTATAGCGTTGGTCGAGCAATTTATCGATAGCCACATTGTTATCACGTCGAGGCTTACCTCCGTCCTCATCTTGGAAGGAAACCCGGAGGAAACAGTCTTGGAAATCTTCGTAAAGCCGGAGAATACCGTTGGATAGGTCAGGCAAGGGCCCTTCCAATACTTGGCGGGACGGTGTGATCGATACATGATATGCTTCATAGAGCGCAGGGTTCGGCGAAGAGGCGTATCGTCGTTGTGGTCTTTGTGAATCCAACACATAAGCATGTGCAGCTTGTGCCAATTGCTCATGGAGCTCCAAGCCTTTGTTATCGGCAGAAGCTAGTTCTCGTCGACGGTTCCTTTGTTTCCGCCTCCGTCGAGCGCTCTTTGATAACGAATCTTCGGATGGTTCAGATCGCGGGCGAGGGGGTGATCGGGGAGGATCTCGAAAGGTAGGAATTTGTAATGTTGATACAAAGTAGCGAAAGATTGGAGCGGCAATCTCAGGGTGATCTTCCTGGACCTTGAGAATTGCCTGTCGCATGTTTTTCTCGTAAAGTTCGCTAGGCTCAATGATACCGTCCCAAACTGACTTCTCCAGCTGGAATCCAAGAGGAAACGGGAGAGTTCGTGTGAATGTCATCAATTCGTCGAATCTGTCGTTATTGTATACTCGAACATCGATAGTACTGATGGCGATGAATCTTGCAGGAGGAAGCTGAATGTTATGGGCTCGCGTTAGGAATTGCAACAATTCATCGTCGTTCGAAAAGATGATACGCAGGTTTTGTGACACGAGAGGCATGAAGTTGCAGCCTGGAAGGCCAGTCACGGTCAAGCGTTGGGAGGATTGCTGCCGATTCAAAAACGATGCAGCGTGAGGTTGTTCGAAGATAGCTGGATTAGAAAACTCCAAATGAAGTTCGGATTCCTGGGTAGAACTCGAACGTCTGACCGCTTGGACAGAAGAGGAAGAGTACGAGAATATTGGGGAAGGGATCATGTCTTCGACGGATAATCTATTGAAAATCGACAAAAAAGTATCGTGTGCGGGATGTCCATCGACAACATTGGAAGTCTGCTCTCGTACCAGAGTTACAACCAACCGTCTCCTAACAAGGTCACAATGAATTTTTCCCGCGAAAGAATGCTCGATGGTGAACGTTCCATCACGTCGTAAGCGTCCAAAGCTCATGCTGAGTTTTGGGGTAGACACAGATGCCTCCTTCTCTCGTTCCTTTTCTTGTACAACGAGCTTTGGATCCTGCCAGGCCTGACCGCGAATGCGATTCAGAGTGGTCTCACGAGGTGCTTTCCTTCCAGGTTGACAAACAATAGTGGTTCCGGCGATGCGGATTGGCGAGGAAGGATATACTGTCAAGAAGAGATGGCCATCGGATTGAGTAGGTAACGTCAAAATACCAGATGCCTTGTTGTTTCGAGGTTTCAACAAAAACAGATCAAAATTTAGTACAGGGTCGGTGACAAATGGTGCACGATGAATGATACGATGGAATTCAATCAACAATGTTTCTTTGTCCAGGAAGGCAGGTATGTTAGAGACGAAGATATCCATTCCCTAGAAAAGAACGGTGAGCATGGCCTCATAAATATCGAAACTGTAGCACACCTAGACAAGGTTCGTTATCAGACCTAATATCACAACATGTCAAATTATGACATTATACTAGCATGTATTGACGCCCACGAAGAACTTAGAGTTTGAGTTGCAGTCATATGGGGTAGGAAGCCGAAGCCATAATTAGCTGCGGTCTGGTCTAGGTAGTGTGGAATATGCTGTTGTCTTATACTAGTGGTCACTGGTCGTGATTGTGGGGAGAACAGCGGCTTTTGACAACGTAAGTTTCTTGCGAAGCTTGAGAAAATCGTTCAATACTCAGTCTAGGCAAGCAGATACTGCCCTAAGAACACACCTCAGGGCGCCAGTGAGTGGGATCGTATCATCTTCGAACCGCAAATTTCAAGAGGCCGAAGGAGCACATCAGCCAATTGAACAGACTAGCCGCTATGAATATTCTTCCGGTTGCGCCGCAGCGTAGAATTTAAAGTTGCAGTTATACATAGACAGATAGAGATAGATAGATAGATAGACAGGAAAGAGTAGCAAGGGTGGACGCTGGGTGGACGACTCAAGATCAATTTCGGACTCTTGGATCCAAAACTTTCGGGCCGATGAGCATTGTTGAAACTTATGTACATCTTGTTATAGAACTTTCAACATGAATCTAGTCACGTCGGTCGTTCGACAAGCTAACTCTGTTGCACGTACCATTCCTGCCACGTTTCTTCGGGGAGGGACTTCCAAAGGCATTTTTCTCCAACGATCACATCTGCCCCAAGATACATCCAAATGGAATGAAATTTTCCTTGGGCTCATGGGATCTCCTGACGCAGAATACGGCCGACAGCTGGATGGTATGGGCGGAGGTATATCTAGCTTGTCAAAAATTTGCGTCGTTCAACCTGCATCTTTGGAGCAACTACAAACGCTCGGCGTAGATGTAGAGTACACTTTTGTACAAGTGGGTATACGTGATTCCACCATAGATTATTCAGGAAATTGCGGGAACCTATCGAGTATGATTGGAGTTTTTGCCCTAGATGAGGGCATGGTGGACAATACCGCCCAAAGGATTCAAAACAGTCGTATTACCGTCCGTGCTTTTAACACAAATACCCGGAAAATTGTCAACACTACTTTCCCTATTGATCCTGATTCTGGTATGGCAGACCTTACACTTCCGGAAACACGTATTGCAGGTGTTTCTGGTGAAGCATCCCAGATTCAGCTTGACTTTCACAAGCCGAGCGGGGCGAGAACAGGGAAGTTACTGCCTGCGGAAGTACCCATGACCAAGCTGGAAATCACAGAAGGTACTTTTTGTGCCTCTTTAGTCGATGCAACAAACCCTACAATCTTCGTCGATCGGGCTGAAATTGTTAACGTGTCGAAGACCGAAGATCCTGGCTCCCACGAACAGCTACGATTGTTGGAGATCCTGCGGCGCGAGGGTGCTATTCGTATGGGTCTTGACCCTAACGCACAAGCTCAGCCTAAAATTGCAATGCTCAGCCCCCCTAAGGCAACTGATAGCGATGCAGATATCGAGATAATCGCACTTTCCATGGGCGTACCGCACAAGGCAGTTCCAATGACTGTTGGTTTATGTCTTGGCGTTGCTGCTAATACACGGGGCACTTTACCATCTAAATTTCTTCGGAGGAAAATCGTGGGCGAGTCAAAGCTGGTGAAATTGCGGCACCCAGGTGGTGTTGTGGAGGTGGGTGCCCTATTTGACACGGAAGGAAAGGTGGAGAGTGCCAGTGTGATACGGACAGGGCGAAGGCTGATGAAAGGATACGTTTGGTACTGAGATGGAATACATAAGTGGTAGTTACTTGGATGACCATAAGACTGGTTCTATCTAAATGATTCAATTGCGACGATCTAGGTGCTCCTTAGCCTTCACCATCTCAAGCAAGTGATCTTTGTCTGCTGATTCATCAACCAGGGCTCTCAGTTTGCCATCCTTATTTTTGAGCAACTCTGCGGGCCGGTCAAATTCAGCCTGAAAGGTATGCGGGTAATTAGAATTGACCGCGCAGCAGGATGAAGCAGATATAACGCACAATTTGTCCAGCATCTAACACCAGCTAGAAAGCAGAAGTTTCAGCAAACCTTGTTTGATTCAAATAAACGCAGCATACGATTTTATCAGAATCCATGATGGTTTGAAGCCGATGGGCAACAGTGATCAGGGTGACGTCCTCGTTGAGTTCGTGTCGAAGAGAGGATTGGATGACTGAATCTGTTTTATAGTCTGTACCAGAGTTTCAAATCTGCGTCTTTGAGGGGAAGCAAGGGAATTACCGATAGCAGATGTGGCTTCATCCAGGATCAAGAGTTTACTCTCTCTTACCATCGCTCTGGCGAGTGCAATGATCTGTCTCTGACCGACAGAAAGATTATTTCCTCCACTGGCGACATCACTATCCAGGGTAATCCTATCTTCCTCTTCTATTTCTTCTTGCAAAGAGAACAGCCCAGCGGACCGCAATGCACTGTTCAACGTCGCGTCGTCATGTTGGGCGAAAGGGTCCAGATTCTCTCGTACAGAACCACTCAGCAGCTCAGGCTGTGAATTGAAATGCTAAGAATATACATAGCATCGAGGCAAACAACGCACGATTTGAGGAATGATAGTTATTTTGCGTCGTAGTTCTTCAAGATTGATGGAATTCGTGGCGATTCCGTCATAGTATACGGTCCCATCTGAGTAAATCAATCGAAGGAGAGACAACATTAAAGAGCTCTACAAAAGCAACATCAGAAAATGTGTTCAGCAAATACTCGACACTCACTTTTCCTGATCCTGTCCGTCCAACAACACCGATTCGCTCCCCAGAGTTTACTTCGAATGAAAGGTTCTTCAACACCTTCGGCCCATCCGGCGAATAGCGTGCCGAAAGTGCTTCTACACGCAAGTGACCGCTGGCTGGCCAATACGCCGGGGGTATACCCTCAGGTACGGGCGGTTTCTCTTGCTCAATTGCGATGTAAGCACCAATGCGCTCAAGACTGTTACCTCGAACTTCGAACTGATTCACAATTCGAATCCACCACAATATTGTGCCACTGAAACCGACTGTGTCAAGGTTGTGTAAGAGTTAGGTAGTAGGAACAAACGTCATATCTATGACTTACCAGCCATGTTGAGGGAGAATCCGACATTTGATGCGTCACCGTGGCCTACATAAAGCAAATAAGCAGCGAGTGCGGCGGCGAACACGTTGCTGATTGCATCTACACGAACGTCGATCCAGCGATTGAGATTGTAAAAAGTTCTGGCGGGTCGGGAATAATGGTCGATTCGAACTCGAACTTCTTTCCTGAAGGTTTCTTCCACACCATAAGCTCGGATAGACGCTATTTAACTTGAGTAACAGTCATGTGATAAAGGCGTTATGCAGCAGGCTTACTCAAACCAGTCATCGCAGCCCCAAAGCTGCGAAAAGGATAACAATTTGAGACGAATGAGTACTTTTAGTGGAGAGAACTCACTGCCCGAGCACTGGAGCCTTGGCGTTGGACATTTCTCGCTTCACGGGAAGTTGGGCCTTGATATAGATATTTCCACACCAGGCTCCAAATAGCCCGACAAAGACAGCGGGAAATATGAACGCAGGAGTAAGAATGATTACAGCTAAGAACTTGATGCCCATTGCCAAAGACATCTGAACAAGAGTTGAAAACATCTGTGCAAGCGGATCATCGACTAAATATCCAATCATTGGCACCTAGCTGGGAGGAAGGGTGATGATCTACGCACTGTCGCGAATATCTTGGGTACATCTAGTGATTACACGTGAGGTTGGTGTTGTATCAAGCCACCTAGAGAATAATTCAGATAGTCTTACGCATCCGTCTGAATCGTGATGGTCACCTTAAAGTAGTCCCAATGACCGAAGTGACAAGGCGTTGGTGGATGATTCTGGATGCCCTTAAAACACCCCACAGGTACACGACGAATCCAAGGCAGAAAGTCAAGATAAGTAACACCAGGATTGCAACTGCATAGATATTTATGAATACCATCATAGGTATATTGAAGGTGAACTCACCGTATATAGCTAAATAGCTATATCGAAAGCATTAGCTATCATGGGTCAGATTGACGAATGGGGAGATCTCACAAAGGCACGTTCACTTGAGAAGGATCCGCGACAGCTTCGTACTGGCGAGCCCAATAACCGAGGAAATAGGTTTGGCCGTTCTCAGCCAATTCCGCAGTCAAGAAACAGGTGATGAAAGTGATAAAGAAAAGCAGTGTATGGTGACCGCCCATGGAAGTCAGGAATAATTTCACTATGATTCATTCATCGGCCAATGTAGTTTCAGGCAAGTAATAAATAACGCACAGGCAGACCAGCTAATATGCCCTAACTCGACCTCTTCTTTGAGGATCAATTTGCCATCTCTACCAGAAGGCTCGTTCGGAGCTGACTGGGGATCAATTTCTTCATTGGCCCTTTCCACTGCTTCTTCGTCTTTTTCAATTTCAACAGCTAGCTCCTTATTTGACAAAATTGCGTCTTCTATAGATGCCTGGCTAGCGACACGGCCGTCTTTGATGGACACTATAAACCTCGCAATGGGCCGTACCAGGACTACGTTATGTGTCTGTGATTGTGTCCCCGTATCAAAGTCATGATGGATGAACACAAAAACACAAAAAGAGACTTACGACCAGGATCACTGTCCTTCCTCGAATCAAGTCTCCCTTCAGACACTTATCAACTATCCACTTTGAGGTATGGACACTTGAGAATAATTTGACAATGTCATGTCGAGACACAATATGCTGAAACAGGCTGAGACTCACTCGAGAGCAGCCAGTACGTCATCGAGTAGAATGATCCCTGCTTGAGAGTAAACAGCTCGCGCAAGCGTAACTCGGGCTTTTTGACCCCCACTCAAAGTCAAACCTTTCTCTCCAACTTCAGTCTGATCTCCAGCTTCAAATAACATCAGGTCACGATCAAGACAACATTGGTAGATGACTTTCTTGTACCGTTCTTCATCGAAATCAGCACCGAATATAACGTTGTCCTGCGCACAAGTCAATATGTAAGTCCAGACGGAACGGATTAATCATGATTTCACTGACTCGTATGGTTGCATTTTGCACCCAGGATTCCTGGGCGGCGTAAGCAACTCCAGATGCACGAGGAAGACCATACCACGATTCCGGACCAGATGGAACAAAATGCATTTCCGAGAGTAAGGCCATGAGGACAGAAGTCTTACCACTTCCAGTCGGTCCTACGATCATGTTTATCACTCCTTTCTGGAATAGAAGGTTGCCTTCAATTTTGAGGAGAAATTGGCGTCTAGAGGGAGTATATAGCCCATTATTTTTATCTTCTTCAGCAGACCAAGCAAAGGTAGCCTGACGAAAACCAATAACGTCAGGGGCAGGTGGAGGTGCGGACAGGATTGCCGGCTCTGCCTCCGTTTGAGACCACGAATCGAGCAGCTCCGTCTGCACAGGTTCGAAGCGGAATGAGCAAATTTTCCGAGTTTGACAAGGAGTGCTCACATCGTATAGAAAATTTGTGATTCTGTCCAATGAAACCTTGCCATTCAGAGCTTGTGTAGTCAGAAAGATCGCCATCCGCAAAAGACTGGCATATACAGTTTAGTGGCGTACTGATGTAACAAGAAACTTCTTACTTGCTGAATTTATCGAAGACTACCATTGAGCTGAACACTTTGGACGCATTTAGTTCTTCTTTCATGAGAAGCGTCTGAGAAGAACATCAAACTCCGACTCAATCTCAGCGGATATAAAGTTGGGCTAACACTACATAGGAGATAATTGAAAAGACATTCATTGTAGGTTCATGAATACTCACTAAGTCGAAAAGGTGGCCAACATCGTGAGGACCTGTTTGGTTTGATTCAATGCCGGCACAATTTAATTCAAAAAATTAGTCTCCTTACAGGGATGATATGACTAGAGGTTGAAAATTGAGCACACAGCAGTAGTTAGAACTTGAGGACGATGGTCATGCTCACTTTGCAATTGCAGTCATCATGCCAAGTAGACGTAACCTTTTAATAAAAGAAAGCTCATCCTCTCTCTTGGTTGAGATGCGATCATTCATTTTTTGCTCCCATCCAAACATCTTGATCATTCGTAGGACGTTCATTACTGCGAACCGAAATGAATTAACTTCGCACAAATACATAGAAGATCAGGATCTTAGCGACCCACTTTCTGTAACAACCTGGACTCGTGCATCGGTGCGTTTCATTCGTGCCTTTTGAGCTTGCTGTATGAACCGGGCCAGTAGCCCTGGTACGGGGAACGTAACAACAATTACTCCTAAGCCCACAAATGCACTGCCAACAAAAAAAATTGTGAACCAATTAATCCTGAGAAGAGACTGTCATAATTACCTCCAACCCAGAATATTATACAAAAACCAGATGCATAGCGTCACCTGGATCGGTACAAGAGCAAAGATTCTAATGAAATCTTTGGCGTCCACGATATTCTGTAGATCCGTGCTGACAAGGTTGTTTAATTTTCCCACCAGATTTTTCGAAGAATCCGACAAGTCTTTGGAAGGCGTAGACCTAGCTGTGGACAAAACTCCTGTTACAGGCGTAGCGCCTTTAACTGCGGGAATGCCCTTCAGACTGCCTGCGTGAGATTGACCTCCGGATGTGCTACTTGAGCGAAGCGTATCGTCACGGGAACGAGCAGTAGAGTGAAGTGTCTCATCGTCACTAGCACTGCTTTCATGTGCTCCGCTTTCTTCGTCTTGAGATTCAGAAGTCGGTGAAGAATCGGCCAAGGACGCAGTTTCAGAGGACAAAGTAAATCGTTGGCTGTCACTTTGAGATGTCTCTGCCTTGACACGAATACGCAGCGCATGCTCGAAAACGACTTGGGTAATAATACTTTCGGTGTGTACAATAGAACGCGTCTAGCCACTATAGTTAGCGACGGTACCATTTCATATGAAGAAAATTGTTACCTACACTGACAAAAATGTACCATTCAAAGGCAATGGAACTGAGAGTGGGTCCTAGGAGAAGCCAAATGATCCAGACCCAGGGTTGAATTGTGGTGTCTGCACCTTTCCTCTCGATGTAACTTCGAAGTGCTATTAGTACTTTCCACAACGAGTCAAAATGCAGCTCCCACCGAAGAAGTTGGTTCACTCCAACAGGTACCGACAAATCGGCTCCTGCTTGTACCATAGTCATTAAAGACATGATCGTGTATTCTTTCCAAAAGATGCGCATGAGGGAAAAGAACAGATGCCGACGTTTTCCTAAACCGGAAAACCGATCCAGATGCTGTAGCAAACATAATAGCATGACTCATCACTGAATAATTGAATGCTGATGACCAACAAGGAAATATACCTGGAAAGCCCTCGAACGCAAGTTTTTGGCATAGTCATAGTCTGCCAAAGGGGGGAGATGATCGTATGGCAAGTGGGAAACTCTCCGCGCCTCGAAGAGAACAGGATCGAGAAAGAAGTAGAAGACGAGGGAGAAGAGAGATGTAGTTTGTTCTGGCGCTGGGGTAGGAGAAGGGTCCTTTGAAGTGTGAACCGAGTTATCAGGATAAACAGTAAATAAAATATACCTTTGGATCATAAGGAATGTATCGTCTTGGTATAGCAAGAGGAATGACAATAGCAAGAATGAACAGTAAGGCAATTTTGACCCAAATCAGCCAACCTTCTTTGGAATCTAAAGGTGTTCGGTCGAAGGTTGCCAAGGGATAAAGATCACGAAAACCAAGTTCGAGAAAGCAAATGAACCATAGCGTGTTGGCATGACGAGTTAAGATTGCGCTCCATTCAAGACGTGATAAGATTGACAGTACAGTCAAGACTACTGTGTAAACCTAAGGATGTTATGTTTTATTTCAATAACATCAAGTAGAATGTTTCAAACCGCACCAACGTGATGAACAATGCTAGATTGACAATGGTCCCATCGTTATTCCCAAATTGTTTCAGCGAAACGAATGAAACAACGGTGAGAACCAGAGCTGCTACGAGACGAAATCCCACAAATGCGATAATTCCTCCTGGTTGTTCAAAATACGTTCCAGCCCAAGTTCGGCCAGATTGTGAGCCTGAATGAGCAACAGCAGGTTTTCGTAGACCCAAAATTGTCAAGTTGATGAACTGGAAGACGAGCAGTATACCAGACACAGCAGTAGCATATACACTCAATAACTCATCCGTAGAAGAGGTACCGAGATTATCTCTGAGAACAGATTTCTTTGAGTCCACATCTCAGCAACAGAAATATGAACATTACTCACGAGAAAGAGGGGGCCAGTCGCGATATATCTAACCGCGTAGAAAATTGAGCTGCGAGATTACCCACCATATCTTCTTGTGGTGAGAGCGTAGTTAAAGCCTATCTCAGTTTACACATCTCTCAGTCTAGTCATCTTATCCTGTCCACCGAAGAATTGATTTCGGCATGTGGTTCCAATCAACCCCCAGTAGATTCCAATCAATGCATGTTATTGCGAGCGAAGCGAAGCAATACTGGCCATAGGGTGAAAATTTTCGTCAATTCTATATTCGCAAATCCCACGAGGTCACAGCCACCGCCGTTTTTGGTAATCCCCCTGTAAATCCCTCGTCATCGAATTCAGTCGCGACTGTCTATCTTCCATTACCTTGTACATTCTTAGTTGCTCAGTATACAATCCTTGTGCAATCATTACAGTGTCTTGATAATTGTTTTACGGAGGCGCGCCAGCACCGACACCCCTCGAAACTAGAATTTCGAAGCGAGCACCACATGTGAGACGTACTTGGAACGGAGGGGGCCGAAGGCCCCCTCCGAGCCGGACGAAGGAGGCTCACATGCGAATGCATGTTATTTTATCGACATCAACAACCATTATCCACGTGGTTACAATCTGGTTACAATTTTCTTCTCACTGAAACTCGAACGACAACTTCAACGAAGGAATCAACGTTAAATTCCGACTGTTTCTCCTTCTCTCTCTCTTCAACGACCGACAATGACGACTTACTCAGCTTTTTTCTCTTCCGGCCTTTTGGCTGCTCCTCACATGTCTTCGTCCCACTCGATGTATAGCAATCATATTATCAGGCATGGCGATGTTTCACCGTCTCTTCTGACTGTTACCGATGCACTTGACGACACGAGCGACATTGAGCTGGATCGTAGCACCACGCCTACTCTAACAAATATCGAAACTTCTATGCATCAGACTCAACGTCTTCGTAGGCGCCGATCTAGTCTTACCATAGGTACCTCACCTATAAACGCTATCAAATCGCCTTCTAGAGCAGCAGGAAATGCACTTCAACTTCAGCGCCATCTTTTCACCACTCCTGGTCGCTCTCGTAGCGGTAGCACGAGTTCGGTTATGAGCATTGGAGAAGAGGTAAATTCAAATATCGCATCCGAGAATACTAGTCTGTATCGTCGAATGCGAAGTGGAAGTGTTGGGTCGATACTCAAGTAGGTATCGTTCCTTTCATGTATATCTTTGAAGTAATCCCCTTGCCCTATCCAGATCTCGACGTGGTGTCCGTCGTGGAGTTCCAGGTCCCTCATTTCCGCCCCCTTCTGCTCCTCTACCTGCTCTTCCGCCAATTCCCGGTACCCCCAGCCGTTCAAAAGCTTTTTCTCTCGCAGTTCCTTCTATCGCCACTCAGGCTCTGGCTCAAAAGCTTGCTGCTGCTGAAGATGTGCTCAACTTGCAGGTGGCTTCATCGCCGACTCGACAGCCTTTCGGTGATTTGCAACTTCATGGTTACGCGAACGACCAGAAAATGAGAGGTTAAGCTGGAAAGCCATCCCTCCTCCTGATACACATGCGCTGCAAGTTTTTTCAGTGCAACTGGACTTTGGTATACACCTCCACATGAGTACATATCTGTATACATGCTTCTATATTTTTTTTCATCATTTATCATGAAAATCTCGATGGTTTGTTCCCTTCCTTTGACATATACCTTATATGCTTACTATAATTATATGATATCCTCTTATGTGTTGACGCATGCAACTGTCGTTTTTCCCTCCAATGAAGTCGCTTTGTTTATGCCTAATTTCTCAGCTTTACAACGGTTTGCTCTGATCAGTGTGAACTTACATCGATGCGAATCATGATGCATGACTTTGAAAGATGAATCAGATTCATTGGGATGAGCGCATTGATTTTCTCAAGTACTGCAAATAATAGATCATGGTAGATCGTGTATGTGGAAGTAGATATGCAGCACAGCAGCTGTACATCCTGGATCGTAAGGGATCGTAAATGAATGCTGGATGAATGTCGAAAAAAAAGAGAGCTGACATACGTACTCTTTCCATGGGATGATTTTGGACCCCGGTTTTGGTGATGAGACCATTATTCTCATTCTATCCTCCGTGAAGAGTTGATATGAATACAATTTCATCATTGTTCTGAAGCACGTATTCCCCTTCGCCCTCTAGTTCCCAATCGGTATTGTTAACCAAAACCAATATGCCCGGCCGTCTAAAGACGCAACGATTACTACAGATTTAGAAGTGAAGTGGATACTTCACGTACACTGTTTTATACTCCATGAATAGTTCAGGCCTTTCTTGAAGCAAATGATCGCGGAGATGATACAGTAAGTACTCGATGTCTGCAGGTTTTGTTTCAACACCAGATAGCGCGTCTGGAAGAACCTTAGTATTATTGTCGAATGGCACCATGGACGGAAGGGTCAGCGTGTGCCGCTTTCGATTTGAGAAGAGAAGCTCAAGACCGCCTCCAAATTCCACTTGGAGAGAGATGGTCGTCATTAGGCAAAGGAAGTAATATTGAGCGTCTGTTTGTTGGTACAATCAATTTTACACAACACAATCGATCATTTATACAAGGTTGAGAAACTATAAATATTCTGATCAATGGGCCTTCTCAGCTTTTCTTCATCTGAAGGAATGCGTCTGATCCACCCAACTCATCCGGAGGTCTACGAACCGCTGTCTTTCGGTCAACTCACAATTCTCACTTCTCCTTTTCGACCTCTTGCACCTTTTCAGATAGCATTACCTTGGCCATCATCGTCGCTAACGATTGATCATTCTGATTATCAACTGAGATGTCGTCCTGCTTCTTCGCTGCTTCTTTCTGCCCTTTTCAAGTCGAGTACGTGAATCAGAGGTCTTTCGGATAAGGTAATTAAATAGGAAAGAGGAGCAAAGTGTATGCAGCAATGATCAGAAGGGGGGGAAGGGGTCGAATCTCGTGGGGAAAAATGGTGATCCTGAACCTGGTTACATACTTTCAGCGTTTGTGTCCTTTCCCTGGGACATGTGTTTTGAGTGGGTAGGGCTGGCCGGACTTGAAGGACTTGAATCGGATTGATATTGATGAATGATCGACGCGTCTTCCATTTTTTCCTATCAAATACATTGAAATGAGCTCAAGTCTGGTTTGCAGAAAACAACCATGCCTTTTCGCTTTCTTCCTTGTACGTCGCCACATCTTGCCGTAGGCGTTGCGCCTCAGCGTGATTGTTGGAAAAGGTATATCCAGAACCAGCAAGCACTGTCATTCTGTTGAGTGCGCGGATAGAAAACGCAGCCTTGCGCCCTGTGCCCAATCGACATTCAATTATTCATTTCCCAGGACAGGGTGATGATACGTACACAGTCCTTTGGCATTGAACGCTTTCTTGACATGCGGGAGCAAGTCCGTAGGGCCACCTGTTGGGCTTTCGGGATCAGGAACAAAGTGGGGTGTAGCGGAAGCGAGCCACTGTAAAAAATATTGACAAGTATTATGCAACACTCAGAGAAACTAACCTTGTGTCCCAAACACTCGTCTGCTGTAGGCCTTTGATTCGGGTCGATTGTTAAACACCACCTTATGAACTCCCGAGCAGGTTGAGAGACATTGGCCCAATATTCTTGCGGTTCGAATTTGTAATCCTATTATAGTGGCACATTGAATAACTGCTACTGGGCTTGACAAAAATGACTCACTCCAGCTATGATAGCCTCCATCTCCGCCTGTTGGCTTTCGCGGTCAAATGGGGTGTACCCAGCCTTATAGATATGTATCCTCATTAACTCGTGGGATCTTCAAGGGAGAATGAAAGGTCACCCCACCAGCAGGAAATAAGTGACTACGCCCATCGCCCAAACATCGACAGGTTTACCGTGGCCAGCTGTGAACAGACATTCGAATCAAAAAAGGCTTGAACATGATCGATACAGAACTTACTTTTTTTGAAGATCTCTGGTGCCATGTATCCTGGTGTTCCACATATCTCCGTCAATAAATTCAACTTCTCTCCGCCTATACCACCTTCCATGACCCGTGAAAGACCGAAATCGGCAATCATGATGTCTGCGTCTTCTGCGGTAGTTCTTGAAATGCAATAAAAGAAGATGAAAGGATGAGGTGAAGTTATGAATTTGGAGGCTACAACACAAAATAACTAACCTGAACAGAAGATTTTCAGGCTTTAGATCTCGGTGAACGATGCCAGCAGAATGGATATAGGAAACAGCTGTTATGATGGTGCGGACTAACGATGCTGCATCTCTGGAAGATAACGAGAACAGGAGGCAGTAAAAACCAATGAGTGTATTGTATCCGTCTAGAGTTCATATGAAAAGTTTACCCTTCATAATAATTTCCTTTCGCACAAATCCTGTCGAAGAGTTCGCCTCCGGTACAAAGGTCAAAGCAGAGATAGAGGTTGTGGGCGGTCTGAGGAGCAAGCATAGGAGTCACCTAACAGGCTGGAATCTTTCAGATCGGTGCAGTGCGCACCTCAAAATAATCATGCAATGTAACCACATTTCTATTCCCACTCGATATCCGCTTGAGGACAGCGATCTCGTTACGAACCATGTGTTCGCGGCCTTCCATGAGTTTTTTGTTGATCACCTGAAACCGTCGGAATCAGTGAATGAAGTGGAAGAGGGAGCGCAGTCAACTGGTTCACTTTGCAAGCATAGTATTTTCCAGTCTTGATGTGAATGGCCTCTTTGACAATTGCATAAGTCCCAGAGCCAAGGGTACGGCCTGTACGATACTTGAGGATGGGTGATCGTAAGACAACATTAGTGTGGAGGTCTAAAGCATTTGTTTTTTCTACTCACTTGACAAGGCACTGTAGTAGCTGGCATATCTACTGGAGTTTCGATTTGGTTTTATCTTCCAACGCGAGCCTTTCTGGTGGTCAAGCAGTAAAGAGAAGGATCCTGTGTAGAAGGGCCGGTCGATTTTATATCGCAGCATGACGTTGAATATATAGCAGTGTTATACAGCAGTACGAAGAGAAGTATCGGACGACAAACGGTGCCGACAATTTTGAATATGTGTTATGGTGAGATCAGAGGAATCATCGATAAAACAATTGTATTGAAGGATGTTGGAGAAAGCCAGCACAGCAATCCAGGAATGCGATGTGTTGGGGTAGGGGAATGTCGAACACCGAAGGGAGATTAGTTGTCAAGCAGTGCATCGATGCAGAATTATATTGATGGTGTAGCAGCGAAATGATTTGGGCATTATGCATTGTCAGTATGTGATGGGTGAACATAGAGAGGCGGGTGGAATATATCAGTATTAGCACAGAAATAAGATAACTTCGTTGCGCAGTGGAAAAACTTCTGTTTGCAAATGAAACGGGTTCGACGAAACTCACCGTAAGATAGTTAGAAACTTGGCACGCCGCGTACGGTAGAATGGTACAGCTTTACGCAGTCGCGGTGAAGGGTGAAGTCAGGTGAAGTCTTCGCAGAATAGGGTTGTGATGGTTAAAGTTGAAGGTGTTCCTCGTAGGAACAGATCAATTTTGTTAGTCTCCAGAAATGGAAGGACTCGGCCAGAGCTTTCGGCCCGCCCTTCAAATTTCAAAGCTTTAAGTTTTCAACTTCACTATTCGAGCGTTCAAGTTAATCTTCACGACAAGTGGAAGACGAAGCGATGTACTTTTATCGATAGTTAAGTAAGTACAACAAACTTTTCAGCCACTTCGATCGATGGCGATGTATCGTGCCATCCAATCGGACCGCAGGTTCACCGTCCTTCGAGAACTTCACCTCCTTTCACTCATCCTTTCTAGATCGATCCCTATCATACAATACCTGAGTTGGTGAGCGGTCCTGGTCAGCGACCGCCCTCGATTACTACTGGTCTTGTAGACGATGCTACTAGTATGTATGTAAAGACATGCTGTAGTTATAGCCACGGCAAATCAGGTTTGCTCGCTCCTAGTTCGTGATTGTACGCTGATATCTGTAGCAAATTCTGAAAAGATTGTAGCCTTGTCAGAGCAGCTGACAATATATTGGCATTGTCTTGTTCGCAAGCTCGTTTCCAGAAAGTTTGCGCCACGTTTCTAGAATCAGTTTGATTCAGGTCTGATTCGGTGCAACGGCTATCTACGCTTATCTGTCCTTTCGCTCTTCAATCTTCACCTGTGAAGGGAAATCTCCTGAGATCTCATGCTACAGTGTGCAGAATGCGGCCTATAGAGTGAGTAATGTCTTCTCCTGTAGATCAGTGAAACTCACCGAAAAATCCTTCTTGTACAATAGGTAAGGAACTGTCCTTGATTTCATCCAAGCCTCAAGGTGTACACGTTCATCCGTCAAGAAGATTGTACTTAGTTCGAAATGCGGCGTTTGGAATGATGGCAAGTAGTATTCACGGTCATAAGGCCAACTGAACTTCTGTGGTGCTCGCTTCATGGTAGGGTATGGTGACAGACAGTATGGGCTATGTACCTCCGGTCTTTGGCTATCTTTGGTCAATAATATCGATCTCAAAACATATATAAAGACATCGTCTGAACGTTGCATTGTTAATCTTCCTCACCCCCTTGATTAATTGAACATGTCCAATACACAATCCATCGCGCCTGTCCCGATTGACCAGATCGTGAAGGCCACGAACATCCTTCAACAAAGTTCTGCCCCAAAATTCGGACACGAACTTCTTCCGTATTTCAGTTTCAAGCAGGGGTTTCTCAATCTCAACAATGGTATGGTCGTTTCGAGCTACTTTCCAAAAGCGAATAACCATCGTTCATGCTTTCTTCCGCAGGATCATATGGCGCTCTGCCCAAAGTTGTGACCGAAGCCTGCAATGAGCTGATGGCATGGCAGGAGGAGAACACTGATTTCTACTATCGGATCGGTTTTATTCCACCTTTAATCGGTGTACGCGAACAGCTTGCCCAACTTGTGGGTGCATCGGACGTCGACGAGCTTGTCATGGTACCCAACGCGTCCACTGGCCTTGGTGTCGTTCTCAGAAACTTTTTATGGCAATGTGGTGATACTATCATTCGCTGTAAGTATTACTATCCACCTATTTCGCTAATTGGCTGGCCCACTTAAGTCTCCTCCTATGTGTAGGCAACACAACTTATGCCACCGTCTATAAGACCATTCAATATATCCACGACGTCACTCCAGGCCTTGAAATCTCAGAGTTTCAACTTCTTTTCCCCACCACCCGCCAAGCCATCCTTGACGGCTGGCAGAAACATATCACCAATGTGAAGGCAAACGCTCCCCAGGGTCAGAAAATTGTCGCTGTCATTGATTCAGTGGTTGCCAACCCCGCAGCGGCTATGCCGTGGAAGGAGATGGTGAAGATCTGCAAGGACGTCGGAATTTGGACCATCATAGATGGTATGTCCTGCTTTGATTTGAACTTTTTTTTACTCATCAATATTCTTGAATTTTCAGGTGCACATTCTGTCGGCCAGGAAGACCTTCATTTGGCTGATTGTGGTGCCGACTTTTTCGTCAGCGTGAGTTCTCTACTATGTCGATTCTGAAACTGGTCCTTGTATTCATCATGCTCGTACAGAATTGTCATAAATGGCTCAATACAAAGCGGGGCGCAGCCTTCCTTTGGATGCCCAAAGAGTTCGCTGGCTCATTTCGCCCCTCTGAATACCGTTTCTGATGTGTGGATGGTCATAGATCGCAAAAAATCATGTTAACTACTATTCCCACCTCAGCTTCGTATGTTACACCGGGTCCTGACAGGCCTGAGACTAACATTGTCTCACAGTTCCAATGTATATTTTCTTTGTTCCTCCCCTGGAATTCCAGCTAATAACACTATCTCCTTCTCCTCAGACAATGGGACGATTGATTATACGACGTATCTATCCGTTCATGTTGCTTTGCAATGGCGCGAATGGGTCGGCGGAGAAGCCGCTATCCATCAATATTGCAACAACCTAGCTAAAAAGGGTGGTGCGCTCCTTGCCCAAACAATGAGTACGAAGGTCATGGATCCTAATGGCGAATTCACCATGGCCATGGTGAGTCATTGTTCGGGGTCTTGGCATATACGGAACTTAGGAGCCACTGTCTACACAGGTGAACGTTACTCTTCCTTTCCCTTCAGACTTCCAGGCGCAATACGATGCTTCAGTTGGCACGGCACTCAGTAACAAGCTCCTGGCGCGAAACATGTACGCCGTGACTTACTATCACAACAGTTTATGGTGGACCAGAGTCAGCGCACAAATCTGGAATGAAGTAGGTTGGTTCACCTTCAATCCATACATCAACTAAGCATTCATCAGCTCAGCGATTTCGAAATCCTGGGAAATGCTCTTGTGACTATTTGTAGCGAGATCGTTTCCGAACACAAGAGCGCGAACGTTCCTCAAAACTGCAAGGCGGTTTCTTTCAGCTCGTACTTGGAGCAACCACTCAAAGGTGCTGTGGCTCTCGATTCAAACAATGGGATTGGGGCTCCTAGGCCGGTCACAAGTACGAAGGTTACGCTAGTTGGCTATCATACGCAGCTTGCTTCCATTAGGCCTTGAGTTGAAACGGATATTAATGCGATACATTGGAGAATCTTTGTAGTAATACTAATAGTATCTCAGTCTGTACTCAGAATTCACGTTTTTGCGTCACGCTTCGACTGAACTGCAATTCCTGCAATATGATTGGCAGAGAATTCACAGTTGGAATGAAATCGAAGCGTTCTGATTGGATGGCCGACATATTAATCAAGTTATGCGGTTTTGAAGCCGTCTCGATCGTGACATCGGCACATCTTCATTCATAAATCTTTTCCACTTTTACCAACTCTTACTTAACTTATACCCTCTTACACTGATATTTCCCCAGCTCCCATTACGCATCAATGTCGGAACCTTCAACGGCTGCTGTTGCTGTCGCACTTCCTCGCCGCATGGACGATGGACTGAAAGCTACTAAACCCCCCGTCTGGCCGATCACAAACTCTATAACAACAGATTCGACCCCGCTGAGCTCAAAATGCGATAGAGTCTCGCGAGCAGACGGTGTTTGTTGTAAGGAGCTGAAGCAAGAGGAGCGAACCCTTATTGATCCTGATGTTGTCCGCGATGTGTAAGTGACCTTAGTGACCGTTTCGCGTCATGGAATGAACATCCTTCGATAGCATCATAGGACTTTCTGATGGCCTGACAGTCCCTTTCGCTCTTACCGCTGGTCTCTCGTCTCTTGGCACATCGAAACTGGTAGTTCTTGGTGGCGTGGCAGAGCTAATCGCTGGCGCAATTTCTATGGGCATCGGAGGATTTCTCGCCTCTCAAGCCGAACGAGATCACTTTCGCTTCCTTAAGAAACAGACATCCGCTCGAGTCTCTGTCAGCTGCTCTGGGGAAATGGAGAGAGAGGTCGAAGAAATTCTTGGGCCTCTTGGTGTTGACCAAAATGCTTGCCGCATTGTTGCCGAAAGCTTACGCAAGGCAGGCAACGAGAGTATCGCGGATTCTACTTCAGCAGAAGACCTCAGGTTACGGTGGAGTAAAGATGTTGGACTAACGGCCTTCTTACTTAAGTTTGGGGAGGGAATGGGTGAGTATATGTGTCGTTTGTCATTACTTCAACTCATTGAGTCCTGCAGAGGAAGTTCCAACGAAACGACTTTATACCTCAGCGTTTACAATTGGAATGGGATACCTCATTGGTGGTCTCATCCCCCTTCTTCCATACTTTTTCATTGACAAGGCACAAGTGGCTTTAATCTATTCGTGTATCGTCACTGGTGTGGTGCTTCTCGTTTTCGGTGCTATCAAAGCGCAAGTGACTGGTGCCAGCGGAGGTATGGGTGGTATCTTATGGGGTGCTTGTACCACACTCCTCGTAGGTGGTGTAGCTGCTGGTGCAGCATTTGCTATTGTACGAGCATTGGAGACAGATTAACTATCTGATATCTTGGTTGTAACATGTCTATTCTAATGTGAACATTTTTAATTACTGCATGCCTGTATTATGTTGTACTGTTAATCTGTGTATATAGTGACGGCTGTACTCTGATATTAACCTCTTGACATATCATGTAGGCGCTATAGCCAAGTGGTTACGGCGACAGATTCGAATATTCGACTATCTGTTCCTCTTTGAGGGCGCAGGTTCAAATCCTGCTGGCGTCGTTTTAATTTTAAATTGCGAGAATATGTGGGATTTCTTTTTTTAATTCCCAATACATAAATAGCAAGGTCTACAATTTTGAGTACAGTGTAATTGCCAAATCAAAATGAGAAGATATGGTAACTTCTTTCTCCCTCCGACTAGAAAATGGTCAGCTGTTACACATAAATCATAACACTCGCATCCTACGCACAAAGTCCACCACGATGATCGAATCCTCACTACACATTGAAGAACAAGTCGGGTGTAAAGAGGGCATCATCTTTGCTATCCAACGATATGGTAGAGTGGTCCTAGTTTCTTGAAGGAAGATATCTCCTGCTGTGAATATACTGGGAGCAGTGATACAAAGACTCGAGTCGCATTCCAAGGAATCCATATTTAAAACGTCTACGTCGCTGACTTTTTGACCATGTGATATCGCGTTTCTGAAAGCTTTTTGGTTGAAATCAAACACTTGCAAAGTGTAAGTATGATTCGACCGATCGCTGCATTCTGGAAACACAAATTTAGTTCCGTAAACATTACATGCCCATATCTCGAAAGATGGGTTTCGGGTGTAGATTTCCGTCATTCGAGAACCTTGGGGACCCCAAGCTTCCCAAACCAACGTCGGCTCTTTCGTGGAAATTGGCCCCGAGAGATCCTTGTGACGAAGCAGAGTGTGTAGAGGGATAAGAAGGGCCAGATGACGGAGAGTATCTCTATGCACCCAAATAGAGGCGACAAAGACCCTCGCATCTTGCGCTATATGAAATGGGACATTGAGGTCAGATTGAGGAGCCCAAGAAGACGGAGGGTCTGATCTGAGAGTGAAGCTGCGGATTTCGACAGATTGATGAAATATTGGGAGAGACAATTTAAAGCCATGGGCAATATTGAGGTATGATTGTCTATGAGGATCCTCTTGCTCAAAATCAACAATAAGCAGTTGAGCATGATCCCTCCCGTCCGGAAGATTGGTGAGGAGAGATAGGAGAACATATCTTTCTGATAAGAGGCAAAAAGATCCAAGTTCGTTGCCTACGACGTGCTGAAAGGGCTATTAGAAATGCTTGAATTGTACTGCATAATGTTTAACCAAGCAAACCAATTTTGTTTGACCTGTTTTCCAATCCCAGATGACAAACTCGTTCGCTGAAAGGTCCGATGCAGTATGGAAAAATATCGCGAGGAATTCCAATGATATTTGGATAGAATAGGACGTATCCGGGTCGAAAAAATGACGAAGGTGCTTGATACATCCTGATTCTGTGGCCAAAGGGTGTTTTGTTGCCGTTGACATTGATCGTAGGTATATACAATGGTGCCGATCCACTCTCCCTGCCGACCTAGACACCAAATGAGCGACTATCCAGACTTATATTTTCCCCTTGCTTTACCGTCGAGGCGTCTCAATCAACACAAGCAGATCCTGACTGGGATCCATTCCAAAGTCGCGGACAAACCGTGGTGTTGTAGGCTTGACCTTCCATTCTCGTTCAGGAATATTTCGATGTACGGAAGGTAACTGTACAAAGACGAAGCTTCCATCGGGATTATTTTGCGCTAGAACGTTCCCAAAAAGTTCCCAAAGCCCAGCGTCTTTCATCGGATAACGTGTTTGTGAACTCCATTCAAGCTTGTCCCAGCGCGCCTGTTGGTTCCTGAGTAGTTCCAATTTCTCCATCGCAGATAAGCTACAGCTCAACCCATCTTCTCGTTCAGCGACTACTAATTCGATATCATAGATAAGGCGAGCCGTCTCGGTGATTATATCATGAAACATTTTGCAAACCTTACTCGAATGATTCAGCCTTGAGACTTAGTGTATCTGCAAAAGTGGAGGGGCTTACCGATTTACATGTCGTCAAGCTGAGTGCATCTAGTTCAGCCAACACTCTGACAATGAGCTCGGTGGGAAGTACATTCAACGAAGAGGAGCTTTGCGTCATGTTCGACATGAGTGCAAGTGAACGAGACACTACGGGCCAGGCCGGCTTGCACAACGGAAAATAAATTTAATCCATCGTTGATAAATTTACGTAAAAACAGAAGTTGTAACCTGTAAGAGGAGCGAGGATAGATAGAACATAGATAGGTAGATAGTAATAAACATAATTACATCCAAAATCAAGATATGATTGGTTCTCCGAGTTCGTATAGCATGTATAACATATAGGAATTCCGGTAAAGAGATGGGAAGCAGTGTCACGGTCAAGCATTATGCAGCCACAACAGTTTCGTTGTGCTTAAACAAGGCCACGATTAATGACACGCTCTCTCTGAGAGAGATACGACGGTTCCTGCGATCCATACCAGTTGAAGCGACAGTTCTAGGAATGTCTGAAGTCGGACGTTCGTTTGCTTCGTCTCCGACTACGATTCAATGTGGTCTTCAACAGCATTTACAAATTGATTGTTCTGTACTCACCATAAAGCACTGGAGCGTTCATTTTGTTGTCAAAGTAGAACGTCAGGTTCCCAGAGGTCATGAACTGACCGCCTAATGTCGAAGCTTCACCTAAACGCGCCACAAGACATTGAGTGCGAACGCCCTGAATTCGGAGAGTGACTTCCGCTCCCGCTGTAAAGGCAGGAACATTGGGCAATTATCACAAAAAGATACGAATACAGAACATACGATTAAATTTCCCTCGATATTTCAAAGCGCGAAGTGCATCTTGTGACACCACGGATTTCGCGCTTCCGGTATCGAGAATAAAGTTACCCACGATAGCTGGTGTCTTATACTGTACTACCTTGAATTTCCCTTTTCCTTTTTGTTTCTGTCCCCAGGTACGACGACGACGATTCTTCTCGTTCTGATAATCTTCGTCGTCGTCATCATCGACTAGTTCGACGACCAATCGCCACCCCATCAGGCCAATAAGGCTCCCAGATGCGATACGCACACCGGCGCAAGGGATGGTGGAGATTTCGGTTGTGGGGGACGTGAGATCTGGACCTAAGACTTTGACTAAGTCTGTCCGGAGGTGGCGTAGTGTGGAGGAGGATGTAGATGGGAAAGCGTATTTAGCGTCAGAGGGTTCAAAATAGCCGCGGTCCTTTTGTATTGAAGATCTCTCTTCTCGCACTGAAACAGAGCCGCGGTCGCTGGTACTGGGGGCGTATGTACTGGAAGAATCCGAATTGGGCCCGGAACTAAAGGGTACCGGCGACATGGGTGTGGATGTGTTGCTATGGTAGAAGTTTCTACTTTCAGCGCCGGTAGCGTGCTGATATTTGAGTAGGAATAGACGTTTACTTGCGGGAGGGCGAAATAATAGTCCTGTCGGCTTTTGAAAGAGCCAGTCCGTTGGTACATGAATAAGTACCGCTGAATGCACATACCATTGCATATATCTCGGAGTTCTCTTCTTTGAGTGAACCCGACTCCCATACCAGCTTCATACCGTCATCATACCTCCCGAGCTGTATCAAGGTAAGACCACGGTCGAGAAGGATTCTGTCGGTATGCAACTCGAATTGTAGGCCGAGTTCTTGATAATAGCTGCCCATTGACATTTAGTAACGAGGATGAACATTGACTATGAATGATTCACATACACAACCTGATTTCCTCTCATCATGACTTCAGCATCGACAAAGTCCTGCAACGCCTTTTCCATTGCTTTGAGCTTGTAATGGCACACTCCGCGTTGAAAATACCTAGCATGCGAGTGTCAACGAAGTTCAGCTAGACTCTTTTCTTACTAGTGAGGACATACCCAACGGCAAGGAAACGGTCAAGTTCAATCGCGTCTGTGAATTTGGCGATGGCATGACCAAAGTTTCCTTGGTACATGTGTATCAACCCAACATTCATTGCGACCTTGGAAGTATCCGAAATTTTCTACGAAGAACAGTTTGGGAATACCGGGATTTCAGAGCTGTACAAGAGCTTACCTCGAATATACTTAAAGCGCCATCCAGGTCCTCGGAATCGTACGCTTGAAGAGCTGCATCCCAAGTATCCAATTCGTGCTTGAGAACAGCCAAAGCCATTGATAGAGTTGCGCTTTAGCCTGTGAGCTGATCGCGAGGATGGGGAAGGAGCGAGAAAGAGAAATGAGATGCATCATACGAATGAATTGAGGCATCGCCTGATGATGGTTGCGGGAAAGGAAGCCGAGCGGCTTTTCTCCCCAAAAATTGATCCCTATGAGTATGTTGTATGTCTGCCTGAGAACAAGAAGGTCGGGAAGGATGCGGGCGTTGAACTTTGAACTTTGTTCGGTTATCCTATAAGGAATTGTTTCTGTGCGGAGGATGGCACAGAAAGAGTGCACCATCTTCACTACTTCAAAACGTGGGCACTACTTTTTTTGCTCGTGACCTTGCGGAAAATTCCCCAAGGTCCCTGGTCCGAAATAAGTCAACCGTAGGTTGGCTTATCATAGGATAACACTCACCGTACTACATCCCACAATTCGTCGCTGTATCGAATTGCACGGCGATCCTGATAACCAGTATGACTCGACTTCTCCCAAGCTCGGACATATTTGTTCTCGTTGGAGGAATGTTGCAATAGCTACCCCAGACCTTTGGTTTTGTATCAGGATTTCTGAATCTGCTATGGACGGTGGATGGGCCAATTCGGACCCGGAAGAAATAGATGAAAATGTTTTGGCACTAGTTGAGCTCTATATAGAGCGCTCCTATCCAGCACTATTGGAATCTCTTCGCTTATGGCTCATTCCCTGCTCATTCCCACCGCTGGCGCGCGGTGGACTTTATCGTTATCAAACATTTCCTCGGGACAAGACACAATCCAAAATGCTTACTGTCTGCCATTCGGGAATGGATCCCTTTCCTTAACCTATTCGCTATACCCACAAGGCTCACACATTTATGGCCAAGGGATGCTATTCTCGACTCTTTCGAACTGGCCCCGAAGCTAATCTCAGTCAAGGTCTTTGCAAACAATCCCTCCATGACAACAATGCTCAAAATTGCGTGGAAAAATATAACTTCTGTGACTATGTTCGGCTTGACTCCCATCCATGTCAAATCTATCCTTGTTCTGTGTCCCAGGCTTGAGAAGGCCGCTTTTTACATATTGCATCTCCCAGCTCGGAGATGAAAGCGGTGGGATGCTCCCAGCTGACTCTCAAGTGTACAATAGCAATAAGCTGAAACATTTGACACTCAAAGGAATGGTTTATGAGGGTGATGTGTCCGCGTTGGCCATGCACACTTGGATCCTTCCATGCCTGGAGACACTTTCTTTGGGCAGCCATCTTGTCCTGAAGAGCACAGAGCGAGGGTCTAGAGGTGGCAGCCAGGGTAGCGCAAGAACGGCACGTGGTCGTGAACCGCTTCTGACGCGAACGACCATGCCACGACCGACGTCAGACCTATCCAAACCCAGCGCGTCATTTTATCATCATGGCTCCGACGAAGCATTCCTGTATATAAGGGAATTTTAAACGTACAATGTTTCCTCATCGTCTTCTATGCAAATCCGTCTACAAAAATTTGTAATCCTCTCTCTCTTCATCGTTTCCCCAGCATACGCCTCCTCAGATTCATGGTTCAGTTCTAAACCCAAGTCTGATTCAGCTACCGCTGCTTTCCCTTCCTCTTTCTCCTCCTGGACTCCATCACAATATACTTCATTCCAAGAAACATTTGCTTCTCTTCGCGATAGTACTTTTGACTCGTGGGATGAATCTCGTCTTCGAGAATGGCTTCTCGAGCAGGGTATAGTCGCACCGAAAGGACCAAAGGAACAAATTGTTCTTGCAGCAAAACGTCGTTGGAAAGACTGGCAAGAGGCGAAGGAAAAGTACTCTGCTTCCGCCTCCCAGGCTGCATCTGCATACATGTCTGACGCTTCTGCCACTGCTTCCCAAGCTTCGTCAGCTGCGTCGTCGTATGCAGCACAGGCAACGCCGGACGTTCTACCTGACAGACCATTCGATTCTACCAAGGACTACGTTTGGTCCACTTGGGATGATACTCAGCTCCGCAAGTTCCTCGTCGAGAACGGTGTGATTGATACTCGTACAGCTGCGGGAAAGAAGAGAGATGAGCTGATAAAATCGGCCAAAACCCATTATGCGACTGCTTCTGGGAATGCTTGGGAGACCTGGAGTGACAGTTATATTGTGAGTTAGTTCTTATGTCCAAGCAGTATAACACGTATATTTATTTCCTTTCTTCAAGCGCGATTGGCTTGCTGCACACAACCTCATTGATACTCGGAATTCCGTACAGATGTCGAGAGACGAGTATACTGCTCTCATGAAGTCATACTACTATGACAGCAAACATCATGTGTGGGACACTTGGTCCGATAGTGACCTGCGAACATGGCTCATCGATAATGGTTACATGAAGAGTGACATTGTTGCTACCAGAGACAAGATGTTGAAAATGATCCAGTGATTATCTATATTTTTTTCATCCTCGGCGATTTCTCATTTTTTTAATGCCGCAGAGATAACTTCTACAATGCCCAATCTACATTCACTTCTGCCTGGTCCGAATCCCAAATGCGGGCTTGGCTCATTGAAAATGGGTATATGCGCAGCGATGCTCAGGTGAAGGAAGACGAAATGTTATCGCTCTTTAAAGAAAAGTGAGTGTCATACTAAATCTAATCATTTGAATACTCTTCTTATATTTCATCCGAAGATACCACAGCACCTCATCGACTCTATCCTCATACAATGCCCCCTACCTTTCCTGGCCAAATGCCCGACTACGCGCCTATCTCCGTGAATCAGGTGTCTCTGAAAACAAATTACCTACCTCACGACCCACCCTTCTACAAGAAGTGCGCATACGCTGGGTACGGAGCGCTTCCTCAGCTGAGCGTATGCTCGCACGACTCAAGGAGATTTTGGATGATAATGTTGTTGGGCCTGTGGAGGATCGGTTAGCTAGGACTTGGGAGGTTTTGAAAGGTGCCGGTGGAGAGTCAAAAGAGTATGCAGAGGAGAAATACGCAGAATCGCAGCAGGTTTTCGAGGATATGAAGGGTGGAGCGTATGAAAAGGTTAAAGGTGAATTGTAACTTTCTCGAATGATTGAACATTGATGTTGGATCACATAATGTACATGAAGAACGTTTAAAAAGTACACACATAATGCCCTTGTAACTATCATTCGCAAATGATGCATGATTTCTACATGCTCCGTTCCTGTGTTGACAAGTGTTCCTCTCATTAATATTGAAACATCACTCAATACTAGTATACTTCCCGATCTTCCCCTTTCCTGATCTTATCCCCCGACTACCACCTGCTGCATGTCTGCTCCCCCACTCGCCTGCGCCCTTAGATAAGCCGGTCAAAAAATGTCCACGTCATTATTACCGGCGCTTGAGTAACTAAAAAGTTCGTTTTCCATAATAACAACTTCAGCCGCTTTATTATGGTTTTGCAAAAGCGTAAAGCAGATGGAACATATGAGGCTATCGGCGGAGCTTCGAAGAAAGCACGGACAGACTCTATTCAAGTTCCCCAAAGTTCGTTCGCAAATTCGAGTTCAATACTTTCAGTACCAGTCGTGGACATTCCTTCCACTACAGCATCTTTGACTCCAACGACTTCGAATCAGGTATCAAGCAAAGGAAAAGGAAAAGGCCGCAAGAAGGCTGAACCCAGAGAAAAGAGGCTTGCGAGATTTCGATCTACCTGTCCCAATGATATTTCTGTGAGATTGGACCGGTATCTTGCGCAAGCTCAAAGGTATGTGAAGTAGATTTGGAGAAATGTCTTGTGCCGTCTATGTAACGCATATCTATTTATCATGGAAAAATCCTTCACAGAATTTATCTCATCGAGAGGAACCGTGAAGGAAACGCGTTGAAGGAGGAATTCACCGTTCAGGGGTCGACGGGAAATGTGCGTACTTATGCTGTACTATGCTCTCAGCTTTGTGTCCTTTTACATTCTTCTGAGACGTTTATACAGGTTTACACTGTTACAATCGACAATGTTCCTCACTGCAATTGTTAGTGCGCGTCTAGTGTCTTCAGATTCGAAAACGTTTGACAGTAAATTTACACAGGCCCAGATCATCAGAAAGGGCACCATTGCAAGCATCTCGTGCGTTCCAACCCAGCACACAGAGCTGTGTCATGATGGAGGATCGCCTAATTCACTTGCCTCCATTCTTTGTAGTTGTTCATTCTTGTCAAAGTCCTCCAAATCCCACAAAGTTCGAATTATTGGTATCAAAAGTGCGTTTTTACTACTGATATGTAGTTATTGCCCTTTCCGTTAAAGTTTCAATCTATGTTTTCAGAGCGCTACTTTCAGGTGCAATTCCCCAGACTCGCTGCAACTATTTGACCAACTCACTGGTCTTTAGATGAGTTATCAGAAATATTCTCTGCAGCACCTCCACCACCTCAGCTTCGGGGAAGCTTTATTGCGAACAAAACTGTCGTCGGTGCATGGCGGGAGGCGACAGGACGTGCGCCAGTTACCACTACTAGTACGGGATCTGGTAATCTTGTTTCACCCCGATTCGAAAAAAAAGATTACGAAAAGTTCTGAAAAAAATCTCTAGCTCAAGTGTCTGACGATCCACGTCGTATCCCTGTATCCGAGGACGATTGTCCCATTTGCTATGACAAGATGAACGCTGAAGAACTGGATCTGAAAGGCTTGGAGAAAATTCTTGAATGGTGTAACGAATGTCATAATGCTGTTCACAAAGAGTGTTGGACGCAATGTAAGTTCTGCGATTCAATTTCGTGCAGAGATCCTTGAATTACAAATGTGGGTAGGGAGGACGACGAAGCAAAGACAGGCTCAGTCGCTTACGTGCGTTTACTGTCGTTCGGATTGGGTCGGTACGTATTTAGTTCTTAATCACCTGAAATCTGTGGACATTTTTTCGTAGGTGCAGCTTCGTCTGCAAGAGGCCTTGGTGGAAGCGCTGCTCGCTTTGAGGAGGGTTTCGTCAATCTTGCCAATGTTTCGGGTGTCAGCACTGTGCGCGATACTAGTACATGTCGGTCATTTTGTCTTGCTATGCACCATTCAAAGCTGACTGATGTTTATAGATCATAGCAGTTCTCGCGGATCCTACGGATATCGCTTTCGCTATGGATATGGAGGTCGCTATTGATAGCTATATCATCGCTACCACCTGCGGTCTTGTAGGTCTACCGAGTTTCAAAAGGCTCCAACTTCTATCTAATTATTCTAAGCCCATGTTTGGCATTCTGCTAAGAGTAGAGGTTTGGTGAAAGTCCTACACAATACATTGTCTTGTACCAAAACAAGTCCACCAGATTTGATCCACACTGAGTAAATAGAAGAAATATCATTCAATAACTTCAAACCGACTTCGTTTTCCGTCTCTACCATCATCCTGGTCATCCAGTCTCCGTTTCTGTGAATCCACTCTTGTCAAAGGTGAATCATTACCGTATCCACCCATATCCATGCTCCCCGAAAATGACTCTCCATTAACGATTCCATTTAATATTGCGTTATATTGGTCATCGCTGAGACCCATTCCAGCGAGAGGATTCAGGCGATCCATATCGTCATCGTCTGCGCCCATGGTAAGAGGGGTGAACGAGTACGACGATGATGATGGTTGCATATCTGTTGACGACGGCAAAGACAGTGCGCCGTTGGAGTTTGATAGTTCATTGGAATTGGATGTTGAAGCCATGTTGACGTTCTGACGAGTGAGTAGTGCTGCTTGTGAAGTGATAGCTTCTTCGAAACCCGAATCTGATAAGGGGGGTATACCGAGTGATCGAGGCACTCGCGACATTTGTTGGATGACCTTGAGATGCATAAGATGTTTCTACAAAAATGAATAGTCGTGAAGACAGGCTCGTTCAAAAGAAAATTGTGAGCACGCACTTCAAGCATATCGAGCAGGCCCTGTCTTGTGAATGGTTTGGGAAGAATGTCGTTCATACCTAAGAAGGCACTCTCAATGAAAGATGGAATTCCGGTAAGAGAAAAAACGCACCAGAGTGATAGTATGTCATTATCTCGTTCGGTTTTGAGTTACTTGTCATTGAGATGATCGGCGTCATATGGTCGAATTTTCGAATCAGCGATGTCGCTGAAACACCGTCGAGTTTAGGCATAACAATGTCCTGATAGAGAAATATGAGAAGATAAACATGTTGATAGAATTCAGTCGTACCATCAACACCAGATCATACTTTTCCAAGTTCATCTTATTGACGGCACTCACCCCGTCGACTGCAACATCAATCTTGCATCCAAATACTTGAAGGAATTTGCTTCCCAACTTCCTGCTCACCGCATCGTCATCTACGAGAAGAACTCTCGGAGAGACTGCCCACCCGGGGACAAAAGCTGAACGCCGTACGCGAAGCTTTTTAGAGCTAGAATCTGGCCCCGACGGCGGAGATGACGATGAAGAAGGCAAGGGGTCGAAAACCTGTGATGCAGAAGCCATCGTCGGACTCCCACCATCCACTTTACGCTCTTGTCCGCCCACCATAGTGTTTCCAGAAAAGTTGAATCCACCACCTTCGAACATTCCAGGATCAAAACTCCACGTCCCGTTCATATCATCAATTGTATTCCTGGGCATGAGGTGTCCAACAGTGTAAACCTGTAAACCTTCGTGGCTAGATGTGTAATCGGGGAAGGAAGTGAGCATTGACAGTGGGGTTGATGGCTGCTCCTGTTGAATTTGCAATGAGGCTGAACCGTCCTGAGAACCAAATGAACTCAGTGAAGGGACATTAGGAAGCATCATATTCCAAGGATCTGAGCTATTTGATTGTGATTCTTGCGACCTTTGTTCTTGTTCTTGCTCTGCATTCGCAGCTACCGTCGACGCGGAAGGCATGACCACTTCCTCGTTGGACATATCCGTTATTGAGGATCCGGAATCTATGGAATTATCTTGAGATCCTTCTTGTACCGGAACGTTTCTGTTTTCCCCATTTGACCCGAAAGTCTCCATTGCGCTCACCAATTTAGCTGCCGCATTACTGAGGAACCCAGCACTAGCTGGACGCATGCGTTGCAGCTCTTCAATCTTCGCAAGTGCATCGCGGCGAGATGTAATTTTCGTTGGGCCTACACTCGCCACGTTATTCCAGGCATCCGGGTTTGGCGACGAGACTGGGACTGTGTTATTCAATGGGTTGACAAAGGATCCATCAGGATTAATCAATCCAGCGTTGGTAGCTGCAGTCCACAATCTCGAAGGAGGCCTATCTCCACCATCTCCGAAACTGAAAGCGTTCCCTCCACTCGGATTCCCGTTTGGGTTGAGCGCATCGCCTGCCCTTCTGGACATCTCGTTCATCTTCATCAATGCGGACCGTCCAACGGAGTCGTTGATCCCCGACGTACCCATTGGATTGATTGGATTTGATCCCCCGTTTTCATTATACGAACGATAAGACGGCCCGATGAGATTTTGTGCAACAGAAGAATGTATAAAAGGGTTTTCATTGGATAATGTTACGGTTGCAGGAGGAGATGAGGTTGATAGTGAGGACATCCCTTGATGGGGGGATCGTTGTTGTGGCAGCGACGTAGATGAGCCCATAGGTTGAGATGGACCTGCTTGGGAAGGGGAAGAAACAAAAGCATTATCTGCAGCTGCCGACGATGATGAGGGGTTGGCGAGGATGGCGGCAGGACTGCTCGTAGGAGGCGGAAGGGCACGCCGTTTACCTTTGCCTGTAGTAGATAGACGGGCCAAAAAGTCCAGGCCATACGAGAGTCCGGTGGAATCAAGCCCAGGCCCATATGTCGAGATCGGGTCCAGACCCAGCCGTATCCAAGAAGTTGGTGATTTATGTACAGTTCCAGTTGCAGCATGTTGTTTTTGAGCAATTCCATTCCGTTTTTGAGTGAAGAAATGGTTTGATTATGGATATAGAAGGAAATAAAAAGCAAGGACGAGGTCAGTACATTATCTTCAAATGAAGGGATAAGGATTACAATACACAGAGAAGAAGAAGCAGTGAAAAAGGCTTTATGCGAAATGCATCAACTCGAGGGGAAAGGGAGGACTACATCCCAATGACGACAAGGAAAGGTGTCAAGAAACCAAGTGGTAACACAACACGACCAAGAAATTTTAAAGTACATCTAGGATTGAAAACAAGGGACGAAGATGATACGGGAGTTGCAGTAAACACAAACTCAATGAATGTCAAATCCAGAAGATTGGGCGAAGCAGGGATGGCGGATATGAAAGTCCAAGGGGAACGTGATGGTTTTAAGATCAATGTAGCACTATGCCAAAGCGTACAAACAGAATGGAAAAACCAAGAAAGACATTGAAAGATATGCACGGGATCCTACTCACCCTCCCCTCCGGCGCCACCACCGTGTAGGACCCACTCAATGAGACCCTGCATTACAGAGTCTTGCTGAGCCATATTTCTTTGAAACCCAACCATTTCGACGAGGACCTAGCGCAGTTATTTATGAGCAGGGAGAAAATTAAGGAGGATATAGCGAAGCCTCTGTAAAAAAACGTACCTCATGGTAATTTCGCTCCAAGCCACCCAGATTCCTCTCCAGGTTCCCTATATTCCGCTCTAGGGACCGTATATGAGAAGATAATTCATCGTGCGAAGCAGTCAACCGATCGACTTGGGTTTGCAATTGCTGCGTATGGTATTCTGGATAATGAAATATAATCAATCGCCGAATACGACTAACATGTAGAGTACAAAAAAAGAAAGAGGAGTGCAACGTTTGGTTGAAGAAATCCGCGCTTACCATTGTAGCCATTCCCGCTGGAGCCATAAAACGGGACAGGACTCCCACCAGCACTACCTGAGCCGCTAGCTAATGGCATTCCAGTGCTTCCCGATGAACCCATCGGTCGCGTTGTTGACGCAGCATTTTGCGCGCCCTGACTTTTCCGTGACGCAGGGACTTTGCGTTTGATATTCTCAAGCGCATCACGCCTGTCTGCGTGAAAATCTGGATGTCTGAACGTCCAGGAATGCTCTCCAAATGCGTTGTCATCAGTGTTCTTGACCTACGAACGGAGAAGCGTAAGTACAGATTGGTCGAGAATCGATTGAAATGAGGATCGCACTTTATGAAAGTCGTATTTATTTAATTGTCTGACAAAACTAGCAAAGTTGGAGTGCTTGAACATCCTCGGTAGAATGGATTTGGTAAATTCATTCATATCTTTGACGACGAAACAATCGCCGTGAGGGCCCCAGGACACGACATCCTGGAAAGATTGGTCCTCAAGCATTCTACAAGCGGACCGTCAGCATACAACAAGCAAGATGATTGACATCTTGCGCACTTGTATAGTTTCTTGACAAAGTCACTGGTAGAGGGCATAGAGTCCTCCATGGTTGGAGGTACAGGTTGTTGATTGTGATAAGGTAAGCTGTCGCGTTGTTCGCGTTTAATTTGAGGATGGTGATCAAGTCTGGGTAATAATGGAGGTTGGTGATGAGTTACTTGGGGGTGAATTTCATCCCTCGAATTGGAGGTACGGTGAATAGAAGGCCCCCAGAGATTCTGCGAAGGAGGAAGCAACGGCGGGGAGGTAATCGGTGGTAAAGGCGAAGAATTGTATTGTTGGTGATATTCAGGGAGAGGAAGAGAAAGATCATTCGAGTGTCTAGAACGGCTGTTCATATGTTCTCCGGGCAAGAGTGTTCGCGTTTGAGAAAGGGGAAAATCAATACAGATGTAATCACATATCCTTTTTTTCCTTGCTAAATGGCTTTCCCAGGCTTTCTTCCTTTCCTCGCACACGAATTTCTTAGTAAACTTGGGGTTCTTTCATCCATTTTCTTGCTCTAACAGGAACACTCGATGTCGTGCCGCGGACGAATAGGCCAGCCTAGACCACGCCCAGATTTTACAGTGGCAGTGCGACTATAGTCTAGGCTCTGGATGCCTTCCACGGCCACCGCTGCCGCCGGCATAGTTTATGGTAAAATTTGGGGTATAAAAGCTTCAGCTACCAAGTTAATATCAGCGTGAAAGAGGAACCTGCGCCGACACAATTCAGAGACTTGTCATTGCCTTGGGACAGGAACAGGACTGAACCCACTGCAATTGCCGAGAAGTGCCGAAAAGTCTAGACCTCTTGCCTCTTGAGTTGAGTCTTTGCACCGGCTCCGAATTTACCCCACGTTAGGGCGTTTATTATCCCACCTGCTGTCACTGACTGACCTGCCTCAGCAGGCATCCCCTAGCTCGTAAGTAGTTCAAATGTTCAGCGCTAAGCGAGGAGAAACGGAAGCGCGAGGAAGTAAGTGGCGAATCTTGACGTTGAATGCTGAATGCAAATTATGCAATGGGTCTCCGCCCTCATACGCTAATCTATGCATATTTTGACCCTTGCTTCTTGCATTAAAGCACAAAGTACAAAATAGTGTTGATCTTTGAAAAGCAGGGGGAATTATCCCAACTTTCACGAACTCAGATGAGATGCACTCTTTCTAGGTACACCTTTACTTTCCTTCATGAGTATGTAGCTGAGGAAAGATCAAACCCATTGAAAGCGGCTTAGCGGCTAGAAATTCATTACGTATGCTTACCCAAAATGGCAAATGTGCTGGTTGACGTTCTTCTTTCGTCGTACTCCCTCATTCTTCCATCTTTCTACCACTGGAGTGTCCTGGCTAGGAAGTCTTGCTTACTTTACCAAGCACTACGAATTTAGTGAAAATAAAGATCTTGACTGGACGAACTAAAATTACGATACTCATGTCGGCACCCTCACACGAACGACGACGTTCAGCACGCAGAACAAAGTCGCCCTCTGTAATCTCAACCGCCAATTCTGTTCCGGTCACGAAATCTCAGGCGAAACATAATTTTATCTCGTCTAACAAGTTATCTTCTGAACCGGGTCCGGGTGCCCAAAGCACCAGCATCGAAGTGAAGCCTTCCTTTTCTGCAGACAGCAATAACCAACTACACGACATTATGCGAAAGGTGATCAAGGCACTAGAAGGAGTCACTGGTGCTCATTTGGATATGGAAATATTTGGATTAGAGGAAGAGGAGAAGGAGAATGATAGCGAGAAGGAGAGGGATGAACAAGATGGCGAAGACAGGAGCAGAAACGGCCCAAATCCAGAGAAGGATGAGGAAGGAGAGGTAGCCAGAGAGTTAATTCTGAACGGGAACGGGAATGGTGTGGCTCAGGCCACGGATGGAAAAAAGAAGGTGGACTGGGAGATTCCAAGAAAATTATTACACTCGTCGATCGGTACGCATTCTTCACGCTCTACTTAACCCGCCTTGATGTCTGAGATAAACCAGGTTTTTTCACAATATATCTATATATATCTTCCGGGAACGCCAGAGTTGTAGTGTACACGCTTTGGTCTGCGCTCTGTGTGATCGCGCCAGCAGATTACCTTCGGCTCACATACCCTTCTTTTGCCCGGGTTTATGAGCGTTACCTAGGATTTCTCATGCGGGAAAGCGAAAAGAAGGGAACCAATGGTGTAATATGGTACATTATCGGTGTCAACTTTGCCCTGACCTTCTATCCGCTCGACGTCGCTACAGTCGCAATCCTGATGTGAGCTTCTCGTATCTCTCATGTTTACTCTTATCAACTTATCGACGCGTATAATCAGTCTATCTTGGGCAGATACCGCGGCGTCTACCACAGGGAGGCTTTGGGCTGGCCACTGGGGGCTGTATACACCCCGTCTACCCTCCCGCCTTCCTATTATACCCTTCTTACCAGCACATCTCAAACATTGGCTAGCCCTCCCTCTGGCTCCCAGAAAATCACTCGCGGGATTCATCGCTGCTTCCTTGACCGGAGCGTGTATTGCATTGGGTTTCTGGGGCTGGATGGCGCCTGTACCATTACGCGTCGAACGAGGCGACGTGACGTGGTTTTGGGATGGGGGTGTCTTCGGATCAGGTGGATTTGGGGGCTGGGTAGGCTTGAGCATAATAGCATTATTCGCGGGATTAGTTAGTGGAATAGCGGAGGCATTGGGTAAGCCTGTCCTTTGTATTTCCTTTGTTCAGTCTTGCTGATTTTCCATACTTTCACCAGACCTTGGTTCTTTAGATGACAACCTTACCCTCCCAATCATCTCGGGTGGATGTCTTTGGGCATTCTACAAGGTGCTGGGCGCAGTGTCGAACGGTCAGCTCACCGCGTAATATCTTTGATTCTGTTCACTACCTCTATTCTACGAGCATTGTACTTTTTCACGTCTCCGGTCCGACGACTGTTCCCACAATCTTCCCTGATGTTTGGATACTGACTCAACCTCTATTACCCTCGACTCGATTCCTAGACTCACTTTAGACTTGTAAATTTTCCACTCGACTGTCCTCTCCCCGCAGAACTCTTCATATCTTCCGGGACGTGGATGCCTGCTCCGCCACAAAGAACGTAGCAGAGTTTGTCGTCATCTTCGCATCACTTTACCAACCGATATATCCGCTCCCCATCATACATCTCTATATGATTTCTTTGCACTACGGTATACCTTCCGCTCCGTTACGATAATGAGAATAGCTGTACGTCCTGTGTTGTTAATTGATCTATGGTGCAGTTCACTTAAACACTGCAAACTTTTTGCACGCGCCAAATCGGCCGGAGGCCAAAATTTTTTTTGCATGGGGACTGATCCACCCACTGATTTGTGGAACTTTTTGATATGCCAGATAGTGTCAGAGTGCATAGGGACAAAATTGACGATATAGCGCAGTAAATAATTCTATACAAACATTCATGTTCGATTTGGATTCGGAATTCGATGGAGATTTGATTAAAGATGTATCTTTCTGAGTACACGCGCCAAATTGGGAAGGACTTAAAAAAATATCTCACTCAGTTTTGAGGTTATCGAAAATCGGTCTGGGGGATTTGTTCCTATAATGAAAAGGAGTCGATTGGCCAAAGGGATAAGAAAAATCTCTTTTTTTGGGCGTGTAATAAAGTTTGCAAAAAGTTTGCAGTGTTTAAGTGAACTGCACCATATGAAGCAAGTATTGTCGACATCAATTTCCCCATATTCACAGCAATATTACATGTCAGGGTGTCACTAGTAGCCCGGAGCCATTTCCTGGCCATTTCATGATGGTTCAATGCCAGATTGAGTGAGGGGAAGGGGGTGGCGCTTCTGAATTTGAATTCATCACTCCTCTGTGTGGGCGACCACATTCTAGCAAAGGATAGATAGGAGCATTGTAGCAGATTGTAGCATACATCCTTATGATTCATACATCATAACACATAGGTACATAACCCCATAGCTCACGACCGTGCAGCGCCAGGCACGGTACGACGCTCTCGTCTTGGTCCACGCTCCGGGGCAACCACGATAGGGTTAACAACGTTGACAACAATAGAGTCAAAGTTGAGAGCAGTGAGTAAAGCCTATGCGATGTGAAATTTAGCACTCAGACAACCGTAATAAATGAGAGTCTGACTTTGGTCTCTGGGTCAACTTCGAGGCCGTTGGACACATCGAGGGCGGATACTTCGGGCACGTAGTTGTCCTTTCGCTCCCTCTCCTCTTCTTGGAGTTTGAATGAAATACCAGGAACAGGGCCCTTTTGAATGCGCTTCATTAAATGGGTGGTGAAGCCCGAAATTTTGTTACGGAGACGCTTTGAAGGGACAACAGCCTAAGCGTGAATTGGAAGATCAACGAGAGTTTGGGCAGCATGGCGAAAATAGAACGCACAACTTCATCGATGATTCGCTTGTTGGTGTGGAAATCGAGAGTCAGACGAGGATAACTATGGAATAGGATCAGTATGATCTAGCGAAAATCTAGCCTTTTACGCACTATTTTTCAATCAAGACTCTCGAAGCCCTCTTGGTGGTTTTCGTTCTAACACGACCCTAATTCCATGCAGTAAATCATAAGATTGATGATACACAAATGGCACAAGATGATTTTGAGTTGAGAAGAACGAGATTCATAAGTCCAATAATTAAAGCTTTCAGCAACTCATATTACATACCATGTTGTCCTTTTCTTGAAATTGTCGTTGGCACAGGCGACGGCGTCTGGAGTTGGGCTTCTGCGCTGAAGGGAAAGTTGATCACTGTAATCAAACTGTGGGACTTTCGACGTGGTAGCTGTATAGTTCTTTTCACGTGACTTACACCAAGAAACGTATCTTTCCTGGTATTTTCCTTTTGCATTCCTTCCCTCAAGACTCGTCTAAAAGGTGCTTGCTCACTGTACTCATCAAGGAATGCTGTGTCGCTCTGCGGTTATGCGCTCGCCAAATCATTGGAGAATACAGTCCGCTCTTGAGGGCTCCGATGTTTTCGAGTTCAATCGCCCGTTTGACTCGCGCTTTCCGTAGCGCGACACTCATTCTGGGTTTAATCTCTTACTCATCCTTTCTTTACCTGTATCGTAGGCCATACTTGATTGACCAAAAGCGTTGTCTCGTCTTTCAAAATGGTCCGAATTTCTGTACTTGTAGGTACTCCATCATATCCGCGTATACGACGACTGAGGGCCCTCTGTTAGAACGATTGCTTAAACAACATAGTCAACGCGGAGCGCCGTGGCAAGCGTCAAGTTCTCGTTCGCCCTTCATCAAAGGTCGTCGTAAAATTCTTGAGTGTCATGCAAAGGCATGGTGAGTCTATTGCCGTTTCTTATATATCTATCTATAATCCACAAGTACGATACCTAAATTCTGTTTCACCCCGGAGTGATAACTACGATCGACGAGGTCTCGCTTCCACCTGTCCCTCGTTTTAACGCTCCGAAACAATAAACATTTAAGTTCCACACAAACCATACAACGCGTCTCTCGGACAATCTTTTACGAGGATGCGTTCACAGTGGGTCTACAGCTCGTATACACTAGTGTACACACTTCCTCTCTGCTGCTTACATGCATATACAACGCCGTACTAATTGCTTCACATATCTTAGGTTACATTGGTGAATTTGAAATCATTGATGACCATCGTGCTGGCAAGATCGTCATTCAACTCAATGGTCGTTTGAACAAGACGGGGGTCATTTCCCCTCGATTCAACGTTCAGGTTACCCAAATTGAGTCCTGGGTGAACTTGTTGCTGCCTTCTCGTGGTTTTGGTATCATTATTCTGGTACGTACTCGATTGCACCATGATACGGATCAATTTGAGAAGTTCGGTCTTCGTACTTGCTTTGTAGACCACATCCTCCGGTATCCTAGATCATGAGGAAGCCCGTCGCAAGAACGTTGGAGGTAAAATTCTGGGCTATGTTTATTAGTATGCCGATACCTAGTATGATGTATATGTATCGTATGTACGCGATTTATGCATTGCCAGTTCAGAATTTCTCTAGAAAGTCTTGCGAGTGAGCGCTGATGAAGTTTGAGATTTGAGCGCTTGTTTGGTAGCTATGTTTGTTGCTCCCCGTCGCTACCTTTTCCGGAATGAAAAAATCTTAAGGAGGACGTTACACGTCTCTCCGGTCGGTGAGCACTCTATCAACGCTTTACTAATCTACGCTCAAAGGTTTTACTTGGAGCTTCGAAGAAAAAAGGATCGAAGTTAGAAATTGAAGATTTGTTTTCTGACGAACCAGGAGAGAACCTGCCGTCCTCACCCAGTAGTGCCTCAACTCCCACTCGTGTTGAGAGTCCCAGCTATCTGAAACATAGAAAATCTGCGCCCAGCAAACATTTAGACTCGGATAGCCGTCGTGCACGCTTTGAAGAACTTTACCAACGTTTGCTTACACAGACAAGCTTGAATCCGAAGGAGCGACGAAAATTGCCGCCTATGAGAAATGCCGTCTGGATAAATCTCGTAGACCTTTCCCAGAGTGAGGAAGAGCTCGGTAAAGTTATTGCGCAGGTGCCAAAGTGGAAGGATATGACACGGCATCAGCCAGGCGAAGGAGGTTTGGAGGAACGATGGGGTGAACTGGTTATCAGTAAGTAAACCTCCACTACATCACGTATGTTGGTTCTGATGATGAATTAGGTCGTGCGGAATCCTTGTCTTGCCCCAAACTCGCTCTAGAGATGTTTTCCAACCACGCAAAATACCAAGTCCCGCTTTCTCTACCAGCCGCTCGACACCTGCTTCATGCTTTACATATAGAGCATCCATTGCAGGATGTTATGACCGCTGTTGCGCTTTATCGGGTGTACAATTTGACACCCATAGCGGATGATCTCGTCAGCCTCGGGCTGGTATGTAGAGCACTTGCAGGGAGTATCTATCAACCCTCGCATGCTCCAAAATCTTCCCCCGCTTCTCTCCCAAAGGGCAACCTACATGCGTCGAAACAAGTTTTCGCCGCTCTCATTCAATCTCTTCAAGGCCTTGTCTCTTCCACTGATCCTTCTTTGTTCTCTGTAAACACACATGCCCGCACACGCGCTATAACACCCAAATTTACCCAGAGACATGAAAAGGCCATAAAGGGCTTGGCGGCGCTGGAGAAGGAGAAAACATGGCTGAAGTGGTGCTTGAAGAGGATTGAGTCCAATTTAGGACAAGTTGAGGGCTTTGAAAAGGTTGCGTGGCTCAGGCAGTGGCGGCAGGCGGCAGGGCATATAAGGGCAAATCATGATTCACACTCATTGACGGCGACCGAATTACCCTGAACTGAACAAGTCTGTGTATTACAGACCACCTCTTCATCTAAAACTCATTGCCTCTCATGACCAGATTCTAATATGTTGATACGTCGGAATACATAATGGAAAGGAATTGCATTGGTCAATGGAATTCCGAAGATTATTGTCTAACTTTCACTAATACTTCTACTGAGGGCTGGAAGTTCTTCCCCTCGTTGAGTTTGCGACCTGCACCTGAAAATTCAAGCAATGCACATTGCCCGCCTCCATCAGACTTACCCACCATTCGGTACATGATTCAGTCTCCCTCGAGTGCAAACCTTACCAGAGAACGCACGAATGATGGTCGTATTCCTAAATTTACTTTTCAGTCCTTAATTCTCTCATATGTCAGCTGAGCTAATATCAACTGTGGAGATGAGGTGGTTACCCTATATCCCAAGCGGAAGACTCTAGCTGCAAGACTGCCGATGACAGACAGTTGAAGATGCCAGGACGCTCATGCTACATACGGTTAAACTAAACACCCATTTTGACCGTGATGAACTAGACTCACTTCTCGAAGAGCGGTACACTTTCCTCAAAACTTGGGGTACGAGTCAAATACTCTGCGTATGAACGAACTGCTCTTTCTTTGCAGGGTTGACCCGTAAACCTGGGTCTGGAGTAAGGAAGAGTGAATACGTAATGTTTACAATACGGCCAGTATAATGTTCCCGCAAGGCAGATGCAACGCGTTGTTCGAAGAAAATATTCAACCATCTCAATCGCAGTAATATGGCGCCTTGGACCAGAGTGCAATGTCATCGAAGATACTTCCTCTACCTTCTGATATTATCCTGGTTTTCAACAAACATTCTTCATCCTCGGCTCCTCAATCCCCAAAGCCTCTTTCTAGTGCTCAGTTCTGTGAACCGCCATCTGTGACCAGCTCTACCACTCATATGCTGCTTGCTGCCAATGCCTATATGCTGCGAGTGGAGTATTGTTCACGATTATGCTTGATCAAACTCGAGGATCTGAAGTCAGATTTTATCTCCAGTCATAATTTGAAGCGGGTCTGCGATTTTCCTTGCATACAAGTACTCGGGGTAACTTGACTCTCAAGAAAAGCCGCTCCAACTCAGCTTAAATTGGTCTGCCAAACATCCGAATTTTGTTTGCTTGATTCTACCGCGGTTGACATAACTCGCATGCACCTGGTATCCGCGTCAACTTTCAAGTAATTCTCCCGATATACAATGCAATCACTCTCCGAGTCGGTATCTCTCCTTTGCTTCTGAAACCTGAATAATACATTGTTGAAATTGCCATAGCTGCCACGAACTCATCTCACATCAATTCAAGGTTCGCAAGTGCTCAGCAGATACACAGTGTCCTGTGGATGACAAAGAGAGACCCAGAAAAAAAAGAGTAATTAGCATGGTCCCTTCGAGGAACAACCACATAAATTAGTATTCAACCTTCAGAATGCTCAGCATCCCTCAGCTTGCTCAGTCATATCTTGCAAGGAGAATACACATTTGGAAGCAAGTCTAGTCATTAGTACAGCAGAATGTTTGAGAATTAGCAGCATATTTCCTAGCTCATTATTTATGGAATAAGCCTAAGAACTAATCATAAGGTGCAGGTAGTCCCAACAATCCATTCCTTGGGTTGGATCATGTTCCGTGACTCCGGAGTCTGCGCAAAATGGTATAGTTCTGGATTGTGAGGGGATGTGTTAGATATGTTAAATCTACTCTTGTCAGTATGTAGTGTGTATACAGTTTACTATCAGGCTCACCTCAGTTGGCAGTTAGACAACTGAGGTGTTTGGACTCGTCATAATGTGAGATCTAGTATGTACTGTATAGTTTATGGTAATAACACCATTATGGATTGGGAAAGGTCAAAGCATGTACCGTTAACGAGCTTGCCTCGTTTTTGTGTGAAAGAGAAAGGAAGGAATCTAATGGGCACTCCAACCAACCAATCTAATACACAATATGTGAGTGCACTGCTATCAAATTTATTTAATAGCAAGGGGTAGCGTTGGCAAAGGTTCCACAAAGCTTTGAGAGCTAAGTAAGAAGCTTTAATCAATCAATTTGAATTGTTCTAAGGATTCGATATATTCCTTTGATCAAGGTAGATTCAGCACGATTCGTGCTTGGGTTGTATTGATTTGGGTATATCAAGAATTGGGGGTTTGAATCAAAGTAAATTATGAAACACACAGACCCCTACGGAGGGCTAGAACTATGTGCTGGCACAACCACACAGCGTGATTTGCCCTTAAGACCAACGACTGATCCTAAATTCAAAGAATACCCAACAACTGGATATACTTCTCGCAGTCACAAGGAGCAGAACACGACGTTCCTATACTCACAAGTGCCGGGCCCAAATGGCTGCTAGCGAAGAGGTTTCAGTCTGGCGGGAGTGTGTCTTTCCTTTTTACGGATTAGCACTGCAATGTCGTCCCAAAATCACTTGTATTCCAGATACATCGGATCGCTATTTATACATACAGAATATAGAGTCGCACAGTACAATTAATTTAATACAATAAACGTTCGGAACCGCAAGGAAACTTCTACACTCGGCCAGATACCATTTAATTTGAATCTACATGTCCTTATTTGGTCCATAATGGTTCCAAGATTCAAGTATACCTCCAAACATAGGTAGGTACTTCGTTATTCATTTAATTTAATTGTTTTTGGAGAATGACTTGAATGGTGTTCAACTGTCATTGCTGTTTAACACTTACTTCGATCATTTGTCACCTCGTCCGGAGGCAAATCAGCTCTCCTTGATTCTAATCCTATCAATCTGATTCATCTGGATTAAACTAATTGCTTCTCTCTTTCAATAGACACCCGTTGTGCCTATACTCTATTAAGGGAGTTACACATAGTATTCATTTAATTGCATTCTTCAATATTTTCTACGTCAGGACTCTTTGACATTCATTTGATATGTCTTCGGAGCCTCGCAGTACTTCGATCGTTCTTCTAGTCATTTTCCTCAACCATGCAACTTGATTGGTCTATTAGACTAAATCGCAGTCTTTTAAATTAATGCATGATCTCGTTCTAGAAGGAGTATTTGATAACTCCTGAGTTCTAGAAAGTCATTTCGAGTCAATCCTCGGCTCATGGTCACTTGAGTAAGTTCTTCCAAACTCCTGCCAGTGTAAGGTCCAATAGGAATACCCTTGGTATGTCATACGTGAATGGTCATCCTTCGGATGTAGTCCGAGTCTGGTATAATCCTGCTTGACAAACAGGTAGACTGCTATCCGAAGGTAGTATCGGGGATGGGTAAACTAACCAACTTGTGGTAGTATGGGTATATGGTCCCTTCAACTTATTAAACTGATTCAGTATTGACTTTGACTGTCAATCTGGGTCTCAATTACAGTCCTCTTGATACAAATCTATACATGAAAATGTCACAATTCACAGCATAGACGTCTAGCCAAAATTTAGGCGTGTCACCGTGGGTGTAGTACGTATGGAGTACTCCTTAACAGGATGTAGTATGTAGTACTATAATACTAGTAGTAGCTTGGGTAGTCTTTTTTTACCTTTGCAAGCCTCAGATTAGCCTATCTGCAAGACCTGTATACTTGCCAGAACAAGGATACTACTGGCTGGAGAGCACTCTCCAGCAAAAAGCACCCAGAGCAACATTTTAAGCTTGCTCTGGGTGCTTTGGCTGCTGGGAAGTGGTCTGAGCTGCTTTTGGCTATTTAGCCAAAAATACATAAGACGATCCTCCTAAGGATTTGCAAGCACATAAATTGCAGCCATTGCGCGGAGGCAGAGCACTCATAAAAGAACAATGCATGAACAATGCAAGTGTTTTTCTATATAAACACCCAATACTTGATATAAGCAAATTGGAGAGTGTAAATTGAATGTAGATGGACCAAAGGTGCACTTCATACCCAAGCAGACAGAGCACGGTAGTATTGAAGTGGGTCTATTGGCACCCAATCAAAAAAGGACATTGGATTTATAGGAAAGCATGGTATAGGGGAAGCAGTTTCTCAGTTCAGGTATATAGAAGTGGAAGAATGTTAAGATCATGTACACTGGAAAGCCATGCCAAGGGCCATTCAGTGTCTAAGGGCAGAGGGTCAAATGGGACAGTAGTGAAGTTATTAACAACACCGCTAGTCCCCGGAGGAGAGAGTAGAAGATAGGTAACCAGAAGCAGCCAAGTTGGAGTGGCAGTAATGCTGAAGATGAGGAGTGAACCGAAGAACTTATAAGTCCTGAGGCCAAAATAGAGAGTGCTTCAAGGCGACAAGCCTGAAGACTTAGAGGACAGAGAGAGATGGATAAAGAAGATTTGAGGTGATCTAAAATGATAATTAAACTGAGGAACTATAGTATAGTACAGGAGTATTTATACCTACGAATTGGTATATTGGAGTGGAACACCAGACTAACTAATAGGAGCTATATGTATAGTGCCTTCAGGATAGAGAATAAGACAATAAGGAGAGACTAGGTAGAAAGGGAATGTGTAGCAAGAAAGAACAATAAACAGTAGATCTCAGAGTACCAAGCAGCAGAGCAGGGCACTGAGGTATGATCCTGACAAAGAAGCCCAGAGGGCAGGGAGATGACTATCAATTGAACAGAGTTGCACTGTTAAGTCAAGTGGCAGTTAGTCGACTTCAAGGGAGAATAATGAAAATAATTTAAAATCAATAAAAAGCCATAAAAACCATAAGAATCAGTAAGAAAGACCCTTATATAATAGGTTAATATAGAAAAGATAAAGGAGAAGACAAATTATCAGGTAAACATATGAAGAAGAAATAGGAAGTAAGTTCAATGAGAAGAGTGCTTGTTATCAAGAGGCAAGTTAAATCCAAATCAATTCTCTTACCCCGCCATCAATCAAAAGGAAAGGCCAGTAGTGGCCTGTGGACTGCAAGAGTAAGTTTCTACAAATCATAGGATAGGAAGGTGAAATTTGGCTTAGGGTAGTAAAAGGGAAAAAGTTCTCACCCTTAAGTGGTCACAGTGGCTGTGCAAATTTTTTGAGTGTATAGAATTCAAATGAATTCCATAAATGGAACTCATAATGTTAACTGTACAATAATGCCATCTTTCCTTTGTATGTATTCTGCATATGGAGTATACCTCAACATTTTTGAATGACACTGAAATATCATCTATGGCATACCCAAATTTAAGAGTGGGAAAGAGTGGCAAGAAGTCCAGTGCCCTAGGGCACCAATGGACCTTAGGGTAGTGCTAAATTGGTTTGGAGGTGTTAATAACATGTTATTAACATTGGGCCCTCCAAACTGCAATTTAACATGAGTTAATAACATGATTTTAACATTCACATGAGTTTGTTATTAACAAGTTAAAACCCTCAATATTAACATGTTATTAACACACATCTGTAAAACCTGGATTTAACTTGAGAAAGTAACATATAACTAGGCTCCACTGTTGTGGACTGCACCTTGCTTGGGAAAGGATACATTTCACTTAAATTTGGTATGGCAGGAACAAGGGAATGATGCAGGATTTATGTATGCAAAAAGTGTAGGGTGGTAGGGTGATCTAAGTATCATCTAAGTGTCTTTGTCAAGGTGTAGATTTTGGCTCAAGTATCAAGCAAAAAAATGATACACATAAGGTGCACTACAGAATATACACACTTCATAAGCCTTGTGGAAATTTGTTTACATCTGTAAAACCTGTATTTTTGGCTAAGAGCTCGAAAGCAGCTGACAGCGCTCTCCAGCTAGTACCCTTGCTCTCACGAACATCCAGGTTTTGCAGATGTAATTAATCTGAGTATTGAGGAAAGAATGTGCCGCAAAGCAAGCACAGAACTCAGGATGTTTGTAAACATTTGGCAAAAGCATGAGGCCAAGCACAACCAAAACATGCCTGCACAAAACAACTTAACTTCCGGAGTGCAATAGACCTTGCAAGCAAGGTGACAAACAGTGTCACTGTAACTCACAGAAGTGACAGTCCCAATATAGGGGGAAAAGAGACTCCAAAGAGTAGCTGAAAATTTGTGAAAAGTCACAAAGAAAGGTGAAAAGCAAGAAGGGAAGGTGTCATTGGGTGAGGCAAGATTTTTTCATGCTGAAACCACCATACATAGGATGAATCCTTCATTTCATTTCGGACTCATAATGCTGCACTTTAATCTGTATATTTGTTTGTTTCTGCTATTCTTTCTTATCAGTTCTTATCCTCAAAGCATTCTGTGCTTCTGTTTGTTCCATTCCTCATGAGCACCAAGGGCTGTTACATTAACATAACACATTCTGTCGCAGCATCACAAGCAAGGCATGTGCGCCCCCAGGGGGCAATTAATGATCAACTGGCTTCTTGTTTTCCACGATGCTTCAAGTTCCCTCTGCTTCCCTGCTGTGTCACAACGCTCTAAGAGAGATCCTGCCGTGACTACGTACGACCGTTTTAGCATGCAATTTACTTAGCTTTAACCCTCCTAGGTGAGAATCATGTTGTGGTTAACCAAGCATCCCAATGATCCTTTCATATGCATATATGTTGGGGAACAACTCCGTACGTACGTAAGGGAGATACATGTAAACATACTGCTTACTACAGACTTGCATATAGTCACACTTGTGACACATGACCATATATATACAGTACTAGCTGAAGACTAGACTTTATCGCTTCCCTCCATCTACTCACATAGAATATCCTCCTGTATCCGAGATCTCTCTTGCCTTTTCTCTCTCTCTTTTCCAATCATATCCGATTCATAGTATCCGGTCCGCTCGTGAGTGTCGATTAGTGTTACCTGCGAACGTAGCAGGTTTCCAATACAACTGCTTTGACCTCCTGTCTACCTCGAATACGTATAAGCTGTGATTTGTAAACTGTACAGTTCTAACTGCATCACGCACCGCAGAACAATCGAGCTCCCTCAGTTGTTTCGTTACCAACTGAGGTGAGCTCAACAATACCTATAATGAATATTATACACTAACGTACTATAGCTTATCTTGTGTCAACAATATAGAGGGAAAGGCCAAATGTATTCTGTAATAACCCAATGTCAGTCAATGATATCGTGTAGTTTGCGGGGAGAACGACGTCCCGCGAGGCGGGGCATGGGCAGATACTAGTTTGGAAAGGAAATCGAAAATCAATACGTAGCAGGCCATCGACGTCGAATCCAGTATGCAAGGGTGTGAAGGAGAGATATCACATGAACCCAAACATACCAAGTATGAGCTAAATAAAAATAAAATAGGGGAATGGTGGGTGGGGCCAAAAAACGAATGCTTAAAAGAACGAGTGTATTCTTGTGTACTGAGATGGATGCGACGAGCAAGAGACTATGTAATTGATGCGCACACAAGTTTGGTAACCACTCGTCGCTGCCGGGCCGTCTGAACTAGAGTTTCTACCCAACTTTTGAAATGACATGACTCCTACTCCCATTGCCTTATCTAACACTTACGCTAGCCGGAGCAAGCTCTCGTAGCTTCAGCTAGCACGAGAGAAACAAGTTAAATGAGCCACAGTGATAGTGGACTTGGTACGTGCACTGTACATGCAAAGGACAGTACTGAAGGCTCAATTTGTACACTGAGTTTCAAACCCTGAACAAACCCTTTAAAAAAAATTCAGCCGCGTTCATCAAAAGGTACTTCGAAAGAAGTTAAGTGTGCAACTTCACATCGATGACATTCAATTCTATACAACAGCTTCTGATACACGAAGGTAAAAAACGATACTCATATATGGAGAAGAGAAGGTTCGTCAGCGAATCAAAGCTTCTCTGTTGCTCTATGCAAACCTGATTCCCCTAGTCTACTTTCTTGGCGACGACGGTCGGTCGGTCGAGGGCATCAGGGGCAAGCTCCCTTACGGCTTTTCCGTGCTGGTTCTTATAGAAAACGATGTCGCCCTCGTCTTCAACGAAGCAACATTGAGTAAAGGTCCGGTAAAGAGCACGGAAAGTGTTCTAGTAAATATAGTAGATTGTCAGAGAGGATAAAACCAATAGTTGAGATCGTTTTACCGTGGAATCGGAGTTGTACTCAACCCCCAACAACTTCTTGAGCTCTTCAGTCACATACGGCTGGTTGTACCAGGCAATGTTCGAGAAGAGGTGATGAGCGATCTGTCAAGAAAAAGTTAAAGATAGGAACAAAGGTAAAATGGCGAATCGTACATGGTCATGGCTGACGTTGTGGAAGTATACACGTCCAGCCCAGCCCAGGAGAGGCCTGTCAACGGTTGAAAGAGCACCTCGAAGGTAAGACCACTGACGGTTCCTGTACATCGGTATGGTGGGATCAGAGTGATGAAGGTACGTGAGCATGACAATCCAGTGGTTCAAAAGCTAAAAAAACCATATCAGTCAAGTCGAACAAATATGGAATCACAAATGACAGTACAATGTAAGGAACAAAATAAAGCTTGAGGAAAGCCGGAAGACCGACAGTTTGGGTCCACATATACAGGACGCAGCACATTACGGTCAAACCAATGTTAGACGCGATGATTCCGTTGCGCTCGTGAGGCTTGAACAAGGAAGACGACGGACTGAAGTGCTAAGTAATAATAGTAGATTTAGAGCATGTGATGGACGAGAACAGTGCCGCTCACGTTAGTGCCTTTAGGATGTCTAGGAGATCCCATAGTGTCCAAACACAGATAGATTTGCCAACCAAGAAGTTGCATGAGGAGCATGCGGGCAGCGGTATAAATGGGAGTTTCCTCGAAAAGTTCATGATAATCGACCGCCCGGGCGACTGACTCAGAAGGCAATTTGAAGTCAGATCGAGTGCGAGGAACATAATTCTCGTCTCGTTCGATAGAAACCGTGGCTTTGTGGTGAGAGTGATGGGTAGACCTCCAAGCGAAATATGGGGCAAGAACGAACTGTGAGAAGAAATCCTCATTACCGTTGTCGATTGCGAAAAATGACGATACTCACAGTATGAAGCAAAAATCCAGTCAGATTGTTGAGCCACTTTTTGTTAGAAACATTGCCGTGACCAGCCTCGTGAGCCATACACCACCAACCAGCGAGAACGACGCTTTGGCAGACCCAATAGACAGACCAGCCCCCCCATTTAGCAATCGTACCGACATAAGCGGGGGCGCCATAGTCGTTAACAAGACTGGCGGCAAGAGGTTCGATTTGCCAACCGAGCTTATATAGAGCCACAGCGGAGAGCACGTCGCGAGCTATATATAAGCAGGCCGTGAAGAAGCTCTTTTGGAACAAATGCTTGGGTACGACAGCATGAACTTCGGATATAGTGACCTGAGATATGCCTTAGTATAATCTTTGCGAAAAAAAGGTAACTTCGACCAACTTTGGTAGGAGAGAAAGGTCTAGCCTTCCTGGCCTCGTATTCAGGCGAGTCTTTGAACAACGAAAGCATGTTAAGAGTTCAAAATCTCCACGTAGAGGCGAAAAGTTGGACTGAGGAAGGCGCCATGGTAAGCACTGGTTTTATAACCTTGTTGCGGCATTCGTGAGCCTGACATCTAATCATTATCGAGTCGTAAGTAGATCGAAAAGGAAATGGACTTAGCGTCAGATGCGATCGATAAGCACGTGATGCGCACCTGGTTCGAAATTTAACCTGGTCCTCACTTATCCTGACTTTTCGCCACTGACATTCCTGTGTTCTCGGGTATTCTGCATGCACCCCGGAAATCCCATTCCGTTCATCCGACCATCTCTTGCGCCCTTGGAGCTTTGGATTATCATGGAACTCCGGGTACGATCATAGCTGTTAAACTTGTGTTAAACGTGGGGTAGGTCCAGATAACATTTCTTGCTTCGAGAGATTTACCTGAGCCCGCAGTCAAATTCAAAGTAACCTTCTTACCTAGAGTCCAGCTCGGCTCATTTCATTTGTTTTTTTCCTCACAAACCAATCAATTCAACTTCAATCCTTCGTCGTTACCGAATGAACTGTGTTCTTTTCTAATTATCAGGTCTTGTAAGTATGTGCTTGACTATCATCAACTCAATGTAAGATCTTGACCCGATTTCTTTCTACGAAAGTTCAATGGAATTACATAGCCGCCTCGACCCACGGGGGCCAGCTTTATAAATACAGCACTGGATTTACAACATCTCCAGCTCAAGCTCTATTCGAATCAGCAATAGACCGGTAGCACAACAATGTCTGAAGCCACGAAACCTCAAGCCAAGGACCTCTACAATGAGGCCGATCTTCCTCAGTTTGAACCTATGCCTTGGTGAGTACCTTAGTCCTGCAGCAAATTTTTTGACTTACCGGTCCCGTAGGTCTTTGAAGGAAATAAGGGACGCCCTTCCTGCTCGCTTGTTCAAACGTGATACCGCTCTTGGTCTTCGTTACCTTGCCGTCGATCTGATAATGACGACGGCTCTCTGGACTGCCGCCACTTACATCGATCCATACTTCGCCAAGGCCGAAGTTATTGAGAAATTTTCTCCCATTGGCGCTGAAGTCGCTCGATGGGCTTCTTGGAGTGTCTAGTGAGTTAATCTCACATCAGTTGTTCGTCTCCCTGTTAATTCCGTCATCAGCTGGTGGTTCCAAGGTTTAGTCTTCACTGGTATTTGGGTTATTGGACACGAGGTGCGACCGCGATCCTCAGCTGCGAGAAACCTTCCCTTGCTGATCCTTTGCCACCTTCTCAGTGTGGTCACGGAGCGTTCTCTGAGAATCAATGGGTTAATGACATTATTGGATTTGTGCGATTAGCGATCGACCCTCCTCCGCTTAGGCTCATGCTTTTTGTTAGGTCACACACACCTTCCTCTGGACTCCGTTCTTCAGTTGGAGAATCTCGCATCATCGCCACCACAGTAACCACGCTTCGATGGAAAGAGATGAGGTCTATGTTCCCAAAACTCGCAGCGATCTGGGAATACCTCCCGAGAAGGCAGAATGGGAGCCTCTGGACTGGGACGAACTTTTTGGTGACACTCCTATCTACACTCTTTACATGCTCGTTAGGCAACAGTTCCTCGCTTTCCCCGCATATTTGCGTAAGTTACTCTTGACATACAAACTTCTGGCTTCTAACCTTGTTTGTAGTTTGGAACGTTTCTGGCCAAAAGCACTACCCAAAGTGGACGAATCACTTTGACCGTAAGGCAATGTTTTAAACTGAATCAAGCTGTTGGCTGAAGGTGTCCTGCAGCGAACTCGGTACTTTTCACCAAGAGTCAACGTGGTATTGTCATGATTTCCAACGCCGGTATCGCGTTCATGATCTGGGGTGTCTGGAAGTCTTGCCAGATATGGGGTGCAGCCGACACCTTCAAGTACTACGGTCTTCCTTGGTTCCTCGTTACTCATTGGTGTAAGTCCTGCCTAGTACCTGATTTTCTAAAGGATCTACTCCTGCGAACGAAATCAAACGTAATTGTCGCTTCTGGCTTACATGTATCTCTTTCCAGTCATCATGATCACGTACCTTCACCACACCGACCCCATCATGCCTCATTACCGCGGTAAAGAGTGGAACTTCCAGCGCGGCGCTGCTGCGACCGTCGATAGGCCTTTCCTCGGCTGGCAAGGACGTTTCTTCTTGCATGACGTCGCCCACTTCCATGTGATTCACCACGTAAGTCGTATGCTTATTTACCCTTATAATGGAGTTGACCGGATTGCTCTTCGTCAGTTCTTCCCGAAAATGCCTTTCTACCACGGTCCAGAAGCCACAGACTATCTCAAGGCTTTCATTGGTGAACACTACAACTACTCGGACAAGCCTGTTTTCAAAGCTCTCTGGGATAACTACAATGACTGCCAATTCGTCGAGGACGAGGGTGATGTTGTGTTTTACCGTGACAAGGAAGGGAAATCAATCCGCCGCCCCGCCGACGCGTATTTCTTGGGAAAGAAATCGACCAAGGTCGAGTGAATGGGTCTCAAGGAGCTGAAGCGCGTGTGCTTGATTTTCCGGTGAAATTTCGTAAAGGATATCGAGCATATTAACCGCTTGCTTATGCCCGTCGCTTCAAAATATTCTCTCCTTACAAACCATCTTTTCTCTTGTAGAAGCTAGAATCTGCTTTTGTGTTATAGCATTGTGTCAATCATGTACTGTTGTATGACTGGTTTTTTTCATGATCAGTCTGAAATCGATCGTTGAATTTTCTGAGATGAAGTATACTCGTTAGCGAGACAACATGCCTGATGTATCGCCTACCAGCTACAATGTAGCTGTACTGGGTAAAATGATCTGAGCTCTGCCAATGGAATTGAGGGAAAATTAGCCAGCACAGGCCCCCGGAAGCTCTACCAGAACCCTGTCCAGAATTGCGTATTTTAGAGGCAAAAATAAGCCATTTCCTTGTCCAAATATAGCGCAGATTGAAGCTCAATGGGGCGGTCCTTGTCCGGTCTCCCAGCACGGTCCCATTGAGGAACAGCCCAGTCTGTGCTGTACACACTGCGCTTCATGTGTGCTAAAGATGTGCCGTGTGATCGATGTCTCGACACCGCCGCGCAAAGAATAAACGATAATGTAGAACGCAATCTGAGAGCAAGCAATACTATATAATAGTTGAGGAAAGAATTAAGGTGGCCAATTATAATATGCCTAAGAACTAAACAAACACTGTCCAATTGTCCCCTTTTGCGCCCCCCCCCCCCCCCCTCCTATGTTATTGGAATGAACTGTTGTCAGACATTTTGGGGCTTTGGGAGGACCGATTGGAATAAATATGAAGTTTATGCGCGAGTACTACTGCTGGTGACGGGTTCATATCCTACCACGGTCTCACCAATTAGTAGACATACGGTGGCGGTGGCGCGAAGCCTTGTTGCAGATTTTGTTCAGGCGCACCAGTCTCTTTTAGTTCTACTTAGTAGATAGATAGATAGTATATAAGGAACGTCCGTCTACAAATAACGAGAATAATAATAACCATATCGAAGGACACAATCCTATACAATTATATACTTTCCACAGATACTCTGCACGATAACATTTCGTTTTTATTCTGCTTGTTGCCCTCGCCGACTTCAGCGTGAAGGCGTTTCTCATGCTTCCTTCTTCCAAGAGTTTACAAGTTTGTCGCAATCATTGTCGCGTCACGGTATTATTACGTGAACTTCGATCGACGCACTCCACTCGCATTAGAAGGGAACAAGACCCCGGATAATTGGGCATATTGTACAGTCGTTCGTGATTTCGGACAAATTTTGAGAAATTCTTGAAAAATTCTGTTCGATTTTCGGACATTTCAAGGCCTCTGGCGGTGGGTTGTTCACAGGTGTTCGGACATTTTTTCCAGTTTTGGTAGTTATATCTTCAGGTGGGACTTTGGGAAATTTTATGAAGCCTCGCCGAAGATCATTTAGGCGAGCGCTAATTTGCTTAAGCACTGGTGGCTGGTCGGCTTTCGGACATTTTTGGAGAGAAATTCTTGATTTTGGTTCGGACATTTCAGCCGAAATTCGGCAATTTTGAGAACGACCTTCACCCTAATTATCCGGGGTCCTGGAACAGCCTAGAACAACGAGCTTTTTTCTAGATGTGCAGAAGTGCTTGAGCGTCCTGTGGAAACACATTTTCCGCTAACTACTTACGAGATGTCCACTGTCCGTAGCAATCTCGATCTGGCGGTCTATTAATTCCGCTGTTAGGTGGCTGTTCAAACGTTCAATATTCGATGGTGTTATAACCTGAGGTTAATCATTATGTTGTAAATTAATTCACGACCTCAGGTTAATCGATTGAAATGCTGTTTCATTTCTTGACCTCAGGTTTATCGACCTCAGGTTACGGTGGATGATGTGTACACATGTGAAATTCCGTACCAGTCCGTGTCGGTTTACTATCTTTTACTATCTTAACATACTGTTGCATACTCTATTCAGATCTGCGCCGAAGAGGACGATTTTAGATTCAGTATAAACTCAAGTACTAGTCCAGGACTCGGGTAATCACTATCTCTGATGCTACTTGATATTACTTTGCATCGCTTCAAGAAATGAACTGTAATGAACCGTTCCGTACGGTTTGGTTTTGTTCTTGAACTACAATCTGTACATGGACTCGGGTAATCCCAAATCGATCATTTTCTCTGCTCAATCCCCAAAAAGCATGTGCAGGTGTATGTACTTCTGGGCTATGACAAGATCCCAATTCCAGATTCTAGCATCTTTACCCTCCCCTGTCTGGACAAAGTTGGAAACTGAATTTTAAAAACTCTGAAGAGTCGTTACCTCTCTCTCTTTCCTTAGCACCACACTCATCATGCTCTGGTACCAAATATTTTCAGACGGCGTTGAATACGAAGCCCGCGTAGGGAAGCCTTTCGTTCCTCCGGACCTCACAATCAAGCAGGTCTGGGAGGCTGTTCCCAAACACCTCTTCAAGAAGAGTACCACAAAGAGCTTGCTTTATCTCGCTAGGCACCTCTTAATCACTTACCTCTTCTATGTCTTTGCACAAAACATCGATCTTATCGTGTCTTCGCTTGGAGGAACGCCGTTAGCAAGGCAGGTCTTGAAGGCGGTCTGCTGGATGGGATACTGGAGTTTCCAGGGTTTTGCGTTCGCAGGACTATGGTGCATAGGTAGGGAAATTCTACCGAGTCTAATGGTATTCTGCTAATGTTTGCTGGATGCCAGGTCACGACGTGTGTTTTGTTCACAAATTTTAACATTTGAAAATGTTGACAACGTTCCCGTACAGGCCGGTCATGGAGCTCTATCGGACTACGGAATCGTCAATGATGTCCTCGGGTTGGTCCTTCATGCATCTGTCTTGACACCATACCATGCTTGGAGATTTACACATCGCGCTCATCATGTAAGCGACTTGAACTCCCTCACCTTTTCGATGTCCTCTCTTTTCATTGATAACCTTCTCATACACGTGGTTCGGTTTCTTTCTTAGAAAGCAACCCAAAGTCTTGAGCGTGACGAGACGTTCATGCCCTTCACACGCAGGGACTTCAAGCTTCCAGATGGTAAAGTTGCAGTAAGAATGGATTACACAGAAATTTTGGAGGAGACGCCGGCTTTCACGTTGTTCAAACTGTTTGTGAGGCAGTTCTTGTGGGTCGATCTACAAGTTAATATAGTTATCGAGGGCGCTAATTCCTTATCTTCAGCGGTTTCCAGCTTTATCTTTTGTGCGTTTGCCCAAAATCACAACTGGATCAAGCTAACGTGAATCTTCCAAAGGCACAATCGTAAAGGCAATCGAAGATATCCTGCTTACACAAGCGTAGGTGGAAAACCGTATTTGAAAGAGAATCCGTGATTGACATTGCTTTCTCAGCATTACCGACCAAGCTCTCAACTTTTCAAGCCCTCAGAACGTACGCATCATTTCTGCGTTTTCGCATTTGGCACCCTGACCTTATTTCAACAACCAGGTTCAGCGATCATTCTGTCAAACATCTCTCTCCTCGTCATGTACACCCTACTCAGTATGTACATCAAGAGCCACGGATGGAACAGTGCCATGAAGTACTACTTCATGCCTTGGTTTGTAAGTATATCGTCCACTGTGCAGTTCATGCCTGTCTGACCGACTTTGATCTCTGTTAGTTCCAACACAACTGGTGAGTGTTCGTTCATGCTCTGAGAGGGAAACATCTCTAATGTCATAATTTAGGATGGTCATGTTCACATATCTTCAACACAGCGATCCGACGATTCCGTACTACCGCAAGGTCCCAAAATTCTGGTTTGACTATTGTGCTAATGCTGATCATTCAATTATCAGAGTGAATGGACTTTTGTCCGAGGTGCTTTAGCCACAGTTGACAGACCCGTATTTGGTTGGCTCGGGAGGGTCCTTCTATACAACGTACGTCTGAAAAATTGCACTTTGTTGTCATCTAATGGAAGTGTGATCCCACAGATCGCAAGCGACCACTTGGCTCATCACTTTTTCTCAACAATCCCATTCTGTAGGTTTCGTTTTTTTGTTTAGAATGCTATCTGACACAGTCATTAACAGACAATCTTCCTGAGGTGACGAAAGCTATCAAACCTGTTCTTGGAGAGTATTACAACTACGACTCGACCGTGAGTGCCAACGACATTGACATCTTCGGTTTCTGACATAGTCTCGTAGGGTGTTCTTGCCGCTTTGTGGCGATCTTTCACGCAATGCGTGTTCATCGAAGACGAAGGGGAAATTCTGTTCTACAAGAACCGTGCCGGTGAGGCTATCGTTGACGTCGACGAGAAGCTTAAAGCCAACCGAAATGGGAAACCAGTGGATGGTACAGGGCAGGAGGAAATGATCATCGACTGATTGACGATCCTCAAGTAGTCGGATGTAGGTCATTACAACAGAGAGGGAGATCACGAATGAAAACTTGTTAGTCCACCTTCTTGTACAATTTGTTTTTAGACGTAGATGTTGTATTTTTGAAGAGAGATTTTGTTCAATGTTCGTGCTGAAAGAATGAGCTGCAACATGAAGGTCTTCCGCGAATTCGCTCCCTTTGTGATGCCTTGTCTGTTGCATCTGTCCAAACCCTACAATAGACCGGTAACTGTCCCTCTATGAGGGATACCTCTAGCGAGGTTTTGCCACGCAAAATTTGATCTTTGATCATTCCTCCTAGAGGGCTTGGTCACCAAGCTAACCCTACAACTCAGATGCGCAAGAGGAACATCTTGATTCACTTCTGCTATACTCAGTCTACATTTAATAGATTTAAATACACAAATGAATATATGGATACACATGAAGAGGACCACTAACACAGTCCATATGCTGTTGTCAGTTACAAATTATCACTGCTGCGGCAATGTTTTCCTGGTCTCCTCACTCATCTTTCTCGCACCTAAAATGGGAGGCCGTGTAACATTGTTCCCTACTGGGGAAACTCCTGCTCCTAGTTCCGACAACGCAGATATCGAGGCATTCGTCCTTCGTGCAGTGGAATTTGCTGCTGCGACTGCCCGTAGAAGATTTCCATTGCTATGTCTCTTTCCGATACTACCAGACCGTGCAGTTGCACGTTTGAGAAAAGGACTAGGTAGATTTTCCTCATCTGTCGAATCATATTCTCTTGTGATCTCGGTTGTCGCAGGCGCAGAATTTGTTCGTTGCATCGATCGCCCTGAGGCAGCGGTACGTGCAGTTGGTATTGAAGGAATAGTATTTGCTTGATTGTGAAGATGCGGATGAGGAAGAGGAAGAGGTTTAAGCTGCAATGGCCCGGTCATCGAGCCAGTCAGGTTACTGGGATCAGATATGGACGAAATCATGGAGCCGGAAACGCTCGATTTGGAAGTAGCTGATGACCGTATCGACGGTCGTCGGATACGTGTTGGAGGTGGTATCGAAGTGATTGAGGTGGACGCGGACGATGGTCGCTTAGAAGGGGACACGCTGCGATCACTATTCGCAGTATTGCCGTATCTGCGCGGTCTCTCCTTGCGACAACTCGGACTGGGAGGCGGAGATTCCGCCTCATCCGCGCTATCTTCTGTGTCGACATCTGCCTTTCTGCAATCAGGGTCGAAGATCTTGGTAAAGTCGAGGCCGACCTTGGGGGAATCCACAAAGAGCTTCGCGAGATCACTCGGCGCTGGTGTTGTAAGCACTTCGCCCGTCGAGGTAAGTACAACACCCTTCATTGCCGACGCTGGAGTGGCATGAACAAGTCGTGCTGCGGGGGTCAAGATTTCGGGGAATGAAACAACAGGCCGACGCCTGGTTTGGGATTGTGGGGTGGAATCCTCAGGAGTAGTTCCGTTCTCCAGACAAGGAGAACTAAGTCTGGTCAGCGGTTCAAGTAAATTTTTGACTTCTTCCAAGGGCGTCTTTTCTTTGCGACCTAAATAGAGGTCATCAATGAGATAAAGACGTAGACTTCGAGAATTCGAAAGTGTATACCTTTCACAGACTTAGCCTCCCACTTTCTCACTTTTCCCTCGAGTTCCAGTCGAACCTCTTCAAGGCGATTCTCTTCCGCGGCGAGATCGACTTCTCGTTCATGTATCCATCGGACTCTATCATCTACCTCTTGTCGAATTTGTTCCTCCCTCATCACCCAAGCTTCATTCAGCTCCTCTTCCCGCTTGTTAACAGACGCGATAATCTCCTCTTCACGTTTGGCAATTGCTACAGCCACTTCCTCCTCTCTATGCAACACCAATACACGAAGCTCCTCTTCTCGTCGAGCAATTGCTTGTTGAATTGCGACTTCTAAGTCCTGCTGGGAGAATTGAAGGTGTTGATTCTGGGAGATTGTATGACGAAGCGAATTCAACTCAATCTCAGTCTGAGCCGCTCGGGTTTCAAGTTGTTGCTCGCGGACAATGATGGCGGCTTCCCGTGCGGCGACATCTCGCTCACGGGCAACAATTGCGTTCTTGTGCAGTTTAACAGTAGCCAACCTAATCAGAGGTTAGAAAGCACTTGAAATCAATCTCATGATGGACAACCTACATCTTTTCCGTCTCAGACACTTTGAACACAAGCTCAAGTCGTTCATGCTGTAACAATTGGGCTGCAGAAGGGCGCATCGCGGGCTGAATAGCAGATTAGATGGGAATACACCATATAAGACGTTGTATACGCACGTTAAGATTCAACATCGCCTTGATAACACCCGCTAAGGACTGTGAATATCCTTTCGGTAGTGGAGGTATGCGTCCATTACTGAGGGAAGAAAGAATGTGAACGTGTGAGTACTACGGCAGAACAGACGGAGCAGATCTCAAACCGGACTAAGATGCTAAGTTCAGTGTGACTCTTAGCTTCATGAAAGGGAGGTTTATGAGCACAGAGTTCGTAAATCAAACAGCCCAGCGACCATATGTCAGATTTGGAATCATAAGCCTTCTCTTGCATCACTTCTGGAGACATATAATAAGGCGTCTGCAAAAGAAAACTTATGCGATGATATGGACTGCAGAATAGAAAAACGTACCCCAACGTATGTGTTTGCGAAATTAGTTTGAAGCAGAGATTTCGACAATCCAAAGTCTCCGAGTTTGACCGAGTTGTTTTCATCCAAGAAGACTGTCATACAGGTCAGAAGTCTTCCATCCAGGCTCGGGGATTGAACTCGCCATTGTCAGGCTTCAAGTCTCGATGCAATATTTGGTTCCTTCGTTCTCTCCCTTCATTTTCAGACATGGGATTACACGTCCCACTGCTGTTTCTCCCGTGTCCATTCGGATGATGACAGTGTTGCAAAGCGAGTAATAGTTGCATAAAGTAGTTCCAAATAGTATCTTCTGGTATTGGCCGGTTGTGTTTTTGAGCTTGTTGAATAACCATGGATAAATCGCCGCCGCCGCAGTATTCCATGACGATATATAGAATACCCGATTCTTTGTCGACGTAGCGATCATGATATTTAACGATATGATCATGGTGAAGTTCTTTGAGAATGTTCCTATATTGAGTCAATGATAGACTTGCAGCCAGCCTATATACGACTCACACTTCGGCAACAATTTGCTTTCTATCTCGCTCTTGCATCTTCTCAAATCTGAGCTCCTTCCGCGCGAAAGTCTGGGTAACTTGGTCAACACTTGAATAGCGACTCAGTGGCATCAATACGCACTGTTCCATCCGCTTTTCTTCTGACTTTGCGGATGATACCAAACGCGCCATTTCCAATAACGTCCAGCGCTTCATACTGATCCAAAAACGAGGTTGCCATAAGGAAAGATACAACAACGATATTTTTTTAGATGAACTTGGAGCAGGTTAAGTGGTTTTGGTCAAATGCCAATGGGTAGGACTCAAAGAACATCACATGACCGTAAAGCAACGTGACGACCCATAGTAGGCGGGACACTGCCACTGCGGGGATGAGCCGATTCCTCGAGGCGAAAATGTGGGTTTTACAGCTGATTCCGAAAGTCTAGGACAAAATCAGCCTCCTCACATCGTTGGAGCACTGCTTAGGCTTGTTTGTAGATATAGACAAAATAACAAAGATTAACCCAGAGATGGATGTATAAAATTGTTGTAATTACATTGTTGGAGTAAATTAGGGCTGTCTCGATGCAAGAAACTTGAAGAAAGACGGAGCTGCTTGCTCAGATTTGTATATCAAAAAGGCTAGTAATTATGCGCTTAAGCTCCTCCACAAACAAAGCTAAACATTACTCCAATGATGTGAGGAGGCTGGTTTCGTCCTAGACTTTCGGAATCAGCTGTATCTCGACACAGGGCGCATACTACAGTAAGTTCAGCTCCATATTGAGAGCTTACCTTATAGAAACGCCAAAATATTGGAGCGTAATTTTCGCCATTTACGCTATTGTTTGTCAAGTTTTACTCTAATTGCAAGAAAGATTTGTCAATGATAATGGTCTCATAAGGACCGTATTTTACTGTGAGGGATATTTTATTACTATTGTGACGTTTTGGCCCAAAAATGTTTGCGTAATTTGAGGGAGAAATCTTACAATTATGGTGATCTTATATGAGTGATTACACTGGATTTACCAAAACAAGTAGACAATAAGGATTCAATATGTTGGACAAATTAGGCAATTCAAATTTCAAGTTTATACGAACAATACATAAACAAAACCATGGATTTATGGTAAACGTTCACTACAGCTAAATAGATAAGTTTTAGATATGTCTGGCAATTAAGGGAATCATTACACAAATTTTATTGTGTGACAAAAACAAGTTTGTTTTTAGTATCTCATCAAAATTACTGATCCTTGGCAGAGGCTTGGGCCACATTCAGGTCTACGGCCGCGGGGATTTGAACAGCTTAACGCCGTGGAATGGGTTTTTCGACAATCCTAATATTTCTGCAGGTGGCTACGACCCACATCTCGAAAATAACATGCTCAATTGCTGTTTCCTTCCCCCATTTACACATGCTTAACTATAACAAGGACTGAGCTTCAAATTCAAAACGTTCAAATTACTGCGCCGACCACTGGTCTTTTTCAAGTCTGCAATATCATCAGCATTTCAACTTCCTTTGCCAGTGTTCATGAAGGAGCCAATAACCATTCTATGCGGTGGAATGTGAACATGTGTTGAAGCAAAGCAACCCCGCCGGTCGTTCTCCTAGTTTGTGTCATACATCAGATCAAATGTCACAATGTAATCCATCCGTATATCCCTGCCCTGTATATCATAGATTGATAGATTATTATCACGGCTGTCGTTCTTGTATCTTCCCTATACTTCGAATTGAATTGAGATATTTGAATATATTATTTTCAAACTGGTTTGCTTGGAATAAATGATTACAACAATTGTGAATTTTATTATGCAGTACCCTATTTGATGTCAAAATATGCATGCAAACTGGTAAGGGTATACCTGCGACCGCTCTAGATGGCCTCATTCATGTAATATTCAAAAAAGATTTGCAGATATTATTACAAAGATCAAATGATTTTTCAATGTTGAGAATGTACAAAAATGATTGTTGAATTGGGGCACCCGTTTTAAGGTGTTATAAGGGCTGACAATGTCACCACAATGTCGTAGTAACATGATACCTATTTTTTCACATTATACTGGGAATTCCATATCATAATCCTTCTCAAGAGTCTCTGTGATTTAGTGATGTTGTTGTTCCGCTGTGTACTTTCTCCTTCGTTCTTCCTCCACCCGAGCTTGGGCTTGCTGCATCCAATCCAATCCCCACCTTCTCCCAGAGACTCCATTGCGGTTGAAACGCGGGAAGAAGAGGGGTGTTTGGTGGGATTTTGCCAGCGGTGACATGGTCTTGGTGTGCATGTTGGGCGGGGTCCTCTTGGAGGATTTCTTCTTGGCGTGCTCACCCACGCTGGATGGATTCGGCAGGTGGTTGTTGAGGTGATTTAGAAGATGACTGGGGAGGCATTACATGGAATACAAGAGGAGAAGGCATAGGAAGGAGCTTGTATATGGTGATTGCGAGACTCTTCGCAAGATCTAGAGAACTTGGCCTTGTTCGAGGGACAACGCAACTTTTGTATACATACCTGTAACGAGATGTCAGGGGTATTCAACGAAGAAGTGAAGTCAGTGTTAGTGAGCTCACTTTCCAAAGTCCAGGTCAATGCATCCATGACGGCGATAACTTCTTGACAATGTTCTTGTGACCAGAGATGAGGTTTTGAGCCTCTACTACAAGCTAGAAAGAATAAAGGAGGGTCAGATTTGGAGGGTGCGAGGGATAAAATATTAGAGAATATATATATGATAAAATACTGACAGAAAGCATATTTGATGACACCAAAGACCTTGTTGAGATGCACAGTGATGACTGTTGTTCCATGAGTTCGTACCCATGTACCATATCTAACTCAAAATTCATTGGACACCAATTAGTGAAGGCACAACTCAAGGCATCTAAGAGGATCTGATCTTCTGCATGCGGTAATGATCTGAGTCGATTTGGGCCTAAAAACCTGATATTTATTGGTTTATACAGTTGGTAGTTAGTGGGTCAAGCTGATTCAATCCATCCCACAATTGAGACAGTACTGAATTGAAATTGTTAGGATTACAAAACGTCGGAGAATATTGACAGACTCACTGTGAACCAATGACCTTGAATGTGAGCTTTTGATCCTCCCTGACCTTTAAATTCAAACTGATTGTTTCCGCCTTCAAAGCCTCAGCTTTATGCTCGATGTCGCATGACTTAGGCACACCTCTTCTGGTCGAAAATGACACACGGTAAGTGGAACCAACACCTGGAACCCTTGTTCGTTATGTTGAACAGCGTAAATCTTCAAAGTTGTAATTGATTTGAAGGAAGCACCAGATTCTAGCTCTATAGATGCAGCGAATAATGAGAAACATTCCTTGAATAAGATAGTTTCCGATTCTTCAGGTCCCACTTGGAAAAATCTAGGGTATATTTAGTCCGGTGTCATTGGATATAATACAGCACTTGACCTGGTTCCTGGTGTCATGATACAAAGGAAAACAAACCCTGCGCAATGTATGTAGTAGACTGGTAGTAGATAGAACAGAATTGCGTTTACATAAGCGCCATGTTTACTTCACTCGCTGAAGTTCCATGAAGTTCCGATGACAACGACGAAACAGAGAGGAGACCTCACATTTTGAATGGCAGATAGATTTACTCAAAGATAGAGAGATGAAAATAGATGCGAATATTAGCATACGACGTCTACGAACAGTCTACAACTGGAGATATATACTCTACATAACCTGTCTGAACTGTAAGCGATAGAATGCATATGTGAAACCCAGATGTCTAGCTATACAATCGTAAGTGCTCAGATGGTAGATGTGCTAGCCGCGCAAGCTTGCGAGGATGAAGTTCCGTTAACCAGAGTAGATGAGTGAGAATGGGTGGCAGTGATTTTTTGGCTTAGCAAGGAGCGATCCTGACCAGCTAAATGTGTAGGGACATGACTCGAAGACGATAAGACAGAGGATTGGCCAGATGAAGAAGGCCGTTGTTTATGTTGTTCAGATGCAACCTCATGAGGGGCAGGAGTGATTCAGAGAAAGGTGTATAGCCATGATTCAAGGAGGATGGGACAGATGATCGGCCGGATGTAGAAGGATTTTTATGTTGTGCAGCTGCACCTGCATGAGGGGCAAGAGAGGTTCCATGGGGAAAAGGTGCATGAACAATATGATCATGATTCGATGAGGATGGGACAGATGACTGGCCAAATGAAGAAGGCATGTTACATTGTTCAGATGTAGGCCCATTATTGGGGATGGCTCCAAGGGAAGGCATGTGATGTTGGTCGGATGAAGAAGAATAGTGACATTGGGCATAAGATGTAGATGTAGGACCGTGATTAGGGGAGACAGTGTAAGAACTGACCATGTCGACCATAGCTTTCGTTTGCTTCATTGGGGGAGAGCTGGAATTTTGCGTACTATCTGAATTTTCCAATGAATCGGACGTTCCGCGCTTATGGCCGCAACCAAGCAGCGATGGCATGAAATTTGGACCAGTTAGTTGGTGAGGGAACACTTGATCGGAAGTGGCGGGCCAAGCATTACTAGGTAATGATGGAAAACTGTACGTAGAATCACTTGGATTCATAGACTGAAAGGATGATGTTCCATTCGCGACGCTGTTGGTCGGAAGACTGAATGAATAGGGAGTATTGGTCTTGCTTCCAGACAAAGGATTGGGACCCGCATTCAAGGAATGAGCATTAATTGTACCAGATGGTCCAACTGCGGTAGGAGTATTGTTGGAATTTTGGGGTACTCTACCAGCAATAGGGCGATGCACTGTCAATGTACTTTGAACTGTCGCGGGTGTATGTTAAGATCATGTACACCGTATAACCGTGCCAGAGGTCACAAGGTGTCTAAGTGCGGGAGGTCAAGTGGGACAGTAGTGAAGTTATTAACAACACCGCCATTACGCCGTTAGTCCCCGGAGATTGAGAGTATAGAAAGGAGGAGCTGAGGAGCAGCCAAGTCAGAGTGGCGGTACCGCCGACGACGAGGAGCGAACCAGAGGACGTCTAAGTCCTAAGGTAGAGTAGAACGTACTTCAAGGCGTTGAGCCTGAAGACTTAGAGAAGGGCTAAGTTGGGAAGGGAGATCTAAGTTGATAATTAAACTGAGGAACTACAGTAGCGTACAGGCAGTATTTATATCTACGGAGCGGCGCATCGGTGCGGAGCGCCAGACTAACTACTAGGAGCTATACGAGTAGTATCTGCAGGGTAAAGTAAAAGACAATAAGGAGGGACTAGAACAAAAGGGTATGTGTAGCGAGAAAGAACAATAAGGAGAGATTACAATAAAGGTAGATCTTCGGAATACCGAGCGGCGGAATGGAGGCCCGAGGCATGGACTTGAC